AAGGTTTCTGCGGGTAATTGGTTGCTGCTTGCAGGGATAGGTGTTTGAAGACGAGGACACTGTGAAGGTGATGAGATTGTGATCAGAGAGAGGAAAGGGGGCGTTTTTGAGGTTGTAAGGAGTGCAAAGATGGGAGAAAACAAGGTCTAATGTATTCCCATCAGAGTGAGTGGAGGACTGTATACATTGTGCTAATGCAAAAGATGGTTATGTTGAAGAGTTGGGATGTAGCCGGGTTGTTGACATTAATAGGGATGTTAAAATCTCCGAGAATGATAGTGGGTAGTTCAGAGGAGAGAAAATAGGGTAGCCAGGCGGAGAAATCATCAAGAAAGTGGGATAGTAGTCCAGGAGGCCGATAGATCACTGCAATCCTCAGAGAAATGGGAGAAAGCAGCCGGATGCAGTGAGTCTCGAAAGAAGAGAAGGATAGAGAGGGAGGGTTAGGGAGGACTTGAAAGGTGCTCAGTGGGGATAGAAGCAAACCAACCCCACCACCTTTCCGACCACTGGGTGAGTGGGTCCAGAGAAGGCCTCCATAGGAAAGTTCTGCAGGAGAAGCAGGTTTCTGTACTTGCTAGTGGGTTAAGGGAGCGGGAGACAAAAAGGTCACGGACAGAGGTGAGTTTATTACAGAGCGGGCATTCCAGAGTGCACATGAAAAAGGGAGGGTGGTTATTTGGGAGCACGGGGACTGATATTAGATTTGAGGGGATTGTGGCTATTCCCAGAAGAAAGAGGATGCCTGATGTGGGGGTGAAATATTGGAGGACCAGGGTTTTGGGAGATATCCCCAGTGGTTAGGAGAAGTAGAAGGGTGAGGAAAGTAACAAGGAAGCGGGATGTACACGAGTGTACATGCCTTCCAGTCCTGGTGTTTGGGTCAGCAGGAGGTGATGAGAGCAGTAGTAGGGAGATTGTAGCAGTGAGGGTGAGATGTACAAGTTTTGGGGTGGAGCAGATGGGTAAAGAAGTGAGATTTTGGGAACGCAGGAAAGTAATATGAAAAGGAGGAGAAGAGGAGACATATTAAAAAGTACACGGAGTGGGACTTAGACTTGTAAGAGATGTTTTCCAGGGTGTTTGCTTGCAGTCTGTCCAGCATGCAGTGAAGTTTCTTGTTGTATCTTCCTGCTGCTGAGTTATCCTGCTTTATTTAAACTGCTGTGTTTAACTGTGTCTTAGCACTCCATCAAAGCAGCACTCGTGCAAAAGCAGCACCCCATCTGTGACTGTCCCCCCATGAGCTGATCTAAATTTATAGGGAGATGGTCAAATGAGCATTCTTCTCCACCCCAATTAGGAACCGATAAGGATCACATGAATAGGGGGGATGTTTCTCAAACACAGACCAGACACAGGCCACAGTCATAAAAAAAAGAGTGCAACTCGAGGTGAGAAATAATCAACAGACAAAAATATATATACACTATTTGTTCTGAAATTAACAGGAGTCTATGCGTTGTTGTAGTTTAGAGTGGAGAGGAGATAGACTCCTGCTTTCTCTGGGTAAATGCTGCTAATTTTTATTATGTTGTAAAGATAGATTCTTTAGTTATACTGTCCTTCAAACAAAGAAACTGGTCACATGAGTAGGCTGATGCAACATTGTCAACTTATGAAGCCACATTTTAGATCAAGAATAGTGTTACATATGGGCTTGTCAATCAAAAGACCATATATTTAGTATCCCCTCCCTTCAATAAAATTGTTCTACTAAGCAGAATTGTTTGCCAAACAAGATTCTGAGTTATGAGAATTATGACATCTACATGTAACATAAAAAGACATCGTAAGAGATGCGAAGGACACACAACACATACAGATACACGTCAGTCCATTCACACACATACTGACGCCGGGACACTCACAAGCAAGGCATGGAGACACAATGGTTATTGACATACTGACAAGCTGAAACAGATGCCTTCTCTTAGAGACCTAAGATCACATCACTTCCTTCTTCTTGCTCATACTCATGCTGCATTGAACAGACAAGAAGCACATGGCAGGACAGTCACGACTCTAAACTGCATCTTTATAACTACTGTGTTCATATTTAATTTTGCCTACACTGAACTGCTATCCATGATACGTTTTACATTATTATACGTTATTTTAAGCCATTGTGTGATACAATAAAATCACACTATTTTTATTTTGCCAACTCTTTAAATATCTGAAATTGCGTAAAGACACTAAAAATTATTATATGTGTCCCATAAAATTCTAAAATCACCATGGTAATCTGGTGATATAGGAGCCCCTCTTTTTTTACCTGGTTGGTAAAGCAGCAGAGGTATTCCCAAACATGTCCACTACAGGCTCCTTGCTATCTCTGTTGCTAAATGTTCAGAATACAAAAATACACATTTATAATTGCCAAAAGATTATCAATTTTGTTAATTTTCACCTTAAAGCTGAACTATACTCGCCTAAACTCCAGCGATGCAGAGTCCCAGATTTTCCTGGGTGGCCAGCTTCCGGGTCTCAATTGTCAGCCACTGTCTGGCCAAATCTGACTGAACTGTGATCTGAGCATGTCGAAGATAAAGCACGTTTCTTCTGCATTCAAATTACTGCCTGTTTATGCTTTTTTCTTTTTTTTGAACCAAAATTTCCACTTTTAGATGTCTATACCTTTGCCGTTAGGAACATCCAAGTTTAACTCCTGATTTACCATTAGCACATCCAGAGTCTCCTCCCTGCAGAGTTCTACATGACTGGTGCAGATCTGTAATTCAAGAGTAGGATAAACCACTAACATACAATTCTACCACTCACCAGGTTCTTTTGCTCATTTCTAGTCTTCGCAACATAAGGGCGTGGGATCAACATCCAGTCTGCTCCCCTTTGTGTGTTCAAAATAACTGAAGCAACACATGTACTTTCACACAAAGCACAATAGGTACTTTATATGCAACAAAAATAAGAACCACTTAAGGATATTTACATAATTTTATTGCTTTAACATTTACAAAGATACAAAACCCAAGATATATGCAACATAGAAGAACAAAGCTGATGTATGAAAACTAACATGATAAACCTATGTCCTGGTAGGCAATTAAAAAGGCAATACTTCAAAAGACCAAAATGAACCACTAAAATACATTCTGCTCCCCGTCTGTATACCTAAAAAAAGTAAAAAGAACTTGTCTGGTGAGACTGATAGCCACGAAGATGTGCTCTTGTGTGATTCTCTATGTAGCATAAAAAGTTATATAAAAAGATCACATGCATTGAAATCTTAGAGAATGAAATCACTGTCTCTCGGATTGAATAAAAGTAGAAACAAGCGAACCCAGTTCAGAATAGAAAACATCTAGGTAAATAAATAAAATGTGAGTATTACACTCTCCCGTTTTCAAAGCTGCAAAAAGAGAAGATTACAAACAACAAAAAGGCAAAACAAAACATATAGATCAAACATCTCATATTAGAAATATGTTATCCTCACAATTACAGCCATCAGAAGTGATTGCAATGCATTCTAGAAGCAGTGGAAGACTAAGAACTGGAAACTGTTATATGGTGGTGGAGTTGCCAACTCCTGATGGTATTTGCATTGCTCTCTTCATCTCCTACCACCACTCATAATGCAAATTAAAAACAAATTAAAAGTATGATTTTTTTTCTTTTTATATACAATCGATTTTAAACATCTGCACATAATAGTAGTCTCTATTTTTTTTAACTTTACAGCTCACATTAGGATTCTCTGTCGATTCACAACAGAGGTTGTTGTTTAATAGGTTTTGGCGTGTATCCCATCCTATTGCCAGATATTGGAACTTTCGGTTTGTCAAATGGCTGGGCCAAGCTTGATACATTAAATGGAAAAATGATGGCTTACACTGCTGTCCTAAAGCTGGCCAAGCACCAGCTATAATTTCCTAAATTTGATCTGCTAGATAAGCAAAACCTAACAATTATGAGGACTGAGGGCAACCCTACCGGATATAAAACTGAAAAGACTGTTTAGGAAAGCCTTGTGTTACCCAGATATTGGTTAAAAATGCTGCTCTAACAAATCAGAACCAAGGAAGCTCTAGGTGACGTATGGCCAGCTTATAAAAGAGAACCACTCACAGCTAGACTTAAATAAAAATCTGACTATTCAGTTTTTAGCTATAATAACAGCATATAAATATTCATGAATGATTTATATTTACCTCCTTATTTAAGCTTTACTTACTTTAACTCTGATAATTCTGCTTGAGAGCCTGAGGTGAGAGGTCATGTGAAGTTTGGCTGTTGCTTTTCTATCAGCCTCGTGACCTGACACACAGGATGTTGGAGCTTCCAAACAACAAAGGATATCAGATAGCTGACGGGCAGGAACTGACAACCTTTAAGGCCTTGTTCACATCATACATGCAGAAAAACTGATGGAAACTGATGCACAGATTTCACTTGCAGAGACATCAGTTTTCATCCGTGCTAAAATTAGTTTAATATACATTGCAGATTCCTGTGCAGAAAAAAATCTGCATGTGTCACTAGTGTTGTTGTGTGAACAGGGCACACAGAGAACAATTGGATTTTGTTATGCCCTTGCAGAATGGGTGCAGAAAAACAAATTTATCTGCACCATGGTGTGACTGAGCCCTGACCCCCTGATGTAAGCTAAAAAGTGGGACAAAATAGGATCATGTAAATAAGGGGGCAAGTATAATTCTTGCACGATAATTATTTAGGGCTGAATCGAAATTCTCTCTTAAGCCCTCTTGACTGGCTCTCTTTAAGAACTAAAACACTACAATAAAATAAACCTAAATAAAACATCTGCTCTTTTTTCTAATATAAATAAGTAGCTGAGTGGGGAAAAAGCAAACTTGACCACCCAGAGCGACTATCTGTATAGAACACAGATGTAATGGCTAGAAAGTGCCAGCAGTACAGTATTTCCTGCACATTCTAGGGATCATGTGATGATGTTCACACTGCATGGTGACAGAAAATGCACATCCGGTCTTCACACAGTACCCAGTAACAGGCTAGAAGTTTATGAGATTTGCTTGATAGACACCATCATCTTTATCAATCTAGAAAATTTAAAAAAAATTGCAAAAATCAAGATCACAGCTGATATATTTGTTTCATCACAACCAAACAATTTAGCAGCTTAAAGCACAATAGAATGTTCTTGCTGCCTAATCCAGCTATGGGCCCTGAGTGAGTTACTACATGGATTTCATAAAACTAACATAGAACCTACTCCAAGCTTTGTAACCAGTAAAATCTAACTTGCAACTTAGGTCCCAGAAACCTTCTATAATTAGTTACAGGTGTCTGCAGTTATTGCAGGTTTCTGTGACTCGTGTTGCAAGTACTCATCATAATTTATTACATATATTATAATTGATATTTTTTGCTTATCTATTTGCTTCTTTTTTGGAATAAAAATAAATAATTGAACTTTCCAAAACATACTGAAGTCAATCTGCTCTACAAGACACTGCAATAGAGTTAGAATAAAAACAATTATCCGTTACTGCTTTATACAGTGAAAATATCTGCCAGAAATTGAATGATGTGAATGTAATCATGAAAGGGAGTTTCTGATGCAGAGGCAACATAGTGGCAGTGAGTGTAACTTCAGAAATACAGCCTACTATTGTGGCAAACCATACCTTGTAATCTCCCTTGGGCGGAATGTTTGGTTTCTGTGGCAGCTGAGGCTTCTTCAGAATTCCAGGTTTCTGTGTTGGTTTTACAGCTTCATCTGTTTCATCGTACACTCCTGCCAGGGCATAGTGTTTCTTCCTCAACTCCCCAAGTCGTATCCTTTCATTCTGAAGCATGTTTTCAAACTCAAGGACTTTAACCTGGGGTAATAATAAAAGAAAAAACAAGACAGTATTTTAAACACCAAAATCTGTCCTTATATCATTCACAGCTGAAAGGGTCCCCACACAGGCCAATTAAAGTACTGTACTTTGTAGCACCACTTGCAGTGACCCCAACAACCTAGATGGTTAAGCTGACCATACAGTGATGAAACCATAGGTGCATAGGTTAGTATGGAAAGGAACATCAGGCAAAATGAGTATCTGAAGCACGCTTCCTTCCTTGTTACAGGAAATAGCAGAAAAAAAAAAGTAAAATCTCTCAGGAAATATTACCATTTACACTACATTGTGTAGAAAATATTCTATCCTGAAGCATATGGATGTTTTCAATTTTATTTTCCCAATTTCAGGTTATGCAGATAAAATTTGAGAAAGGTCTGGCCAGTCTTTCACAGAAGTGATAAAGAGATAGACTAGTTTTACCTGAGTTTCCATCTCTTCTTTCTTTAGTTTAATTAGAGACATTCCAGAGAAGTCCATGGTATCTGCAGGAAACATGTTATTACTCAGCTTTTAATTGCTGGGAGCACTACATTAGGTCATATTCCAGTAAACAAACCTTTATCTTCAATCTGTTCTTGGCCTGACTTTGTGGAGGCAACTACTTTGGCTGCCATCTCATTCACGTGGCGGGAGCACTGCTGCAGTTTAGGCAAGTTCTTGCTGTTTCTGTCTGCCTTCACCTATATTCATACAATACATACACAAATGTAAAAGCAACTACAAAAAACGTAAGCTGAATCATTCCAGATAAAACAGGGTGATTTAAATCACAAATACTAAAACCAGCTTGTAAGTTATGACTGCAATACTAGAGAATTTTCACTTACCCGTAAAGTCTATATCTTGGAGTACAGTACAAGACACAGACCTGATATTCAAAGACCCTGGATGATAGGCTGGTACCTTCGGGTTGTTGGACACTGGAAAGCATTTGAGGACACCCCCCTAAGCATACCCCTACAACCCTACTCCACTCCATGAGTCCTCCATTTTTATTTTTTTCTAACAAGTAATGCAGAGTAACACAAACACAGACAGGTGGCTGGCTTGTGTCCTGTACTATACTCCAAGATATGAAATTAAAAGGCAAACAAGTCAAAATTGCTTTTATCTTACTTGTACAGTACAGGACACAAACTTGATATTCATAGTACCTTAAGGTGAATGGACACTGACAAAGCTTTAATAATATGCCTTCTGGGTATTCCCCTACAACCCTGCGCCATTCTGCAAGTTCCCAGTTTTTAAGCAAGCAATGCAGAGTAACACAGGAACAGAAGGGAGGGTGGCCAGTGTCCTATACTGTAGTCCAAGTTATGGAATTTACAGGTAAGTAGAAACAGAGGAATTTTGACTTACCAGGTATTAATAACGGAATCAGAGACCCCTCTGTCTTAAATCTCTATCTCACACCTGGGCTTTAACAGTCCTGCTGCTAAAACCAGAGACTGATAAGCAGAATGAAATGAAAGGTCCAGAGACAGCACATCTGGCCTGCTGGCATGAGGGTCCTCTGCTACAAGTCTGAGAATGTCTGTGTTCCAGGATCTTCTGGGCCACTTTTGAGGAAGAAGGTCATTCTCCTTGCACCAATCTATTTTTTGAGCAGAGGTGGTATAGATTAGTCTGAGATTAGTCTAAACTAAGACCAGGGAACTATCAAGGCATCTCAACCTAATGCTAGAGGATCCTTGATTCTGGCCACAAATAGAGGTAGTTTGGATGTAGACTTCCTAACCTTAAGATTAAAAAAAAAAAAAAAAAAAATCTCACATTTCTGACATAATAGATTGAAGATATCTGGGTGAAGGAACCAATTCTCTTTATCCAGGCAGTGGCTGTAGTTCGTTTTCCAGTTGTCCACTTTTGGGATGTGCACCACAGATATCACAGTACAGTGAGTTTCTGTCCATGAGATTATGTGGCTGACTTCCTTCAAGGTTAAATAACCTCTGGTGTCCCCTTGATGGCTGATGTATACCATAGCCACACTCATTGGATGTCCATGTAGAATCCAGTGTTGCAGAGCCATTTGTATTGCTCTGAGCTACAGGATGTTGATAGGAAGCTTGGCTTACAACAGTGAGCATGTTCCTGGACTGCAAGGAACTGGAACACTCCTCCCTAGCCTGAACGACTAGCATCTGTACTTATTAAAGCAGTAGTTAACAGAGCAAAAAAAAAAAAATAAATAAAAACTGGTTCCCCTGCAGTTTAATGACAGAATCGTGACACTTGTGCATTCCATTCAGAACACAGTGTGCATGCGCTGGTGATGTCAATGGCTGCAATACATGTGAAGATCTCCTAAACGATGCACATTTAGGAGATATTCACTGTACCTACAGGTAAGCCTTATTGGCACACCTGTAGGTACAAGTTAAAAAGCAGAGAGTTTACTACCGCTTTAGGAAGATGAGGAAGAAAACACTTCTGGACAGGAGCATGGGTAGGTCTAGAAAATGAGTATACTTGTTCCAGGTAAACAAGATGTTGTGATGGAGAGGTCTTGAATGAAATTGTGTAAGTGGTACAGCCTTGAAGGAGGCAATGATCAGGCCTAGAACTCTCATGGACAATCCAATTGTAGGATGTTTCTTTGCTCTCAATCTTGGGCGTGGGCTTTGAGAGAAAGAATTTTCATTTCTAGAAAGAAAACGTTTGCTTGGTAAGTTTCCAGGGCCAAACCCAAGTATTCCATGCAAAGAGAAAACTGGAGAGAAAAATTTTGTAAACTGATCACTCAAAACAAAGGCCTGAGCAGCTGAATTGTCCTGTGGACATCTGCAGGCGGCTGTAGGGGAGATAAATCAGGGGTTCATCTAGATAACCTGTGACCAGAAAGTTATGAGAACAAGAAGAGGTGCTAGGACCTTTGTGAATACTTAAGGGCAGTCTGAAAAACTGGAAATGGCTGTCTACAACTGCAAAGCAAAGAAAGCACTGATTAGGTGAATAAATGGGAATATACAGATAAGCGTCTATGTCCAAGGATGCTAGGCATTCCCAATGCCTCATTAAGGTGAATACTGACCTAGCACATTTCATGTGAAATTTTTGAATTTGAAGGAACTTTAGGTTCAGAATACGAACAACATGCCCATTGGGGTTTAGTACCATGAACATGTTTGGATAGAATCCTTTGAACCTGTCTTTTGGGGATACTGGCACAACTATTCCCTGACCAAAACACCAATTCAGGGCATTATGCAATTCTGTTGCGGTTGATTTGTGTGAAGAAAGCAGTAAGGAGGTAGAGTCTTGAACTAACTTTTACCCTTTTTAAACCACTGATTGAACTCACAAGTTTGGGAAGTCTGTAACCCATAGAGAGGCCAACAAAAAGACTTCACCCCCCCCTCCCCACTATTAGGAGTGAGGGTGCCCCTTCATTAGGAAAAGGGCTTTGTGGGCCAAGTCTTACGCCAAAAGGATAGGCTGAACTTATGTTCGGAAGCTGAAGCATGAACACAGTGGTTAGTGCACTGTGTTTTGAGGAGGTAGAGGCTCCTGAGGAGGAGGTTTTGAAATCTATTACTGTGAAAGTAAAAACTTCCCTCCTGTGACATCTGATGAATCAGTCAAGTGCCTAACCAAAAAAGAGGTTTGCCCTTTTTGCGGGCAGCTTCAGCTAACTAGGCTTTGACCACAAAATTCTGTACATGTGAATGGAGTTTAGAGCCATTTTAGAAATTTATCTCACAGCATGTCCTAGACCTAGGGCATCCTCACAAAAGAGCAGAGCAGAAGGTAATTGCTCCATTAAAGTGCCATCCTGGAATACAGGATCATTTTAGTTGTTTACTGCCCTTGCCACTTAGCTGCAGTTTGACATACTGAAATTGCAGCAATAGCTGGTTGCAGGACTGGGCTTGCCAGTGTAAAAAGAGCCTTTAGAAATGTCAAACGTTCTATCTGTCGTATCTTTGAATGTAGAAGCATTTTCAATTGACACAATGAGATGTTTATGACTGAAAGGGCAGGGTCAACTACAGGAACAGACCAAAAATCTTTGCTGAACTCTATCCAGTGGAAAAAGTTCGCTAAAAAGTGGAGGAATGAAAATTTTCTGCCGTGATCCAATCATCATAGTTTGACAATTCTATTCGTGCATGAATGGGGAATGTCTTAACAGGCTTTGCAGGTCTCTTTGTACCCAAATGGGCAATAGATGGCTCAGAGCATTCTGCAGATCTGATTGTCCTTGAGTAGATTTTTGTTGGTTTGAAAGAAGAAAATGGTGAGGGGTTAGACTTTGAAACCACTCATTGAACCCACAGGTCTGAGACTGTCTGGAACCCAGAGAATGGCAAACTCTACCAGACAACCCCCCAAACTTAGGAGTGAGGGTGCACCTTTATTAGGAAGAGGACTTTGAGGTAGACATGGTGGAATTTGTATTCAAAGTCTGGCGCCGAAAGGAAGGCCTGAATTTTGGCATAGAAGTTGAAACCTGGGCACAGCACTGAGGTGTTCATTTTGAAAAGGTAGTAGCCCCCAAGGAGGGGGATTTTAGAACCCTCTGTTGTGAAAGGATCTTTCCTTCTGTGAAATCTTTGAAGGAGGACATCTCATTGGCGAGGCACCTGACAAAGCCAACAAGGGGCATATGTGCAAGACGTCTTTTACAGGCAGCTTTAGCGGTATAGACTTTAAACCGCAAGATTCTGGCAATAGGAACAGAAATCAGAACCATTCCGGAGATTTGTGTAATGTTCTATGGCATAAACACAAAAGAGCAAAGCAGGGGGTAATGTTTGTGAGTGCTTTGCCAAAATAATGTTAGACAGGGGTGGGCAGCCTGCAGCTCTCCAGCTGTTGTGGAACTACATTTCCCATGATGCATTGCAAAGACCGGAAGTTACAAGCATGACTCTACAAGTCCCATGAGACATTGAAAAACTGACAGTTACAGCTATGACTTGCAGAGGCATGATGGAACTTGTAATCCTGCAACAGCTGGACAGTCGCAGGTTGCCCACCCCTGCCCAGTCCAATTTGCTGTGACTTGAAGAGCAAAAACTACAGCAAAAGCTGGTGCCAAACTTTTGGTCAGCAGAATCTTTGAATAAGGAACATCTTCAATGGGTACAGCAGGATGTTTAAGACTGAAACGGCAAAATCGATTACCAGAACAATCCATTTTTTTGTAAACTTTTTCCACTGGTTGAGCTCAGCAATGATTCTAAGAAAGGTGAAACTTTTTTCAGGACTGACTCAATCATTATAAATAGTCCATTCTATCTGTTCGTGAATGAATAATGTCTTTTTAGACTTTGCAGGTCTCTTACTAGAGGAGAATCAAAAGCGAAAATGCCGAAGGTTTTGCACATAACAGAAGTGAGGAAATCAACATTGGCAGGCATGCTGCGCGAAGCTGACACATTAGGTGTATAGGAGCCTGAGTTTGAAAAATCTTCCACAGCTCCCTCTAATACTACCTAAGTGGAAAATGGTTCAAGTATGTCAGTGAAGGAGTATGCAGCAACATTGGTGTCGACCGTTCTGTAGCAAAGTTCTTGTAGCAAAGTCCCTTACAAAAAGCTTTAGACAGAAGAGGCAGTAAACTTTGCAGCCTGTGGTGTGATGTTAACACCTAGTGATCAACCCGAGACTAAGCTCCTAATCATGGAATTTTAGCACCAAGTTTAACACTGTGTTGGTGGATTAGTTTCAACAGCATTCCCCGTTTCCCGATAGTTTTAACGTATAAATGAATACTATTCAGGATACACAAAGCATACAGCAAGTAGCAGAGATATATGTGAATTTTACGGTATCCCTTAAATAATTCAATACAATAAGGCTATAAATAGCATAAAGATACACTTTCCCCCAAAAAGTGTAAAAAAAACTGTGAATATAAATATGCTAATACCAATATTCCCAAAAGTATATATCACACAAATGTATTAAAAAAAAAAAAAAAAAAAAAGTCCAAAAATAGATAAGAAATAAGATTAAAATAAATATAATATAAAAAGGTCACTCTGTGCCAACTTCAATCCTCAATCTTCATATTCAGCCTTTCAATGGCTCACAAAGAAACCTCAACATAAAAAGAAAAATCACATAGTGCATTATCTTAAATAAAATATAAATGGAACAGATGTGATAAACGCAAACAACCCTGCGTGATCACAAATAGTGAAAAAAGTGAAAGTGTCAAAACAGTGGCAGTGAATCAATGGAGTGAAAAATATACATCCAAAAACAGCCTGTGAAACACTGTGTCCACATCTATGGTGTAAGGAGTGAGTACCCTTACCAAAAATATGTAAATAATATGCCTTTACACCTCCTGGCCAGGGTATTATCACAAATTCTGCTTCAACCAAAGGATCATCACAGCCTCATGGATCAGATCAAGATGTCATCCAGAGATAGCACCTTTCAAGTATAACCATCAATCTCCACCAATCCACCGATGCCCACCATATATAGAATAAATCATAGTGTAAACCCGCATAAACAATTTAAATACTTTATTGAATATGCTTACATCATGATTCCTCTTTAATCCCTCGCCTACAGGGCACTTATACCCCCTTCCTGCCCAGGCCAATTTCCAGCTCTCAGCGCTGTCACACTCTGAATGACAATTGCGCGGTCATGCAACACTGTACCCATATGAAATTGTTATTTTTTTTGTGACAGATAGAGCTTTATTTTGGTGGTATTTAATCACCTCTGGGTTTTTTATTTTTTCTTAAACCAAAAACCACTGAAAATTTTGAAAAAAAAAAAGTTTTTTCTTAGTTTTCGTTATAAAATTTTGTAAATAAGTGATTTTTCTCCTTCACTGATGTACGCTAATGAGGCTGTAGTGATGGGCACTGATAAGATGTACTGATGGACACTGATAGGTGGCACTGATGAGGAGGCACTGGTAGGTGGCACTGATGGGCATTGACAGGCAGCACTGATAGGCGGCACTGACTGGCACTGTTAGGTGGCACTGACTGGCACTGATAAGTGGCACTGACTGGCAGCACTGATAGGCATTGATAGGTGGCACTGACTGGCACTGATGGGTGACACTGAAGGGCAGCTCAGATGGGCACTGATTTGTGGCATTGATGTGCACTGGTATGCACGGATATGTGGCACTGATGGGCACTGGCACGTGGCACTGTTCAGCTGGCACTGATGGACTCTGACAGGTGGCACTTCTGTGCCCTGATGATCAGTGTACATGTCCCCTCCGCGGAAAGCTGATTACCGGCTCTCCTCTCCTCACGAGCTGTCAGCATGACAGCTCGAGAGGAGAGAAATGCCGATAACCGGCATTTCCCTGTTTACATGTGATTGGACACAGCTGATCACATGACTGAGCCGAGATCTTCGGCTCTTTCCGTGATCGATGATCCCGTGTCCGGGGACACAGAGCACCGCCGATCGCCACACTGCGCGCTCCCTGAGCCGCGCATGCGCGGTGAGAATGGCAGGACGTCATATGACGTCCTATCAGAACGAGAGAACCACCTTGCGCCCGTCATTGGACTATATGGCGGGCGGGAGGTGGTTAAAATAGCCTTTATCAAAATATCTAAACCTCTCAGAGTTCCCTGGTTCCTCCATGTGAACTTCTATAAGGTTTTTCCAGATTCTAAAATGGCCGCCGGATCACTTCCGGTTCCTCTATGTGTCTGACATCACTTCCCTTGACATGTTTCCTCACCTGACAATCATAAGGATTAGGCTCAATATGAAGATTGAGGATTGAAGTTGGCACAGAGTAACTTTTTATATTATATTTATTTTAATCTTATTTCTTATCTATTTTTGGACTTTTTTTTTTTAATACATTTGTGTGATATATACTTTTGGGAATACAAGTAGCAGAGATAGTACATCTCTTACTTGCTCTGAGGCTACAGCAACAGTTCAAAAAACAGGGTGACCTTGTCTTACTTGATCATGCCACTTGTCCCTATATAGGTGGGCAGAGTCTGAGTTCCATAGGGATGGACGGCAGCCCTGGAACTGTGCCAGGGCAAACGCCAAGGCTGGATGCAGGAGAAACATTACAGGCCAGGTGGGATCCAGGTATAGCTCCCAAGGTTTTACCGAAGTAAAGAGAAGAGGTCCATCACCTTAAGAAACTAGCAAAAATCAGAGGACTCATGGGGAGGGGCAGGGTGATAGGGGGATGCCCTGGGGATGAGTCCTCTAAAGCTTTGCTAGTGTCTATTCACTTGAAGATAGCAGTCCATAACCCAAAGTCTACGAATATAAAGCAAATGTCCTGTACTGTACGACTGACATAATGGGATTTTTGTACTTATTATAAAATCCATTTCTTGAAGTTCATTGAGGGACACAGATATTCAGATAATCTGGTTATATTGCTTCCTACAGGAGGATTGCAAGCCTCCTATAGTATAACTCCTCCTACCCAGCATGCATCAATTTTTTGGTAAAGCAGTACTAAAGTCATGAACAAAAACCAGAGGGGCAGGTCCTGTGTCCCCCAATCGACTCCATGAATATGGCTTTTAGGGTAAGTGCAAAAATTATATTTTATTTTATAAACTGAGACATAGGAATTCAGATACCATTATCCAAAAGCAGTCCTACTAAGGGGTAGGCAACAGAGCAAAAAATAAATAACAAAAAACACTTACAGGCCTTACTAGAAGGATTAGGGACCACCTAGAGCCCAGGTCTGGGTAACAAAGACCAGCCGATTCAATATGGAAAGGCTTGGGATCTAACAACCCTAACACCTTAAGGTTAAGGGGATAAAACTTTGTGAGTAAAAGGTCATCTAGAGAGGCAACCAGCCTCGCTAAACATGGTACACCAGAGAAGGTATTAGTACAACCCAATAGCCCACAAGGGTGTAAAGAGATCCCTGAAACCACAAGAGAACTCAAAGGGTTCAATCCCATGAAGTCAACATGACAGAAGGAAAATGGTGCAAGGAAGCCACAAATATAGGCAAGAAGGAGAATAAGACCTCAGCCCCAGACTGGTGAGGTGGGGACCACCATTATATACAGAGGAAAAAAAAAAAATGGAAAAAACACCCTCTCTGACCTGGAAATCTTGCTACAGTTAACTTTTAACCAGTATACTCAGGTTTCGAAAATGCCACAGTACAGAGCCAGGTGGGATAAAAAGCCGACTAATGGCTGCTATATGGAGATAAGAATTAATGTAGCGAGAAATCTTGATTACAGTCAATGAAAGAAGAGTAAGTGAACTAGGAAATGCTGACAAAAACACTGGACAGACCTTTCTCAGCACAGCTAGAGTAAATATGTAGATACTCTAATGACATTAACAAAAAAAATGAAACATGCTGGGTAGAGAAGGGGATTATACTCAGTAGGACTGCTTTTGAACAACCCAACAGTATCTGAATTCCTGTGTTTCAATGTATAAGAGAAAATGGGAGTTTTGCATTTACCCTAAAATCCTTATTCTTGGGAGTCCATTGAGGGGCACATGTTCTGCCCCTCTGTGAGTTTTGTTCATGCCTTTAGTATTGCTTTACAAAAAAAAAAAAACGAAACATGCTGGGTAGAGGTGGTGTTATACTGTGGGCTGGCTTACAATTTTTCTATTTGCCATTGTTCAATCCTCATGTAGGCAGCAGCACAACCCGATGGTATCTGAATCCCTGTTTCCCTCAGTGGACAAGAAAGAAAAGATGGCAATAAGATGATGCAGTGTGTCTGCTGATTTCAGAATCAGTAGGCTAAATATTACCTTGGATGCAGCCACCAGCTGTGCTGTACTGGCAGCAATTTCGTGGGATCCAACAATAAGTTCTTCATATTTGCCTTTGTGAAGAACAACATTGTCTGCGGATTCCCTAAAATGACAAATATATATTAGATAGTGAATTGTCACTTAACCCTGTGTATCCCCCATAGCATTCAAACACAGAAATGAAGTGTTAATAATGTCACAGAATATTACACTAGCTGGGTAGCTCCCCATCCCACAGCCTTTGATGCAGATATTAATCCTTCCGTCCAGCGCGAGTTCTTCGCATAAAACTCTTGTGTTGTTGCTGCTCCCTGGTTAGTGGATATGAAAATGACAGTAAGCACTGGGAACCAAAGTCAGTGATCTTTCAATTTTTTCACAATTCTGTGCACATATAGTAATTCATCAATACTAAACAAAATCTAAAACATATATAGAATTAGTTTCAAAACAACAATGCCCTCTACAAATCACAGTTTTAGATAGTAGACATAATGTAATCCCTCACACCGCAACTACAATGTAATATGTATGCACTCCATGGCTTTATTCTAGTTACACACTGTATGCATTAGATATATTTATTCATCACTATTTTGAAAATTACTTTAGGTGAAAATTAAGATGGCAGAATGTTATAATAATGCATAAAGCCAGACAGCCCACTGACCAAGTGGTTAACACTCTTGCCTTGCAACACTGGGTCTGAATGTTAGGTAGGAAAGTACACTATATTGCCAAAAGAATTGGGACGCCTGCCTTTACACGCACATAAACTTTAATGGCATCCCAGTCTTAGTCCGTAGGGTTCAATATGGAGTTGGCCCACCCTTTGCAGCTATAACAGCTTCAACTCTTCTGGGAAGGCTGTCCACAAGGTTTAGGAGGGTGTCTATGGGAATGTTTGACTATTCTTCCAGAAGCACATTTGTGAGGTCAGGCATTGATGTCGGACGAGAAGGCCTAGCTCACAGTCTCTGCTCTAATTCATCACAAAGGTGTTCTATCAGGGTGAGGTCAGGACTCTGTGCAGGCCAGTCAAGTTTATGGACCTTGCTTTGTGCACTGGTGCGCAGTCATGTTGGAACAGGAAGGGGCCATCCCCAAACTGTTCCCACAAAGCTGGGAGCATGAAATTGTCCAAAATGTCTTGGTATGCTGATGCCTTAAGAGTTCTCTTCAATGGAACAAATGGGCCAAGCCCAACCTCTGAAAAACAACATTACACCATAATCCCAACTCCACCAAAGTTTACACAATGCAGTCAGGCAAGTACCATTCTTCTGGCAACCCCCCAAACCCATGTCCAGCAGATTGCCAGACAGAGAAGCATGATTCGTCACTCCAGAGATCATGTCTCTACTGCTCTAGAGTCCAGTGGTGGCGTGCTTTACATCACTGCATCCGACGCTTTGCATTGCACTTGGTGACATAAGGCTTGGATGCAACTGCTTGGCCTTTGAAACTCATTCCATGAAGCTCTCTGCTCACTGTTGTTGTGCTAATTTGAAGGCCACACCAAGTTAAGTTTGGAGGTCTTTAGCTATTGACTCTCAAACAGCTGACGACATCTGCGCACTGAGCTCTTCAGCATGCGCTGAACCCGTTCTATCATTTTACATAACCTACCACTTCGTGGCTGAGTTGCTGTTGCTCCCAGCTGCTTCCACTTTGTTATAATACCACTAACGGTTGACAGTGGAATGTTTAATAGCAAGGAAATGTCATGGATGGACTTATTGCACAGGTGGCTACCTATCACGGTACCACGCTTGAATTCACTGAGCTCCTGAGAGTGACCCATTCTTTCACAAATGTTTGTAGAAGCAGTCTGCATGCCTAGGTGCTTGATACACCTGTGGCCATGGAGGTGATTGGAACACCTAAAATCCAATGATTTGGAGGGATGTCCCAATACTTTTGGCAATATAGTGTATGTGTACTGAGTTTGAGGTGTAGTTGGCCTTTAACCCCTTCATGACAGAATATAAAAGAAATCTTAACGCCCAAACCCAGTTTTGCAACTGTGGCATTTCTTACTAAAACTGTACATATCATTGTGACTACATAAAAAAAAGTATGGACTTTAAACAAAACAAAAAAAAAAAAAAAAGATTTATACTCACCAAGGTGGAAGCAGCATCGTTCCAATGCTGCATCTGCTCCCTGCTGGCTCTGCAGTGAGAACAGAAAGCTCAAACACAGCTGATCACTCAGTTCTCCGCTCTGAGCAGAGAGCTGTGACTGTCAGTCTCTGGCTCTCTGCTCTGCCCCTTCAGTACTGGAACACTGGGCTGTGGAGGGGGTGAGAACAGCTGTCTCAGGCCCTTTGCAGATCGCTGAGAGGCTGAGCCAGGTGCCGGTCCAGGCTTCCGGGTGGATCCCGACCATATGGTTGGGATCTTTTCAGAGCCTGGACTGGATGAGTGACATCAGCCAACAGCAGACTGTCACTCCTGTGACAGAAATGTTACAGGAGTGCAGAACGAACTGCACAGTTGTGACCTACAGGAGAAGTATAGCCAAGCTTCTATTATTTTTATTACCAAAAGGAAAGAAGGGTCTTGCTTTTTTGGCAAGTGTCTTTCTTTCCATTAACATGATCCATCAAAAAAAAAAAAAAAAAGTCAGGAGTAGAATTTATTTTCCGATTTTCATGGCAATCCCACATATACAGTATATATGCATTATTTATTGTTCGTGCCCATAGCAGGGACCAGGCACAATAGTGCTCATTGTGCTTTTTTTTTTTCCTACCAACACTGGCAGAGACACTGGAGCTTACACAAACACGAAATAGAAACCCTTTTTTTTTTATTTCTCCAATTCTACCCAAAACATATTGACGTTTCCAACAGACAAAATAGTTAGAACAGGGCTTGATCTGTGTTATTATCTTTTTTTAGGTTTCTTCCGTTTTACCACAGAATTCTTTGGATTACTAATTACTTCTCCTAGATTGTAAGCTCCAAGGAGCAGGGCCCTCCTTTCCCTCTTGTATTTAACTGTATTGTTGTTGTATTGTCTCCCGTTATATTGTAAAATGCTGAGCAAACTGTTGGCGCTATATAAATCCTGTATAATAATAATACTAATGACTACTAATCACTGTAATAGTCAAGCACACAATCAGGAGCTGACTTTCCAAGCTCCTGACCAAAAGTATGAGACCCAGAGCTGACTTCATATTGAGACACACTGTGGAGCACAAACACAGGTGTGCATGTATGAAGTGCCATGAAGGAAGGCCCACTTTTGTGACTCTGCATATATGTGCGACATCAGGGCCAAAGGGTTAACATGCCTGCACTATATAAAACACAGTAAAATTAAACATACCCTTCCACTCTCCACAATCTCCTTTTGCAGATTGGTAGAGGTGATCACCAGCTGTCGAATGGCCTGTAACAGAAAGAAGCCAATATCTCCATTTATACAGAATTTTAATGCAATAACATTTTAACATACCCTGCTAATATGGGTGATGACAGTTGTGAGGCTTTTCTACAGTGACACCTAAGGGTGTATTTGTAAAGAAATAGTGACATTCATGCTGCATGTATATTTGTTCTGTGCAAAAGCAGGCAAAATTGAATGATACAAGGCTCTTTTCACTCCACATCTGATGCTCTTCATTCATATGAATCAGAAGAATGCCACATCATGGCCAATAGATGAAGTCAATGATCACAGTAAATAGGTATTTCCTAAAATCACATTTCCCTGATTTGCATTATTATGAATAAAGAACATCTTATTTCTACAGAGAACAGCCTGGTTTTGCCAGCATTTGCACATAACAATTGTACATGCAGTTTCACAGGACGAGCGGCTCTGCTTTCTTTTTAGTATTCAATATACAACAAACATTAGTATTTTGGTCCTTTCTGCTGTTGGTAATGATTATACACCTCAAATATTATTTTTTTGTACCGACTAGTAAATCTTCATGGAGTTAAAGTTATGCTGCCTCCTAAAGCAGGATTGGACACTGAAACAGAAGAATCATAAGCCAGCCCCTGTAAAACCCCTCCTCTATTCACCATGCATCAGTTTGCAGCAAGAGGTGCCAAGAGCATTAATCTAAATATAGAGGGGTGGGTGCCATGTCCCCAGTGGACTCCAAGAAAAGGATTTTTTTGTAAGTACAAAGACTTTATTTTCTTCCTTGTCCACTGAAGGACAGGAATTCTGATACAGTCGACATGCAAAAGCAGTCCAACTGTGGAACAGGGAAACACAGCAAAAACCGCTAATAGGGCCAAGAAAAACTGGGGACAGTGTGCAGTTCAGAAGCCACCTGAAAGAGGAATGCCCAAATCTGAACTGGTGAGGCACAGCTTCCTACCAGATATGGGAGCCGCCAATACAAACAGAAGCAGGGCAAGGAGAATCACCATGAAGCTCAATATCTAGATAGATCACCACCAGGGGTGGCTATTCCACATGGAAGTGACCACCAAATCTTAAACTGAGAAGGTGAATTAAAAAAAAAAAAAAAAAAAAAAACAAAAAAAAACCAAAACAATCAAACAAAAAAAAAATCCTATGAAGGGAATAAAGGACCCATAATATGTGGTCAATAGAAGGCTGGAGACAACCCTTAAAAGGAACAGGTCTCAAGAAAGAACTAGGGCAAAACATGTCCAAGTAAGAAAGACTAGTTGGTCTACATGAGAATGCCCAAGGCTTTTAAACCCCTAGCCCTTAAGGTCAAGGGGATGGAAACTGACTAAAGAGGTTGTCTGGCCAGACAAGATCGCCAGACAACCCAGGTATTTAATCACAGGAAGTCAATGGGACCAAAGAGGTATAAGGCATGGGAGGAACCCCTACAAGAGTGGTCAGGAAACGAAGTTAGATCTCCACCCTGACTTCTGAGGTAGGAACCACCAGGCAGAACTGAATATGAGGCTTATACATCCTCTCTGGCATACAAGGCGTTGTTGGGACCCTTTCGAAGGATCCTGCTGAATCTGCCTATCCCTGACCACACATTATCGGTCTAAGAAAACACTTGATCCATCATATCCAGCATAGTGTCAACAGCTGATGGTTCATTTTCAGGATTTCTGGAGACCAAGGTAGCAGAACTGGCTTAGGTAAAGCTTACTAATGCAATGGGCACTGATGGTATTCATCTCAGAGTTCTAAGAGAACTTCAGAATATAGTTGTTGAACCATAAATGGATCTTTTCAAACAAACTCTTCCAAGAGGAGTACTTTCCATGGCTGGCAGACAACTAATATTGTACCAATCCACAAGAACAGTACCAAGGTAAAAGATGGCAATTACAAACCAGTGAGTTTAGCATCTGTTGTACTCAAGTTAACAGAATCAATCCTAAACAGAAGGATCATTGAAAAAACACACAACTTACTGGATCCAAAGCAATATGGCTTTACTGAGGGCAGGCCATGTCACACTAATCTGATTTAACTATATCACTAATGTTTTTGAGCAAGGTGGTGCTGTGGACATTTTCTTGATCTTGATTTCAGCAAAGTATTTGATACAGTTCCACATAATGATCTAACAATGTTATACAACCTACGGTTTAACTCCTGGGGGGTTCAGAGGTTACGGTTGGCTAAAGGATGGATAGCAGAGTGTGGTTGTAAATAGGGTTCATCTGAAACAGAGACCAATCACTACTGGTGTACCACAAGGCTCAGTACTAGTTCATGTTCTATTTAAACTATATGTAAGTGATATACAGTACTGTGCAAAAGTTTTAGGCATGTGTAAAAAATGCTGTAAAATTAAGAATGCTTTCAGAAATAGTAGTGTTCATAGCTTATTTTTAACAATTAACAAAATGGAAAGTAAATGAACAGAAGAGAAATCAAAATCAAATCAATATTTGGTGTGACCACCCTTTGCCTTCAAAAGCAGCATCAATTCTTCTAGGTACACTTGCACACAGTTTTTGAAGAAAATCTACAGGTAGGTTATTCCAAACATCTTGGAGAACTAACCAGAAATCCAGGCAGCTGGTGCGGATTACAGACCGTTGGCTGGAAGTGACCTGGTTACTTAGTGGGGAGTAGGAAAAGACTGAGGTTGTGTGGTTCTACTTGGAGCAGTGGCAGGATGGTGCTTTTCCTACGCTGAATGGCAGGAAAGAAAAAAAAAGTGTGCAGGATATTCCACCCAACAGTAGATGTCGTTCTTAATCCCTCAACATTAACCTATTTCACAGCAAAAACGGTGGCAGCAGGAAAATTGAAAGGTGCCCAGCAGTGCAAATGGTGGGGTAGCTTCCACTGCTTTAGCCCGATAGAACTTACACTTGGAGTGAGTCTGTAGACGCAGGATCAAGTGCTGAGACAATCTACACCAGGGTTAGGCAACCTTAAAGAGGTGGAGATCTGCCTGCACAACATGGGAGACGTCAAAGATCACCGGGCACAGTGTCTCCTCCTCACACACCTGATTTAAACCTCTAATTGCTGTGTCTACTGAGTTGCAATCATGTGCATTGCACAGCAATCATGAGTTTAAATCGGGTGGTAAGGAGGGACTATATCGCCTCCTCGCCACCTGTCAAACATACCGCTATCGCTTTTCAGAGGAGCAGCGGCTCCTGCTGTACTTGGGAATGAGCCCTTAGTTGCATTTGGCAGCGGCATCCTTAGGGCTCATTCACACGTAAAGTTGGGGGTGGTAAAGCCCTTTGGTTGAGTTGCGCTTTTGCCATCCCCAATCCCTACCCCCTTCAGGTGTATACCTTTCGCAGCAGGAATTAAGCCTCCTGTTGCTTTTGTTGGGTGCTACCGCCTGCCAACTGTAACCTATTCAAGTAAATGGGGCAACTCTGCAAGCGCCCCACAAATGCATGCTTCTGTGGGGTCCAAGGGGTTAAAGCAAATGGTGAGAAAAAGCAACACAATGCTGCTTCCTTTAACCCCTTGTTTGCTATACTGCACAAAGATGCAGGGCACTTGCAGAGCAGCCTCATTCATGCTTGGCAGGTGCTACACCCACCAACCATGACAGGGTGTAAAACACTGCGGCTGCGACACCTGTATTCCCCTGGCCACTGCTACTAAAGGGGGTGAGATTGGGGTAAGGGGAGGTAAAAACACATCTTACCTATGGGGTTTTACCACCCCCCAAACTGCAAATGTAAATGAACCCTTACTGTTCTGAGCCCCCATGAGGCTGCTTTCATACTGATGGGCTGAGGTTTACCTGCACCGTGGGTACAGTACAGTGCATCTGCGACTTTCCTGGGATAGCTACGCTTTGCCATAGACTTCTATTATATCCTGCAGGTGTGATGCACTTTCTGAAAGAGCACCAAAATGCCTGCATGCAGGATTATTGGTGCACTTTCAGAAAGCGCACCAAACATATAGGATATAATAGAAGGCTATGACTAAGCACAGCAAACCCGCAGGAAAGCTGCAGGTACACTGCACTGCACCCATGGTGTGGGTAAACTGCAGCACATAAGTGTGTGAAAGAAGCCCTATACTATTATGCCCAGTGTATTGCTTCATACTGACCTGAAAAATCTCTTCTTTCTGGCTGCTGGCACCACTCTGGAGGCCGCCAGGCGGGATAAGAGGTGGAGTGCAGTTGGTATCGTTCTGCACGGGACAGGAGTCGGCACTACAGAGGAGGCATCGGCTTTTGTGGCTCTTGCCCCAGCGTCAACTTTACAAGTAGTCCCTTTGCATTGCACGGTTTGATTCTCTGGGATGGCGTGTCAGCAAGCCCAGACTGCGATCTACCAGTCACCTGGCTGAGATCTACTGGTAAATCGTGATCTACTGGTTGCTGACCCCCAATCTATACAAAGGTCTGAAAAGACTTTGTAAAGACTGATCTGGATATCTGCTTTGTAGGGACTAGCTCAAGCAGTGAGGAATCTTGACTCAAAACGATGGAAGAAAGTTACAAAGGACAAAATAAAAGTGAAGTAAAAAGTCTATCAAAGAACGGTTAGGCTATTCTCAGCAGAGACGAAAAAAAAAGATGTCCATCCTCCCAAGATACTAGCAAAAAAATGAGGCATACTGGGTAGAGAAGCGGTATTCTGAACTGTGACCCTCAGTGGATGAGCAAAAAAAAATGGGTTAGTATGGTTGAGTCTCAGAAGGGTTGACAATTAAATAATAAACATGGTCTTGTCAAGATACAGGCAAAGAAAAACACCCATCTCAGTTCTTGCTGTTGCACTTAAATATTTAACGTAAATCAAAATACTTCCACAGCCCTATCTGCGGGGCTCAACAAATCCCAGACCCTGTTAGTTAAACATTTCACCGTATTTCAGAAGTCTGTCAAAGCTATATATCTATAGGGATGTGCAATTCCTATAGCCCGATGCCCAGGACATGCAGTTCCAGGCACCGGTCAAGAGGTTTTTCTTTACATTTAGCCCTGCTGCGGGCAAGCAGCAGGAATTACATCCAACGGTCAGCTCTCTTGTAAAAGAGATCCAAGAAGCTAACTCGCCCCAGGACACCCGATCGACCATCTGGCGCTTCCGCCGGCTGATCAGACCGGAACTGCTCTGTTCGCCTCTATGGTATAAGAAGCAGGAAGTGATGAGCAGACATCACTTCTGATTTCCCCAGATGTAAATGGCACAATTTTTAAAAATGGAAAGCATTTGATCACACCGATCTTGTGTGATCAAATGCTTTTAAGGGCAGAGGAGGGATATGGAGTCTTATTGACCTCAGATCTCTTGAAAAAGAGCTCTGTCACTGCCAATTGCTGCCACAAAGGATGTTTACATTTCTTGTGAGAGCAATAAAAGTGATAAAAAAAAAAAAAAAAAAAGTGTTAAAGTAATTAAAATTGTTTTTAAAGCACCCCCCATCCCCGCGCAAAGGCGAAAGCATGCGTCAGTCCTGCACACATGCAAACAGCAATCGGCATCACCGAGAATGTCAGATCATGGGCAGCAACTAACACTAGACCTCTTGGTAAATCTAAGGTGGTAACTTGTAAAGGGTCGCCTATGGATAGCAAAATTTACGTTGTTTGTTGCTGCTGCAAGGGCATGTACAATTTTAAAGTGCAACATGTTTGGTATCTATTTACTCAGCGTAGCATCCTTTATATTTTCTCTAAAAATGTGGCTTAGTATTGTGGTTTTTTTGCATTAGAAAACAAAAAAGGTGTATTTTTTTCCAAACAAATTGCATTTCAGAAACTGCTGCGTAAATACCGTGTTACATTAAAAAAAAAAAATCTCAAAAACCCCCCAATTTATTCTCTAGAGCCTCTGCTATATATAATGTTTGGGGGGTTCTAAATTTTCTAGCCATTTAAGTTGCCATAAAGCCTCTTTCGTTTTTAAAATCCCCAGACATTCCTAAAAGCACCTCTGCCTAACAAAAAACATCAACCCTTCATATATTTTCCAACCTTGCAAAAATTGTTTTTGTTTTATCAGGACAAGTAGATTGTCATGAGGGCCAAGTAGATTGGAACCCTGATTTAGTCCTTGGACAAGTAGTTTTTTTTTTTTTTAAATTTCCACACTCCTAATCTATGAGAAATTAGAGGAAAACTCACACCTGGACCATAGCTGCAGAATAGTGACTCTAAATGTATTCAACTGTGAGTCATGTCAATGTGCTGGACTGAAAACGAATAGTGCAAAAATACTGTTAGCACAACTATATATAGTATTCTCCCTCACAAGCAGCCAGCACTTAAAAAAAGGATTCACACTGATACAATAACAGTGTGTTTCATGTATTCCTTGTGATAAACACTGTGCAATCCAAACTACAAATGTTGCATTGTTCCTGGCTCCTCGGGCCTGACTAATATTACAAAAAAAAATGTAAATGTGAAAATCCACCAAACAAGTGCTACACCACCTAGTGTCACACCAACTGCTCACCTTGAAAACAGACCCCCTAAGCCACGGGTGTCAAACTGGCGGCCCTCCAGCTGTTGCCAAACTACAAATCCCACAAGGCATTGCAAGATTGTCAGTTACAAGCATGACTCCCAAAGGCAGAGGCATGATGGGACTTGTAGTTTCACAAAAGCTGGAGGGCCGCCAGTTTGACACCCCTGTTTAAGCTATAGGAGGTCGGCAAGTGCTTGATAGGTATATAGTTTTAATCCATCCACAGTAAAGCCCTGTTGGAGACAGGCTCAGACAATGTAAAGGGTTTAACTGCTAATCTTTATTAAAAATGCCACAGCACAAATCAAAACACTCACATAAAAGTCTTCCCTGAGGAAGTCCAATAAGGACACATCATGTTAGGTTGAGCAGACCAGATGACATCGTCACACTGATGTAGGAAGCAACCATTGTTACTTTCAAGGCAATGCCAAGCCTCTCAATCATTCTATTGGGCCAAGTACACTGACATTTGCCTACGTAAGATCTTTACATTGTTGGTGCTGCTTTTATTGGCTTTTAGGTGAATGTTTTGATTGTGTTGGTGTTTTTAATTAAAATTAATAGTGAGTACTGTTTTTTTTTTTCTCTTCCCTGAGCTTGAGTCATAAATGAAGAGAAGTCTGTGTTTTATCCCTTTACATCTTTTGAGCTTGTTTCCGAGCATGACTGTGGCTGGATTTAAAATATATATACCTATTAAGCGCTTACAGACGTCCTATAACTTATTGTCTGGTCTTAAGGGTCTGTTTTCAAGGGGAGCAGTTAGTGTGGCACTGAAGGGACGAGGAAGAACACGTCTGTTGGATTTTAGAGGACATTTATATTTTTGCACTTGTAAAATTACAGTGGGGCCCGAGAGGCCAGGAACATTGCATTGTTTGCATGTGAACCGTTTATCACAGGGATTGCATGGAACACACTTGGCTTCACTGTTTTCTTTATGTGAGATATCAGGTTTTGATTTGTCAATCATCTATGAACACAAAAGATTATTTATTTTGCGTGCACACTGAGGTTACTGGAGGAACATACTGTATGAAGCATTGCATGTTTTATTTTTTTATTTTTTTTAATTGTGCTGAACTGACCTGCTGATGACAGATTTTAAATTGAGAGATATAAAATTTTGACAGCCAGTGCATTACAGAGTTAACAGCATATTTCACATTCTGAATGCTAATTAAAACAATTTGTTGAAATGGTATAGTGAGAGTGAAATAACATTTGTGAGAATGAGCCTTCTGTCACAAAGATCTGGAAGGCAGTGCAATGCACATAACAGTAAAATTACCACTTTATTATTTCAAAAGATTCTTCAACTGTAAAAACAAAAAGAAATCTCTTAAATCTCACCTTCATTAGGTCTGTACACGAGTTGAGGATCCTGTCCAAAGACAGTAAACAAAATGAACATTAAAAAAAAAAAGGTTAATTGTATTCCATTTTAAAGTAAACATTTTCAAATCATGGATGGCTCAAACATGAACATATGAGGAAAATTCACAATCATATGTCACTTTCCATGAAAGCCATGTGTAAAAAAGATTAGCGGATCCAAAGATGCAGGAAATTGCAGGCAAATCCATCTAAAAAGTGGAGTTTGGTCCTACTGTCTTCCTGGCCTCCTTTTTTTGGATGTAGACTTGATAACAAAATATGCCTATACAAGTTAAGTCGATTTCTGGCTACTGATTGTTTGACATGTCATTTTAACTGAATGTAAACACTACTCATGTATGTTTATATCACATGCTGATGTAAGCTGTGCAGGTTTTTTGGCATTTACCTTAATCATAAAGAGACACACACTGCATGAGAAGTCACTGTGCTGAAACACTTGTGGGTCAGCGTCTCCACCTATTGGAGCCAGGTTCTGTGATCCTATACCACTTACAGCATTCAGGTTAAAAGAGACATCAGAGCATGTGCAATTAAACATGTGTATCTGCTGCATCTCTGCAAACAGGAACTTTATTATAGAGAAAAGACCTTGAGAGTTTAACCACAGATGCAGCTACAAATGTACAAACACTGCCATCTATTGGTTGAAGAACATCTCCTTCTAACCTTAAAGGGTGATTGTAGCCGTGTTAGTGCATTTGCGACAGAAACAATTGAGTACTGTCTGTGATACTTTTTTTATTTGCACTAACATACAATTTTGAGGACAAGCTTTCGGGGAGTGTCCTTTTCTTCAAGGTCCAAGCAGAACTATACAAATCACAAAGTTTTAGAAGAATTTTAGAAGAGATGGAAAAAAAAAAAGAAAAAAAAAAAAAAGAAGAGGCTAGAGATAAGACACAGCAAAAGCAAAGGGGGGGGGGGGGGAGACAACACTCACACAGAGGCAGTCATGCTTGAGCTGATAGTCATAAAACTGTTGGATAATGATTGAGGAATCCCATGTCCAAATTCAGGCCGTTATCTCTTGTGTCAAATAGAATTATCATTCTTAGTTCAAAAGTTTTTCTTTCCTGAATGGATTTGAAATTTCCTTTAAGAACTAAAACATTGAGGTCTCCCATTGTGTGGTCTGGTTGTGCGAAATGGTGTCCTACAGGTGTGCAGAAGTCATCTTCTTTATGTTCCTTGACGGTATGTCTGTGCAAATTCATCCTTGTTTGCAAGTTCTGTCCTGTTTCGCCAACATAAGGTCCTTTGCTGCATTTTCTGCACTGGATAAGGTACAAAACATTACTAGAAGTGCATCTATATGATCCGGAAATATTGAAGATCCCTTTTGAGTGTCTGACACTTTTTGATGGATTGATTTGGTTGCACAGTTTGCAGCATTTTTTATTGCAGAGTTTGCTTCCATTATTTGTGACATCTTGATCAGAAGGAAGTTTCCTACTGATTAGTTTATTTCTGAGGTTGGGGGGTTGTCTGAAGGCCAGTGCAGAAAATTCAGCAAAGGCTCTAATGTTGGCAAAACAGGACAGAAGTTGCAAACAAGGATGAATTTTGCACAGACATACCATGAAGGAACATAAAGAAGATGACTTCTGCACATCTGTGGGACACCATTTCGCACAACCAGACCACACAATGGGAGACCTCAATATTTTAGTTCTTAAAGGAGATTTCGAATCCATTCAGGAAAGAAAAACTTTTGAACTAAGAATGATAATTCTATTTGACACAAGAGATAACGGCCTGAATTTGACATGGGATTCCTCACTCATTATCCAACAGTTTTATGACTATCAGCTCAAGATGGACTTCCTCTGTGTGAGTTAGTCTTGGCATGGCAGTCAGTAGGCTCCAACTGAGAAATAGAGATGGTCCTGAGTTCGATTAAAGAGATTGTACAAATTAAGTTTGAATATTCTCCCTGTAGTTACATACATTTTCTCTGAATGCTATAGGTTTCCTCCTGCAATTAAAAGGTGCCTTCCATCTAAATTGCCCTGATGTGTGTCACGTATATAGGATTTAGTCTGTGCGCTCCTTTGGGGATATGAATGCTTCACTGCTCCCCATAAAATATGCGGCACTTTATAAAAGAGTAATATAACTCAAATATGGTAGCATCCACCAGATGTTTGCTGTGAAGGGCAGCAGACTATATCTGCCCAGTTACTGTATTTTTTTATTCTGTATGTCTTCTCACTGTGCAAAAATCTACAAAAAAATAAAGCAGCCAAATCAATGAGAACTTACAATACATACGTAAACTAGGTGATTACATCTCAATAAGCTTTAAAGAGATTGTAAACTTCAGTCATGAAATTTGAACAAATCACATATATCTGTAATGTTTACTTGTCTCTCTCCAAAGCGCTAAATGTCATTTCTCTCTGGTGCCTGTTATCAGCATGTGTCACGCGACAAGTTGTCTGGACACCAGAGATAAAATGGCAATGGGAGAGGAGAGGAGAGCTCAGTGCACAGCTTGCTGTTAACACAGCTCTGCATGGTTCCTTAGTTCCTGTGCCATGTGTGAAGGGGGGTCCTTTTTCTTGAATCAGCTCTCACACACTGTACAAGAGTTCTAACTGCAGCTCCCTGCCCCCTCCTCTGTGTTACTGACAGATGCAGAAGGATTTGATCTCAATTTAGCACTTTTGAAGGGATGTAGAAAAGAGAAGACTGCAGATAAACAAGTAAAACATAAAGAGGATTTGTTTCATCCCTGTGTATCATCTGCACCTATTCACTTCACTGGGTATATGAGAGGTTTTACAACCACTTTAAGTAAACCTGTACTTTTCCTATACTAGGCAAAAGAACTCAGAGGCTGCAAAGGAAGAACCATAAGGGGCTGTTAAGTGCTTACTCTTACTTTCAGTGAACCCCTACCACCCTTATTAACTAATCAGATCTCTACTGAAAATCCTCGGTGACTATAAAGTGTTACTAATCCCACAACCGTAAAATCAGCCTGTATAAGCAGTAAATCATGCTGGTTATACTCACTGTAGAACCTAAAGGGTTAGTCCTCTGCATTGTGTAAAAAGGCTATTTGATCCTGATTGCTCTGCTCTTCCCCTTGTTTAAGCAATCACCTCTTATCTCTTGATAAGACAGACTGAACCATAGGCATTTTGCACATGCTCAGTTTGGTGTGTATTGCTAGAGAGGGTTTTTTTTTTTTTCTTGAGAGAGTGCATGTGATCAGCACAGGGCCAATCAGCACTGGTCAAACAGAAGTCAGGAATTTTGCATCCTCCTAGAGCAGAAGAAAAACTCCAAGTTTTAGCTAGTGCTTGGCTGAACACTGACAGAAGCCACAAGACTGCTTTAACTGCTGATGAGAAAAGGTATTGAGCACTAACACTTTAACTTTCTGAAATTCAAAAATTTCACATGACTAACCATGCCCTCACCCCTCTTAACGTGACAAGTGCTTGGACCTGGCACTGAGCTGTGGAAGGCAGTGTCCATGTGTGCCCTGTAACTAGAAATACTGAGAAGTAATTTTTGGTGTCCTACATGCAGAATACTTGGTGCTTTTCTTAGTGTAGTCAGAGCTCAGGTTCACTTTAAGCATAATAGAAGAGTCTGCATCCAAAAAGCCATGTATAGTAAACAAGAGTTGAGACTAAGCAGATAGTAGTTCATCTTAGACAATTGTAAAATATATTATGTCAAGCTAAAGCACAACATTGAAATAATAAAATGCATAAGAATGGGATAGATTTGCAACCCACTAACAGTACACAGTATCCTCCACATTTTTTTAAAATTAAAGTACATCTAAGGCGGTTTTAGCTTTGGATAAAGTGGAGACACTTTTTTTTTATCTCTGCCAGGTTTTAAAATGCTGATTGTGTCTCTGCTGGGGAGATTTACACTATTGTCTCCAAGACCAAAAATGAGGGAAAATCCCAAATTTTGAGATGTTACAAAAAAGAACAAATCTTCCTCTCATTCTCTGTTGTGTGTCTCAGAAGCAATAGAAAATCTCACCTGGATAAACAGCAAGTAAAAAAAAAATATGACATGGGTTTTAACAATTCCCCAATCTGAAATGAAAGGAAATGTAATTGTTGTACTTACTGTAAAATCCATTTCTTCAAATCCATTAAGCGACACAGAACTTCAGATATAGTTTGTACTGCTGCCTACAGGAAGACTGAACACTGGCAAACAGACAAATTTTTAAGGGCAGCCTCCAATATAACCCCCTCCTCTACCAAGCATACATCCTCTACTAATGCAGGCCATAGATGGGTCGTTTATCGGCCGAATTTTCGTCTGCACGAAAAATCATCTGATATTCACGCCGTTAGTGGGGCCACCCTGTCGGCCGTTTTTTGCGGATCTTCACATTTATTTTTATTGGTCATGCTGGAAAATCCACGAAAAAACGGACGTTTTTTGTGGACATTGGTGGCAGCATCGGCAACGGGGCCGACCGATTTTTCATTTATTGGCCAAATTAAACGGCCCGTCTATGGCTTGCCTAAGGATACCTCTGTTTGATAAAGCAGTAGTAAAGGCATTAAAAAAAAAAACCCAGATAAGGTTGGAAAAGGTCGCCTATAGAGGGAGATGACTCATGAAAGGAAAGCAAACCGAACCAGTGAGAAGCTAAACAAAGAGAACCCTCCAAAAAGAGGTGGACCAATAAACTCCAAATGTGGAAGAAGGGACCAACAGCCTACTGTGGTTCACAGAACCAACACTGGGGATAATCCCCAGGCAGGAAAAACTTCAAAGAAACTTAATAGAAAAGACAAGTCCAGGTAAAGTTCTATCCAGTCCGCATAGGAAGGCCTAAAGGTCTGTCATCTCTACCTCTTAACCGCTTGCCGCCCTGCCACTGTGTATATACGTGTGCAGGGCGGCAGTGGAGCGCAAAACCACGTTTAAAAACGGGTTCCGCGCTCCCGACACATTCGCCGGCAGGGGGCGCGCGCGCTCTCCCGCCGACCCGCGGGTGACACGATTTGATCCAGGAGGGATCAATCATTAGATTTCAGCCAGTGATTTCGGGCTGAAATCACATGATCGGTCCCTGTCCTATCCTGTCCTGTGTTGACATACACACAGGGCAGGTTATGATGTCATTCTTCTCTGCCTGGACACATTCCGTTCCAGACAGAGAAGACGACATCCAAAAAGTGAGTACACAAGCACTAAACTACAGTTAGAACACTCTCTAGGACACATTTAACCCTCTGATCGCCCCCCCCCCCCCCCCAGTTAACCCCTTCACTGCCCTGTCACCAGTGTCACTGATCAGTGAAGCGATTTTTACTGATCAGTGTCGCTGGCGACTTCCGATATAGTTAGCGCCCCTCCCAGATAGCGCCAGATTGCCCGCCAGTACACCAGTAATCCTGTTTAACCCCCTTGATCGCCCCCCCCCCTCCAGTTAACCCCTTCACTGCCCTGTCACCAGTGTCACTGATCAGTGAACCAATTTTTACTGATCACTGTATCAGTGTCGCTGGCGACTTCCGATAGAGTTAGCGCCCCTCCCAGATAGCGCCAGATTGCCCGCCAGTACACCAGTAATCCCGTTTAAACCCCTTGATCGCCCCCCCCCCAGTTAAACCCTTCACTGCTCTGTCACCCAGTGTCACTGATCATTGAACCAATTTTTACTGATCACTGTATCAGTGTCGCTGGCGACTTCCGATAGAGTTAGCGACCCTCCCAGATAGCGCCAGTTTGCCCGGCAGTACACCAGTAATCTCGTTTAAAACCCCTTGATCGCCCCCCCCCCCCAGTTAACCCCTTCACTGCCCTGTCACCAGTGTCACTGATCAGTGAACCAATTTTTACTGATCACTGCATCAGTGTCGCTGGCGACTTCCGATAGTGTTAGCGCCCCTCCCAGATAGCGCCAGATTGCCCGCTAGTACACCAGTAATCCCATTTAACCCCTTAATCTCCCCCCCCCCAGTTAACCCATTCACTGCCCTGTCACCAGTGTCACTGATAAGTGAACCGATTTTTACTGATCACTGTGTCAGTGTCGCTGGCGACTTCCGATAGTGTTAGCTCCCCTCCCAGATAGCGCCAGATTGCCCGCCAGTACACCAGTAATCCCATTCAACCCCTTGATCGCCCCCCCCCCCCCCCCAGTTAACCCCTTCACTGCCCTGTCACCAGTGTCACTGATCAGTGAACCAATTTTTACTGATCACTGTATCAGTGTCGCTGGCGACTTCCGATAGTGTTAGCGCCCCTCCCAGATAGCGCCAGTTTGCCCGCTAGTGCACCAGAAATCCCATTTAACCCCTTGATCGCCCCCCCCCCCCCCCCAGTTAACCCCTTCACTGCCCTGTCACCAGTGTCATTGATTACAGTGAACAGATTGTTACTGATCACTGTATTAGTGTCACTGGTGACTTAGTGTTAGCGCCCCTCTTGATAGCGCCAGTTTGCCCGCTAATGCACGGGATTTTTTTTTTACAAAAACATGTAGCAGAATACATTTTGGCTTAAATTTATGACTAACTTTGAGTTTACGATATATTTTTTATAGCTGAAAGTAGAAATATTGTTTTTTTCAAAATTTTTGTGGTTTTTTTGTTTATAGAGCAAAAAATAAAAAGCGCACAGGTGATCAAATACCACCAAAAGAAAGCTCTATTTGTGTGAAAAAAAGGACATCATTTTCGTTTGGGTGCAGCATTGCATGACCGCGCAATTATCATTTGAGTTAGTGCAGCGCTGTATAGCAAAAAAAGGCATAAATTACAGTATCTATACCATAGTTTGTAGACGCTATAACTTTTACACAAAGCAATCAATATGCACTTATTGGGATTTTTTTTTTTACAAAAACATGTAGCAGAATACATTTTAGCTTAAATTTATGACTAACTTTGAGTTTACGATATATTTTTTATAGCTGAAAGTAGAAAATATTGTTTTTTTTCAAAATTTTCGTGGTTTTTTTGTTTATAGCGCAAAAAATAAAAAGCGCACAGGTAATCAAATACCACCAAAAGAAAGCTCTATTTGTGTGAAAAAAAAGGACATAAATTTCGTTTGGGTACAGCATTGCATGACCGCGCAATTATCATTTGAATTAGTGCAGCGCTGTATAGCAAAAAAAGGCATAAATTACAGCATCTACACCATAGTTTGTAGACGCTATAACTTTCACACAAAGCAATCAATATACACTTATTGGGATTTTTTTTACCAAAAACATGTAGCAGAATACATTTTGGCTTAAATTTATGACTAACTTTGAGTTTACGATATATTTTTTATAGTTGAAAGTAGAAAATATTGTTTTTTTTCAAAATTTTCGTGTTTTTTTGTTTATAGCGCAAAAAATAAAAAGCGCACAGGTGATCAAATACCACCAAAAGAAAGCTCTATTTGTGTGAAAAAAAGGACGTAAATTTTGTTTGGGTACAGCATTGCATGACCGCGCAATTATCAATTGAATTAGTGCAGCGCCAAACAGCAAAAAAAGGCCTGGTCATTAAGGGGGGTAAATCCTCTGGGGCTCAAGTGGTTAAAGCAAAGATCATAAAACTCTGACTGAAGGATGTTGTTTAGCCATACAACCAAGCTCACAGAGAGGTAAACCAAAGCGACGGTAATCTATATAAGGGTACACATAGACGTCCGGCGGTTATGACAGCACCCCTTATGAGGACGTATTCGTGTACGAAATGCGTCAAGGAGGAGCCCATACACGCCGTGACGTCACGCCGCCGCATCGTGGAGGTCCGGCAGCCATATTCACACTCCAGCTGGTCAGTGTATATACTACAATATTATTACTACTTCATCTTATCCACACAATACCTAGGACTTATCCACCTATTTGATTGTATGTGCATTTACCATTGTGATTTTATCTCATCATTTAATAAATACCATTAAATACTACACGATGGGAATCCATTTTCTTTGCTCCATGCCGAGCAATTGAATCCACCCAGGACCCCAGGTGCACTACCAGAATTAGAGGAGGGAACCAGTATCCAGACCCCACCACATTTACAAGTTCCAGGCCGTTCAGGAGGGATATCTCCAACACCCACATTATGATGTTACCACCCCCATGCTTCACAGTAGGGATGGTGTTCTTGGGATGCAACTCATCCTTTTTCCTCCAAACACAACGAGTGAAGTTTAGACCAAAAAGTTCTACTTTGGTCTCATCTGACCACATGACTTTCTCCGATGCCTCCTATGGATCATCCAGATGGTCACTGGCAAACTTCGGACGTCCCTGGACATGTGATGACTTGAGCAGGGGAACCTTCCGTGCAATGCATGATTTGAAACCATGACGGCCTTTGAAACTCTGCTCCCAGTTCTCTTCATGTCATTGACCAGCTCCTCTCTTGTAGTTCTGGGCTGATTCCTCACCTTTCTTATCATCAGTGATACCCCACGAAGTGAGATCTTGCATGGAGCCCCAGTCCGAGGGAGACTGATAGTCTTCTTTAGCCTCTTCCATTTTCTAATAATTGCTCCAACAGTTGATCTATTTTCACCAAGCTGCTTGGCAATTGCCCCGTAGCCCTTTCCAGCCTGAGGTCCACAATTTTGTTTCTGGTGTCTTTTAACAGCTCTTTGGCCTTGCCCATGGTAGTAGTTGGCGTCTGACTGTGGGGTGGACAGGTGTCTTTAAAGAGCTCAGACAGGTGCTACTAAGTTAGATTAATGAGTGGAGTAGAGGTGGACTTTTTAAATGCACAGTAACAGGTCTTTGAGAGCCAGAATTCTTGCTTTTTCTTAGGTGTTCAAATACTTATGTTCAGCAGTGCAAGACAAATAAATTCTTAATTCATACAATGTGATTTCCTGATTTTTTTTTTTTTAATTCTGTCTCAGAGTGGGAATGCACCTACAATGTGAATTTCAGACCCCTCCATGATTTCTAAGTGGGAGAACTTGCAAAATCGCAGGGTGTTCAAATACTTCTGTTCCTCACCGTAATAAAGAAAAGGCTATTACCAAAAAATGGAGATGTTCTCAGAAGCACTAAAGGAGAAAATGTGTCTTCCAAGGACACTAGCAAAAAAACAGATATGCTGGGTATTGGAGGGATTATACTGTGGGATTGCATAGGACTGTTCTGTTTGTCAGTGGCCAATCCTCCTGTAGGTGTCAGTGTAACCAGACTGTATGTGAATACCTGTGTCCCCCAATGAACGAGAAAGAAAATCGACTTTGCTCTTGAGACTATTGCAAAGCAGAGTGATGCTATAACTGACCTTTCATTTACTTCTAGCTTGACTCCAGAGCTGTCTTTCCGAGCCTGGTTCATCATTTCCTGTCAGGGAACACCACATCAGTTTTGGCAAAAAAACAAACAAACATTTATTTACTGCAAAGCATTTTATTTACACCAGCAAAATGAAAGGGCAAATACTATCAAGATGGAATAAATCTAACAGATATAAATGGTTAGGTTTGTAAACATTACTATACTGTACAAAAAAGTAGTTAATAAAAATAATAGAAACCTGGTAATCTTACCCATCTTCCCTTGGGTTGAGCATGTTATTGGAAACTCATTTATATGGCTAAAGTGACTGAAAAATCTAATGAGAGAAATGCATTGCAAGACCAGCCACACTTGTGGTGCTGTAATAACAAGGTGGTTATACAATACAAAGAAGCCTGATGAAGGACAGGTTGTCTAGCAGCAGACATGTAGAACCAGAAAGGGCAGTCTGACTATTGACAAACTTTAACCAAGATGTACTTAAGTCTTTTATTCTCATAGTCTGATAAGCAGCAACCAGAATGACTATTTCTATAGCCAGATTTAGTAAAAAAAATATGAAAGGCATTTTTCTACTTTTAAAACATTATGGAAAAATTCCCTTAATATGCAGATTTATTGCCTACATCATCTGTGGACATAGTGTCAGCCATTCTATTACCAAGGTAAATGGGGGTACAAAAAAAAAGTGCAAAGCATTTACCTGTAAACAGAATGCAGTTAGGTAGAGACCTACTGTATATAGTACTATACTAATAAAGGACATAATATAGTGCTTGTGACACACAAACCTGACAACAGCAGCAAAATTAATCATATGCCCCGTCAGCCTAACTCTTCATATAAAATAGTCTTCACAGACTATTGTCATTGTTGAACCTAAAATGTATTTAGGTTCAGCAATAACAATAAATGCAGGCAAAAGTTTTGGACAATAAGCCCTTCATTAAGCCAAAAAAAAAGGGAACTGTTTTTTGGCCTGGTGAAGCGCTTTTTGCCCAAAACTGCTGACAACATGTAATGTCATTGTTAAACCTAAATACGTTTGTATACACTGCATACTTTTTGGACTTTCTGCTACATATTGAGCCTGAAGGGCAGGGCTCTGGCATGATGCCGTTCACCTTTCCTTCTACTAATAAATCATATATATATACATATATATATATATATACATATACATATATATATATATATATATATATATATATATATACACACACACACATATATATACATATATATATATATGAAACACACAGCTGGCTTACCTCAATTCTTCGAACGGCGTCTTCAATAGCAGCAGAGGTAGATGCCATCTCCTTTTCCACCATGTTACCCAGCTCTTCCTGCCTGATATCCAAACTCTTGGGCCTCAATTCCTAAGAAACAAAAAGCTTCATGCAACTAAGAGGCTTCAAAATGATACTACTAGGACAACACTGGGGTTCGACTCTTGTAAAGTAAATTGCTAGTGAAATGAGGTTATGATTGCAACTGCTGAAGATAATAATTTAAACAAGCACAGAAAAGATGGAAAGTCTGCTGCAGTGCCCTCTAGAGAACTCAGGCTGAAGACTCAAAGCATGACTTGACTGTGCAAGATTTTTTGGGGATCAGCAGGTTTGATTCTAGTTGGTGGCTGTGACACATCTAGCTTACTGTGGGTGACAGACTACAAGGAGCCTGCAATTGGGATGTTTTAGAATATTTTTGTCTGAATCACAATCAGGTGTTCTCACAGCATAAATCACAATAGGCAGTGGGGGGAATTGGTGCATTACATTAAAGCATAGATGAAAACCTAAACTACTAAGGAGATGGACTGCACTCCAGTAATAATCATTTTTAGTCAGGCAGAGAAAGTAAGCAGTGCATCCAGTAAATGTAATGTTTACGCTCGATTTGAATGCATCTTTACTATACTATGGGATTTATGATCATTACAGATCAAACTAATACAATTACAATGGCAGCGCTTCAGTCACAAATCTGTGTACATGAAAGATTCCATTATGCTAATGATCTTTTTTACATGAAAAAAATACAAGAAAAGTGTACCTCTCCCAGTCCAAGTATAGTCTGTAAGGTCCTTCTAACTTCTCCCAGTTCTGCTTCTTTTAAGGACTGTTTGTCTTTCAATTCCTTCAGATACTGTAAACTCTGATTTCCACACTCCCGACAGCTGTCATTCAGGCCTAAACACAAAAATATGCCTAATATGTATGAAATAATAAGCAACATTATGAAAAGACACCACAGGAAGGAGATATGAACTTACGGTCTCCATGGTCTGGTGGAGCCAAGTGAGAGGTAGCACCGCCGTTTACAATGGTGTCTGCAGTTAAATGTGCAAATTGTGCAAGAGCTCCAACTAAATCTGAGGCATCTGAAGGAGGCAATCACAGTGCTATATTAAAAACAAACATTAGACAAAACACAAAAACAGCTACAGAGCTATCAAGACCACTGTCTGCATATCTATCATGTTGAATGCTCTACATATAAGATAGGACTTGTACAATGCAGATGCATATATCAAACACACAACTGACTACAAGGGTTAGACAAAAAATGGCACTACATGATTTGAAGGTGTGAAAGTCACATGTTTTGCGTTGACATTGGAAGTAATGTAACATTCATTGACTTTTGCTGTGTGATGAGACACCTAGTTAACAGGTGGGAAGTCTCACTTTTGTCATTCATTTCGTGCTCTGCTAGTAATACGGAGTCATGTCAGAGCTTACTGAGCTTCAAATAGGGCGAAAAACTGTGGGTGTCCGCTTAGCTGGTGCCTCTGTGACTGAAGTTGCCAATTTATTTGTGGTGTTGCGAAGTACGGTATCAAAGGTTATGATGGCATATACAGTTTCTGGGAAACATCTGATAAGCATAAGCGCAGTCGACACAGTCAACTGTACGAAAGACAAAAAGGACACTGCGCAGGAGTTTGACCCGGAATATGAAAACAACTGCTGCAAAAGTGAATTGTAAACAAAACAGAATTCCATGAGGCGCCCCCCCCCCCCCCCCCCAAAAGGAGAAAAAAGGGGAAGAAGGCAGTCACAGAACCTAAGGGGACTTTTAAGGTGCTCTATCCACCATGCAAGATTCCAAAATTTGATATAAAAGCAATATTTATTAATACAAGTAAAATAAATAAATAAATCCATCACGGAGCAAGTATCAAGCACCCAAACAATGGACTGTATCTACTCCAATATGCAATATTGTTTAGGTGCTTGATATCTGTCCCGTAATGGATTTATTATTTTTCTTTTTATTGCACATTTCAGGGCATAATTTGGGATGGATTCTTCCCTTGTGGGCCCTAGTCTATGGGTCCCCGTGCTCACTATTGGGATGGATACTTGTTCTTGGCATGTAGCATGAGGGTAAGTTGTCTTACTTCGGTGGTTTTTACATTTATGATGCATCATTTGGGTCCTTGTTTGGCATCTTGAGGATTATTGATCCTCATAGTTTATACTTTCAGGCATGTTTGTGCTTAAAGGTGATGTCATCCCTGCGCGCGTGTGTGTTTTTCCTTATTTTGATGACGATACTTGTAAAGTTGTTCACATAGTGGTATATCTTTTTTCCTTTAATGGTTGGCATTCACATTTTCACGGCACCGGCTTGATCTTCTAATCTGGGTAAGTTGGTCTCCATGTTTAGGCCATGGGGTTTGGTTGTATAGTTTGTTTTCTCTGTGTGGCCCAGTCTGTCTAGCCGTCCCCCCAAGCCAACTATATGGGGTTATGCACTGTATCAAAATATTTTGGGGGGGGGGGGGGGGGATGTCATGCTGATCCAATACGTGGTCTATCCTATTTTGTATAGGTGTTGTTTGTGCATATTTTCATTACTATTATGATTTTTTTTTTTTTCGTTATATGAATTTTATACTAAAATGTTAATTATGTCACTTAGCTAAAAATTACTATAATTTATAGAATGCAGTGGATCCTGAAGAAGTTCATATTTGGGTGAAGTGCATCGATTCTTCATTCTTTCAATGACTCAAAATCTGTGGATTTGTGTTAATACACTTGTAGCTGATGGACTGCTTGTATGCAATTTAGAGATCTTAATTTCACCTGTATTCAATAATATTGCTTTTATATTATATTTTTGGAGTCTTATGTGGTGGATAGTGCACCTTAAATGTCCCTTTTGTTCCGTGATCACCTTCCCCTCTTTTATCCTTTTTGGGGGTGGGGGGCTCATGGAATTCTCTATTGTTTACAGTTCTGTTTTTGGGGATGGTGCTTATTTAATCTATTATGGCAAGTCCTCCCACCCAATGCTTGCTGCAAAAGTGACTGCTCAGCTCAATCTCAGTCTTCAAGGACAAGGTCCAAAACACATGGAAAAAACGTTTTTGAAAACTCCAAGCTTTCATGTGTTTTGCACTGAGGAGAAGATTCCGTCTAGCCACTATGCCATGAATCCCAGATCGGTGGAGGGCTGTAGTGATGGTTGTCCTTCTGGAACTTTGTACCATTTCCACACAGGATCTCTGGAGTTTAATCAGTGTGGCCAATGGGTTTTTGGTCACCTCTCTTACTAAGGCCCTTCTCCCCTGACTGCTCAATTTGGCTGGGCAACCAACTCTTGGAAGAGTCCTGGTTGTGCCAAACTTCTTTGATTAAAGAATTATGGAGACCACTATGCTCTTAAAAATATTCAGTGCAGCAGAATTTTTTTTTGTTGCCTTCCTCAAATCTGTGCCTTGCAATAATTGTGTCTGAGCTCTGGAGGCAGTTCCATTGACCTCATGGCTTTTGCTCTGATACAGTATGCATTGCCAACTGTGAGGCCTTTTCAAATCTATTTAATTTACCACAGCTGGACTTCAATAAATGTGTAGAAACATCTCAGCAATGATTAAGAGAAACTGGAGGCACCTGAGCTAAATTTCAAGTGTTGTTGCAAAGGGTATGAATACTTATGCCGATGTATTATTTTGTTTTTTTTTTTATTTCTAATAAATTCACAGACATTTCTAAAATTCTGTTTTCACTCTGTCATTATGTGGTACTGAGTGTAGATTAATGTGAAAAAAATGCATTTAAACAACTGTAGTATCAGCCTGCAACAAAACAAAATTGAAAAAAAACGAAGGGGGTCTGAATACTTTCTGAATGCACTGTAGCTGCTCGATGCAATGGTTTTGAACAGAGAAGTCCAGAACCTCCTCTTCTGGGGACCCCCCGCAGGCATTCTCAGGAACCTCCTCCCTTCCAAGTGCTCTTATGGCAAGTTGCTTGCAATGGGGATGCTCGTACAGGCTCTATCCCAGGCTGGGCTGTGTTTGTCTACTGAAACATACAGTTCAGCTGGGCCCCTCCCCTGCTCTCTCCTCAGAGGATTTGATTGAGCGTGAGAGTCTGAGCCTGTGAGGAGGGGGGGGGAGTGAGGAGGGGGGGGGAGGGGGGGGCGGAGGAGGGGGGGGTGGAGGGGGGCGGAGGAGGGGGGGGGTGAGGAGGGGGGCGGGAGGAGGGGGGGGGGGGGTGGAGGAGGGGGGGGGAGGGGGTGAGGGGGGGGTGGAGGAGGGGGCTGGTGGGAGAGCAGAACATGGAATGCTTTATACCTTAATGCATAGAAAGCATTAAAGATAAAAAAACCTCTAGTCTTTAGAACCACTTTAACCACTTGCCCACCAGAGGATTTACCCCCCTTCCTGACCAGGCCAATTTTTGCGATATGGAGCTGTGTTACTTTAACTGACAATTGCGCGGTCATGCAACGCTGTACATAAATTAATGTCCTTTTTTCCCCACAAATAGAGCTTTCTTTCAGGGGTATTTGATCACCTGTGCAGATTTTATTTTTTGTGCTATAAACAAAAAAAGAGAATTTTGAATAAAAAAAAACAAAAAATATTTTCAACTTTTTGCTATAAAACATATTCAGAAAAAAAAAAAATCAAATTTCATCTTCAATTTCGGCCAAAATGTATTCTGCTACGTCCTTGCTAAAAAAAAAAAAAAAAAAAAAAAATCAAAATAAGTGTAAATTAATTGGTTTACGTGAAAGTTATAGTGTCTACAAATGACGGTATATATACTGGAATTTTTATTTTTTTTATACTAGTAATGGCGGCGATCAGCAATTTATAGCGAGACTGCCGTGGACTGACATTGGGTGGGAACTGCCACTGACATCCCAAAGACAAAAATACAGTGATCAGTGCTAATAAAAAGCACAGACACTGTACTGACACTGGGCAGGAAGGGATTTAACATCTGTGGTGATCAAAGGGTTAACTGTGTGCTATTTTACTGTGTGCGCTGTGTGTTCTACTAGGGAAACATGCTGCTGTGTATTTCTCTGCACAGCAGAGAAATACACAGCAGTATGTTACTGCTGTTTACACACGTCTCTTCCCTGTCAGTGTTACTCAGCTATCGCTGGGTGACAGCAGGGAATCTGCAGCTGGGACCTGGTGATCGACATCTGTAGCTGCCAATGGTGGTGCAGGTAGGGTGGCACGCACACCCCCTACCCAGAAATGCAAATCACATATATATACACGTGATTTTGCGCAGCTCTGCCACCTTGTAACAGTATCTCTGCAATAGGGCGGCGGGGGGAAGCAGTTAAGGACCTAGGATATACATCCTATTGTTGCTATGTGCTGAGCTGAGACCTGCTCTGCTCACATGTGTGATAAAAAGCAATTACAGCACTGAACTTATTTTATCTTAAAAAAAAAATGGGACTAAAATAACTCCTGAAACATAACATGACCATAAACAATATAACCCTCACTTATATATTGATATTAAAATTATTAAGTAATAAATTGATCACTAAAATAACAGGGCTGTGTGTGGCCAGCTTTAGCCACAAATGACAAGAGTCCGCATAAGAGAGATAACTGAACATAGCAGCCCACCTGTCATATTGTGTACATATTTAGCATGCCCGTTTTCCAAGGAAGATAATGATTCTAGAGCAGCTTGGGATCTGTTCACAAGGTAATCTGTGAAGGAAAAAAAGATATAATTTAGTAGATTTTAAATTACAATATGAGAATACAGAAAGATATTATCAAGATAAAGGTATATTTGGTTTTTCTTTTCTAATACCAGATGTATTCTTCAGGCTGTGTTTTATCCCTAGATTTATGCAAAGGCAACACAATCTCCCGCCTAGAACTGGCAGACTTGCCTGTTTTCAAAAGCATAAAACCAAATAAATCACCATTTCCACACACTCCACAAATTATGTTGGGCGTGTTACGAAACAAATGTTTTCTAGCAAAGTTACTGCCAAGTAGCTTACAGGCTGCGCAGCTAAAATCTGCCTCTGCCTACATTCACAAAAACAGCATGTCTAATAAATACTGAAGGCTGGACTCTCCTCAGTCTAGATGGTAAATCTATCCATCATGTCTCAAACACAAATCCTCTGCACAACTGTTGTCCAACTCTTCCTGCTTGCTTTTTAAACTATGTCATGTAACAACAGATGGGAATGAACCCTTGTATTAGGAGAAACACAGAGGTGGGGATTATGATGGTTAGATCTCAACACTCAAATAGACAAGAAATGAAAAGATGCCAGGGACAAATTCCACCAATATTGCACCATCAATTTTGAGTGTCTTGTCTTTATTTTGAAAGCAAATAATAAAAACGGGTTGGACAAAAAAAAGAAAAAAAAAAAGGAAACACTACATGATTTTCAGGTGTGAAAGTGATGACATGTTTCGCGTTGAAAGCAGAAGCGATGCAACACTCCTTTACTTCTGCTGTGTGATGAGACTCCTAGCTAACAGACAGGAAGCCTCACTTTCGTCATGAGCTGCTAGTAAGTTACATCACTTTCGCTTTCAATGTGAAGCATATCGCCACTTTCACACAGTGTTTCCTTTTTTTTTTGTTTAACCTCCGTATGCATTATAAACAAATATATTAGTCATTCATACCCGGTACGCATGATGAGAATATCAGATGAATGATGGTCCTTTTTTTTTTGCATGCTAGTCTTATATCAAAAACTAAATAGGTGACTAGCGTTATAAAAATTCTCGTTAGACAGAATACAACTTGTAATGTATTGCATTCTTTTGTTTACGAGCATGCACGGTCTTGGTCACTCACTTTCTGCAGACGAATACTGTACTGGCAAATCATTGTGTTGTCTACTAACAATCAGATTATTAGATGATTGCTCCGAAAACATATTTTCATGTGCACCAGGCTTTAGACCTTGTTCACAAGGGCAGACTTAGGCCTCATGTACACCGGAAATAAAAAAAGAAAAAAAGAAAAAAAAAAAAAAAAAAACACCCCCATAAAACTTACAGGTGTACATTTTTTTTTCATGCCTTAAATGCAGTTCTATGTAAGCCTATGTGGCTATACACATTAGGTGTTTAGATAAGAGTAGCATTTAGAGGCATTAAAAAAACACCAAAAGCTGCACTTGGAGAAGAGTTATGAGCATAATATATGCACAGCCGCAACACGCATAAACATGCACATATGCACAAACATTTATTTCAGCGGATGCAATAAATTAATTTTCTGGCCAGTATTATTATATTAGTATTATTAATGCTATATTCTTGTAAACATGCATAAAACGCATGCACCAAAACAAGCTATTTTTAATGCTTAGTTTTTCTGTCATCTCCTGACAGAAAGATCCAGTGTAGATAGGAGTGTTTTAATATGTCCGTGTGCTTGAGAACTTAAGTGTACACCTGTGTGAGGGTCATGTTTTGCCAGCAGGGGATGTACAGGTATTCTATGTATCCATGTGCAAGCAGTCCCATTCATGTCAATTGGGACACAGCACAGACACAGCAGCTGCTCCCAATTTGACATCTATATGGGTGTGTGTTCCCAAATGCAGACAGTGTGCATAGGGGAACCCACACAGATGTCAAATTGGGAGCAGTGGCTTCGTCAGTGCAGCCACTGCATCCCGATTGACATGAATGGGACTGTCTACATGCGGATATATGGAACACTTGTGCATCCTGTGTATGCAAAACTAGGCCCTCACAAAACAATGCAATAGACGTCTCTACTGTACCTGGTGAACTGGTGCAGCGGATATGAAGAGGGTCATCAAGCTTAGCAACAGCATCTTGAATAATGTTCTCAGCCTCTTTTACTGTTCCCTGAATTATTTTGAACTGGTCTTCCAACATTTTCTGGTACAGTTTCTGCTCATCAACAGTCTAGAAAACACACAAGACTAGTGTAAATATAAGATTGTTTAACCATCTCCGCTCTCCTCCACAAGAAGTATGATGTGCATTCTTCTAGTTATACATTCCAGCAGTATGAACTCCTATAGGTCCCATGGTGGCCTTATATCATGATACTTACTGTACAAGTAAAGAACCGAAACACATTTATAATAGTACTTTCGTTTTTTTCGTAGGCATATAATAGACTTTTGTTAGATTTTCAAATAACTTCCAGCTCTTGTCAGAGACTATACTTGTGTCCCTGGAGACAAACATTTAAGTAAAAGCACAGATATCCATGTTTATGGAGTCTGGAGTGCAAGGTCAGGGCTTTATTTACAAGATTAACCCATGCCTACTTTTATGTATTCTGAAATAAATGTTATCTGAAGAAATGGCACAGTTCTTCTAGTTATTGATTTCGAGCATTTAAATGTGATTTATTCACCACCATTGAACAAAGGGAAAAAAAAAAAAAAAAAAAAAAACAGCACTTTTGGGTTTTCTGGAAAATGCATATTAACCACTTGCCTACCAGGCACTTATACCCCCTTATTTACCAGGCCAATTTTCAGCTTTCAGCGCTGCCGCACTTTGATTGACAATTGCGCGGTCATGCAACATTGTACCCATATGAAATTTTGATCATTTTTTTCTCACAAATAGAGCTTTCTTTTGGTGGTATTTAATCGCCACTGGGCGCTTTACTTTTTGCGCTATAAATAAAAAAAAAGTGCAAAAAATTTGAAGGAAAAAAAAGTTTCTTTGTTTCTATTATAAAATTTTTCAAACAGGTAATTTTTCTCCTTCACTGATGTGTGTTGATGAGGCAGCACTAAAGGGCACTGATAGGCACTGATAGGCACACGAAAGGGCACTGATAGGCAGTACTAATGAGGTGGCACGGATAGGCAGCACTGATAGACAGCACTAATGAGGTGTCACAGATAGGCGGCACTAATATGCAGCACTGATAGGCGGCACTGATAGGTGACACTGATGATGGTTACTGATAGATGGCACTGACTGGCATCACTGCTGGGCACTGACTGGCGGCACTGACTGGCACAACCGCTGGACACTGACTGGTGGCACTGACTGGCTGCACTGACTGGGCGGCACTGGTGGCTGCACTGGTGGGCGGCACTGGTGGGTGGGCACAGGTGGGTGGCACTGCTGGGCACAGGTGGGTGGCACTGCTGGGGGCACAGGTGGGTGGCACTGCAGAGGGGCACAGGTAGGTGGCACTGCAGAGGGGCACAGGTAGGTGGCACTGCAGAGTGGCACAGGTAGGTGGCACTGCTGGGCACAGGTGGGTGATCTGCTGGGCACAGGTGGGCGGAGCTAGTGGGCGCACTGCTGGGCACAGGTGGGCGGAACTTGCAGGTGGCACTGCTGGGCACCGATCATCAGGGCACTGATCATCAGTGCCCTGATGATCGGTGCCGATCCTCGCTCTGACAACTGCCGGTTCTCGACAGTACTTTCCTCACGATCTGACAGCGTGAGGAAAGTGCAGCCGAGAACCGGCACTTGCATTTCCCTCTGATCAGCGTGTCATTGGACACCGCTGATCACGTGGTAAAAGGCCGCTGTGATTGGCCTTTTACCACATCACGTGATCAGCTGTGTCCGTAGGACACAGCGATCACGGAGATCGCCGGGTGCGCGCCCCCTGGGGCGCGCAGGAGAGCGCGTTCTGGGAGGACGTCATATGACGTCCACTCAGAACTGGCCGGCCGCAGTGCAGTCGTCATTCGGCTATCTGCGGTCGGCAACTAGTTAATAGATGCGAACACACAAAAGCCAGCCATGCATGGATCAAAATTCAGCTTGTTCAGCAGGGACCAGCCGAGGTTTGATCCATGCATTGGCAGGCTGATGGTACTCAAGTCGATCCATAGATCGACTTGGGCACAACCTGCCTGCCAGACTTTTTAACATACGATTAGTGCCAAATGCTATAGTCACTAGCTATAGCCAGAAGAACACAATAGTACTGCAGGATATTCCAGAGGGCTGCAAGAGCAGGGTGATATTCTCACTTAGGTGAGAATACAGGCAGGATGAACCCTGAACAAATAAAAAAAAATATTTAAAAATATGGTACACACACACTTTTTTTTTTCTTAAGATTAAGAAGGTACAAGGATTAGAATTATGTAAAGTGCCATTTTGCGGTTAAGGTCAGCTTTATTGATGAGGGTGGCATGTTGCTGTTAAAATAAAAGGCCACATGAGGTCTATTTAATGGTGGTGTAAACAGCCTGCTTTTATATCTACATCATACCTTTAGTGATTTTTATAGTACAAGATGTCAAACAACTTAACTGTCATTGTCAAAGTTTATAGTGGGACCACAGTACGGCAGGCCATACATTATACAATTTCCTTTCCTTCAACCATGGGTTGAAATAAAAAAAATTGTTTGATTCTCCCATCAGCACAGACAGTGTTGACGGGGGAATCCCTCCTGCTGCACCATTGTATTCTGACACTGGGATGTTTCCCAGCCATCAGAATACAATGATCATTTCTGGCGATCAAATATAACCAGCCTGCCCACAGATGGATCGAAATTTGTTTGGTTCCTGCTGAACTAGCCAAATTTAGATCTGCCTGAGGCTGGTGTAAGGAAAAGAGCCACTGTTGAAAGCCTAATCTTACCGTTGTAAGGTTACGTTACCTTTTTGTCAAGTTTTTCATGCAAGTCTCTGATTTCACTTGCTCTTTTCTCCTGCTCTTGATTGAATAAAGACTCTGTCTCCTGAGCCACATTCTTGACTGATAGCAGTTCAGACTCTTTAGATGTCAGAAGACTCTGCAATGCATCTTTCTCAGCTTCAAGGCCTGCCAATTTTGATGTCAAGTGAGATTCAGACTAAAATTTAAAGAAAGTACGGGTATTAACAGAACTCCAAAGACTGCACACAAATATTGCATTTCAGTAGTAAAACACAGCAATGCAAGCAGAAGATATACAATGGTATTATATCATAATGTGGGAGCAAAGTTGTATTCAAAACAAAAATTAATTTCTACTGCTACTAGCAACACCTAGGAATGTGACACATTTCTATAGTTCAATTAAAAACAGAGACTCTGCTTGTGCAGATATGACAGCTTAAATAGACTAAACATTTTTACAACATGAATATGCTAATTATATAGAAATCTATCTTTCATGTGAGAGGCTGGAAGCAGAATGCAGTGATTTATTTTTTAGAAAGTGTATTCCAGAAGGAATAACCAGCAAAAGTGATAGCTAGTGCTGTATAGTCATGTCTGGATGAAAAAGAAAATACAAAGGCAAGTGCTCCCTACATGTTTTCAAGACTTCAAGTTCTTCTAAAGAAAATAAAAAAAAAATTCACTAGTTACTCTAATGCCCCCCCCCCCACCTTACCCCCATATACTTACCACAGGCCAGTATTGATCCAGCGCGGTGCCCTCTGCAGCATCAATGGTTTCTAATCCTGGTCTCACAGAAACAACTGATAGAGGTAGCCATATGGACAACCACGAACAACACCACCAGCTATAGCCAGCAGCACTCATCATTGTATTCTGACTGTAGGTTGAAAAAAAAAAAAATATGGTGATGTATGGGCTGGGAATCAACACTTCTGGTAGCAAAGGTTCCCAACTGATTTTAATGCTTTAAAGTGGAACATCACTCAAAAAGTAAAGTACTGCTGTCTGCTTCTCCCCCCCCAGCCTGTAAGTCAGTTACAGGTTTGTTTTTGGGCAAGGTGTGGGAGCAAGTACCGATTTTATTTTGGTACTCGCTACCACTTGTGTAATTCTCACCTAGGCAAGGATGACAATGCATGCCCTGCCCACCCATAGCCTTCTGGAACATGTTACATGTAATAGGAGGTGCTAGGACCATGCACAAAGTGCAAAGGGAGCCCGCACATGCGGAGTAGGGGGCCGACTCCTATATTTAAGATGGAAATGCCAGGTCCCACAGAGGTAAGAAGTACCGGATGGGGGAAGACAGCGCTGGACTTGAGGCACTGCTGACAAAAAAAAAAAACAAAAACCTGAAGTTCCTCTTTAAATCTGCATGTACAGCAACTGTATGCAGCCACTTTGCTCAGCAAATGACAATTATGAACTCCAGGTATTATCTCAAATGCATATTTACATTGGTCCAGCTAGGTCAGTGTGCAGTGGGGCAGCTGCTCAGCCCAGAACCCAAAGTAACAGCAATCCACAAGGCAGAATGTATCCATATGTAGCATAAGTCCATGTAGACCCAGAACCCTTTGGGCAAAAATAGAACCTTATCCTTGTTTAACTTTAGGAAAAGTTCAGTGGGCGAAAAAGCCTGCAGCTCTGATACTAGCCTAGGAGAAGTGATAGCAACAAGAAAAAACACCTTACAAGTACCTCTGAGAAGATTCTAGATAGTTTCAAAGGGAGGGTTTTGAAGAGATGACAACGCCAGCCTGAGGTTCCATGGTGTCACTCTAGAACATCTACGAGGAGCTTAGTGAGTGACCCCCTGTACAAAAGCTTTCACCAGGATTTGAAAGGAAAAAGGATACTTGAGGAGAATCCAAGCTGAAATTTGTCCCCAGAGGGTACTCCAGTCCAGATGCTGATCTAGGTCTGACTGGAGAAAAGCAAGGATACATCTCACAGGTAATCGTCTAGGATGAAACTTTCTCTTCTTGCATCATGCAAAAGTAATCCTTCCAGTTGCAATTGAATGACCATTAATTCAGCTTTGTGGAGCAGTCATGGAAGGAGCAAAATCAATACCACGGATTCACTGGAGTATCTACAGCGAAAGATCCCTGGACCTGGAATTCCCCATCTCTGACATAGATCCTGAAACACTTCCAAGTGAAAGGACTACTCACTTCCCACATCTCAAAAATTTACTGTGATCAGGGACAGAAAATTACGCTTCGTCCAAGTCAGACTTCATTCCACTTGTCTTGGTGCTTGACTTCTTTATGCCTAACTGAATGTTCATGTAGGCCCCAGCCATGGCATTGTCTGACTAAACACATGTTGGAAGTCATTGAAATTGAGACATCCAGTGCTGAAGGGACAGTCAAATGGCTCTGGGTTCCAGAACTTTTATAGGCTGTTTTGATTCCCCCTCTGACTAAGTGCTTTGAACCATCAACAGACCGGTGACTTCCTTATTAATGGAGTCCAGATGTCCAAAAAGACATCACTCTGCAAAGGGCATGCACTCCAATCACTTTTTAGACACTCGATCAGCAGATTCAAGCCAGACAATTCAATGCATCTGAACGCACAGAAGGCCGCTCCGAAACACGAACATCTGCTGGATAGAATTCCCAAGTCCATTCATGCAATACTGTGAGGTATTTGGAAGAAAGTTCCAAGTGCTGGAGAACAGAAGGGTCCATGGGAATAGAAACACAGTCATGAGCAATGTGCTTGGATCAGACCACGAGGGTCTTACAGATTTCCATGGAAGAAAAAGACTGCATGGCAAGACCTATCAGTGCAAAAGAAGATTTAAAAAGTAATTCAAGTTGAACATCCTCAATTGGAACTGTCAGGAACCTGTTAAGGATGGCGGAAAGAGCAGAATCCACAGAAGGAACTGCCCATTTAAAATTTTCCAAGGGGTTGTTGTTGAAAAATAACTTGGAGGTACAAAAAACAACATCAGGATGTGGCCAGTCACCACATGAAGCTTCCTGAACCACAGGGTGTATAAACAAGGTCTTAGGCAGCTTGAGAGCTTTTTTAGAACCCTTGCATGTAACTGTAGGTTCCGAAGGCTCCAGTTTTAAATAGGAGTGCATCTCCTCCAAATTACTGGATTCAGGTGTTCCAATCACCTCCATGGCCACAGGTGTATAAAATCAAGCACCAAGGCTTGCAGACTGCTTCTCTACAAACATTTATGAAAGAATGGGTCGCTCTCTCAGCTCAGTGAATTCAAGTGTGGTACCATGATAGGTTGCCACCTGTGCAATAAGTCCATCAGTGAATTTCCTTGCTACTAAATATGCCACGGTCAACTGTTAGCGGTATATAACAAAGTGGAAGCAACTGGAAACAACAGCAACACAGCCATTATGTGGTAGGCCACGTAAAATGACAGAGTGCGTTCAGCGCATGCTGAAGCGCACAAGTCGCCAACTGTCTGCAGAGTCAGTGGCTAAAGACCTTCAAACTTCGTGTGGGCTTCCGATTAGCATAACCATCGTGAGTAGTGAGCTTCATGGAATGGGTTTCCATGGCCGAGCAGCTGCATCCATGCCTTACATCACCAAGTGCAATGCAAAACATCAGATGCAGTGGTGTGTAAAGCACGCCGCCACTGGACTCTAGAGCAGTGGAGACATGTTCTCTGGAGTGACGAATCATGCTTCTCTGTCTGGCAATCCGTGGACATGTCTGGGTTTGGCAGTTGCCAGGAGAACGGTACTAGCCTGACTGTATTGTGCCAAGTGTAACATTTTTTTGGATGGGGCATTATGGTGTGAGGTTGCTTTTCAGGGGTTGAGCTTGGCCCCTTAGTTCCAGTGAAGGGAACTCTTAAGGCATCAGCATACCAAGACATTTTGGACAATTTCATGCTCCCAACTTTGTGGGAACAGTCTGGGGATGGCCCCTTCCTGTTCCAACATGACTGTCCACCAGTGCACAAAGCAAGGTCCATAAAGAAAAAGAGGAGTGAGTTTGGGGTGGAGGAAATTGATTGGCTTGCGCAGAGTCCTGATCTCAACCTGATAGAACACCTTTGGGATGAATTAAAGCAGAGACTGTGAGCCAGGCTCTCTCATCCGACATCAGTGCCTGGTCTCACAAATGTGCTTCTGGAAAAATAGTCAAACATTCCCATAGACACACTCCTAATCCTTGTGGACAGCCTTCCCAGAAGAGTTGAAGCTGTTATAGCTGCAAAGGGTGGACCAACTCAATATTGAACCCTACGGACTAAGAATGGGATTCCGTTAAAGTTCATGTGCAGGTAAAGGCAGGAGTCCAATACTTTTGGCAATATAGTGTATCATGACCCTGAGTTTAAGAGAAAGAATGTCCAAAGAGGCCTCCTGTAACGAAGAATCCTCTGACTCAGAAGAAAAAAGGCCTTTCTAGTCATTAAATATCTTCCTCCTCCCTATCCTTTATTAAGACTGGAGCCAAATCAGAACCTGGGATAGAACAAGGAGAAACCAAAGTGTGCTACAGTTGTGTTCAAAATAATAGTAGTCAGACATCACTAACCTGATCAATCACTGTTTTTGGTAGAAATGATATTTCTACATGGCAAATAATTTACTAACAGGTGTAGTAGAGTAATAGAAATCCAACAGACCCAACAGTCATGACATGCATGCTGCTGATTCTGTGTAATTGAATCACTAATTGAAAGGGGCATGTTCAAAATAATAGCAGTGTGGAGTTCTATTAGTGAGGTCATTCATTCTCTGAAAAACAGGTGGCAATTATTGCCATTATTTAAGGAAGGAAGGCAGAAAATGTTGTACATGCTGGTTACAGTGCATTTCTCTCTGAAATTCTGAGGAAAATGGGCCGTTCCAGGCATTGTTCAGAAGAACAGCGTACCTTGATTAAAAAGTTGATTGGAGAGGGGAAAACATATAAAGAAGTGCAGAAAATGATAGGCTGCTCAGCTAAAATGATCGCAAATGCTTTAAAATGGCAACCAAAACCTGAAAGATGTGGAAGAAAGCAAAAAACTACCATTCGAATGGATAGAATAGCCAAAATGGCAAGGACTCAGCCAACAATCAGCTCCAGGAAGATCAAAGAAGGTCTAAAGTTCCCTGTGAGTACTGTTACAATTAGAAGACGCCTATGTGAAGCCAAGCTATCTGCAAGAAGCCCCCGCAAAGTCCCACTGTTGAAAAAAAGACATGTGCTGAAGAGGTTACAATTTGCCAAAGAGCACATTGACTGGCCTAAAGAGAAATGGCGCAACATTTTGTGGACTGATGAAAGTAAGATTGTTCTTTTTGGGTCTAGTGGCTGGAGACAGTTTGTCAGACGACCCCCAAACACTGAATTCAAGCCACAGTACACTGTGAAGACAGTGAAGCATGGTTGTGCAAGCATCATATGAGGATGTTTCTCATACTACGGTGTTGGGCCTATTTATCGCATACCAAGGATCATGGATCAGTTTGAATACATCAGAATACTTGAAGAGGTCATGCTGCCTTATGCTGAAGAGGAAATGCCCTTGAAATGGGTGTTCCAAGACAATGACCCCAAACACACCAGTAAACGTGCAACATCTTGGTTCCAGACCAACAAGATTGACGTTATGGAGTGGCCAGCCCAATCCCCGGATCTTAATCCAATAGAAAACTTGTGGGGTGACATCAAAATGCAGTTTCTGAGCCAAAACCAAGAAATACAGAAGAACTGTGGAACGTAATCCAATCATCCTGGGCTGGAATACCTGTTCACAGGTGCCAGAAGTTGGTTGACTCCATGCAACACAGATGTACAGCAGTTCTCAGAAACAGTGCTTATACAACTAAATATTAAGTGATGCAAAGGAAAGCAAAATCTTCAAACATTTTCAGTTTATATAGTGAATGTTTGAGTTTGTAAAGAAGAATACAAACACTGATATTTTTTTTTGAACAGTCTAATATTCACTTTTCTTCATTTTTTTTTAGAGGAACAACACAAATTTGATATATTTTTCTTCATGTTTTGATTTGGAATGGAATGTGTAGTGTTCCCAATGCATTTGTGTGTATGGAAATAAAAGCTATTAGAAGGATTTTGAGCTTTATTCACTTTTTTCAACACACTATTATTTTGAACACAAGTATATATACAGCCTTGAAGGTTAGAGCAGTGTTTTTCAACCTTTTTTCAGTCAAGGCACCCTTTAAAATTATGGACAGTCTTGAGGCACCCCATTCTAAAATGTGAAAAACTACTCTAATAGTTTTATATAATGCAGCAACATCCACACATGTAGGACACCCAACATTAGAGGTGATTTATTCTTCCAAAGCAAATACATTTTTGAACACTGGTACTGACTAGTATTCCAGTGTTTCTCTTCTTCTTCAGTCTTTCTCCATCACTGAGCTAATGTGACCCCAGCACTGATGGAGAGGGGCAGGGGAGGGTCAAACTAGGATGCTGTGCAGGCAGCTGACATCCTCCTTATCAACTGATTATGTCATTGGTTGTCAGGACGCTGGCGGCTAGAAGGTCGGAATGGTGCACAATGGAAACCTGTGGCTTTGTGTAACTAAAAGGCAGGCTTGTCCACCCACTGGCTTGCATACACGTTTTGGGCAATTTTCTGAGATTTTGCCAAGGCACCCCTGAAGAAACCTCAAGGCACCCCAGAGTGCCTGAGCACCCTGGTTGAGAAAGGCTGGGTTAGAGGCCTGCCAAAGGGCAATGATCTTTTCCTCCTTGCAAACAAAGAATGGGAAACGCTGTCATAGTTCAGTGACAGAGAATGGCAGCACAGCTTCTTTGATTTACACCTCTTTTTTAGCTATACAATTACTTTTTTTTTGTAAAGGACAAAAAACACACCAGCTCCCACAACAGAGGAAAAAAAACACATAGCCAGGTCCCAAAGACCATTTAAAATAGGAAAGGGATGGCCAAGGAACTTGAAGTGGCAGATTTAAATAGAAAAAAACCCCAATGGCTGCAATATTTGAGGGGGAATACGGCTCCCCCGATTCACTCACTCTGTAGGATCATACCCCCCCAAAGGGGCCCTCAGGTACTGGGTCATACTAGTATGGATTGGCACTGCCCTGGACCTGTAAAGCACCCTGCAGCTAACTCTCCTTGCTCTGCACAATGTGTCAAAGTAAGAGATCTAACACAGGATCCAGTGCCTGAAATAACTTTACAAACTCGGATCAGCATCTTCCCATCTTTTAAGCAGGGTCTGGAGCAGAAATCGAGATAGAAAAAGAACAAAAAAAACCAAAAAAAAAAAAAAATCAAAATTTCCCCTCAATTAGAAGATCACATTCATCGCTAGAAATAAACTGAGGATTGCTATTGAATGTGTTAAACAGAGTCATACCAGTTCTGTTTGCCAGTGTCCAATCACCTAACGGTAGCAGCGTATAACCCAGTCATCTATGACCAAGCCTATTCCCTGTACAGGACGAATAAGAAAGGTTTTTTTTTTTTTTTTTTAATGTAGGTCTCTTAGTCTTATGTATGTGTGTTTTTCTTCTGCATTTATACATTGACAGAACAAGCTCCTGTAACTCAATGCCAATTTACTCCCCAAAGGCACAAGCCTCAGCAGTTAGGCCCCATTCACACATGAGCATTTTGTAGCTTGAAGTTCCAAAACACTTGAGGAGCAAAAATCAATTCTTCTCAATGAAGATGGTTCACATCTCCACTCCAAGTCGCCTGAAGCTCAAACAAGTTCTGGAGCTTTTTTTTATTGCACAAATTGGGCAGATTTGCGCATTTTTGTTCCCATAGAAATTAATGGAAACTCGCAATTTGCGCATTGTCACGCGATTTTGCGAGATTTTCTGCCCAAATTAAATTTTTTTTTTCTTAAAATATAGTAATATATCAATAAATGTAAACCACACAAATAAATATCATAAATGAAAAAAAATGTGATAATTAACCCCTAACCTTAACCCCCTAACCCTAAAACAAAAAAAAAATTAAAATAACCCAAACAAAAATACATTATTATTATTATTATTATTATTATTATTAATAATAATAAAATTTTATGTTAGGGTGCTTATTATTATATTATTTTTTTAAGGGTTAGGGGTTCATTATTATTTATAGTATTTTTTTTTTTATTTGTGTATTTATTTTACATTTATTTATTCATTTATGATTATTGTTAGTAGTGGTAGTAGTATTATTAACACCTTAACAAAAAAAAGAATAAATAATAAGACAAAATATTAACCCTAACCTTAACCCCAAACCCTAATCCTAACCTAACCTTAACTCTAACACCTTCCCTAACAAAAAAAAAAGAATAATAATAATAATAATAAATAATAAAGAAAAGAAATAAAAGCTGATCAAAAAGCTAAAAAAGCAACAAACAGATGATATTTTCCTCTATTGGTGGATTTAAAAAAAACGCCAAAGCTCAAAAATGCCGAAAAAACATGTAACATTGTGTGCATAATCGCGCACAAAAATGCATGAAAAATGTTCAGATTCGCTGTGCTCAAGTTTGAATGCAGCCTTAGTGACTGCACCAGCAAGTATGTTCCCACTGACATTTTGGAGTTTTGAAAGTAGAGATTAAAATGATTTACCAATAGCGTTGCCATGTTTTCTACATCTTTATAAAACTTATGGCACATAACTAGCTGTCCATACCTTAATTGCCATAAACATCTGTGTGTGTATAAACAGCAATATATTGAAAGCATGATATTTGCTTGCTACAGCTCCTTACACACATAGCTGATACAAAACACTAACTGTAGACAAGAAGACAGCACAGACCAGAACTACCAAATAATTATGTGTGATGAGTAATGTACCTGCTGACTATTTCCCAGAGACATCTGTAATCTTGTCAGTTCCTCCTTTCGTGATTCAACCTCTGTTTTCAGCTGTTCAATCTGAAAAGTCTGTTCTTCCAACTGCAAAAATGTGAAGAAAAGCATACATGCAAGCAGAATATGTTTTGGTTTGTCCATAAAACTGTAGCAAAATAAATTAGAATTGCGCAATATATATATATATATATATGTGGAGAGAAAGATAGTGATAGTTGTGCTCAAAAGTTTGCATACCCTGGCAGAAATTGTGAAATATTGGCATTGATATTGAAAATATGACTAATCATGCCTAAAAATTCTCTTTTATTGAAGGATGATGATCATATGAAGCCATTTATTGTCAAATAGTTGTTTGGCTCCTTTTTAATTCATAGTAAAAGAAATCACCCAAATGGCCCTGATCAAAAGTTTACATCCCCTGGAATGTTTGGCCTCGGTACAGACACACAAGGTGACACACACACGGGTTAAATGCCAATTAGAGGTTAATGTCCCACATCTGTGGCTTTTTAAATTGCATTTAGTGTCAGTGTATAAATAGTCAATGAGTTTGTTAGCTCTGACGTGGAAGCACTGACTAGGCAAGATACTGAGCCATGGGGATCAGAAAAGAACTGTCAAAAGTCCTGCTTAACAAGGTAATGGAACTTTATAAAGATGGAAAAGGACATGAAAAGATGTCCAAAGCCTTGAATATGCCAATCAGTACTGTTAAATCACCTATTAAGAAGTGGAAAGTTCAGGGAGCTCTTGATACCAAGCCAAGGTCAGGTAGACCAAGAAGACTGCAGCATTGGCACAGCCGCATATATGTGAACCAGGGTTTAACCACCATCTGAAATCACTCTAGCAATGAATTTGAAGTAGTATGCATGTGGGAATAAGCACCAAATGATTTAAAAATGAAAGTTCTTTTAGTTAACCTTTATTTCAGATTCTCGCTTTACTTGATCCATCTGAAATGCCAGCTCTTCTTTGATACGTGCCACCTCCTCCTGGTTTTGCTGTGATACTGTTAACTGCTTGGCAGTGTCAGCATTCTGTATAAAACAAGATAACATCGTGATATATATTTTTTATAAAATGAGGTCACCAACCTAAAGCAATACATGTAAAAACACAGGAAAATCAAGTGTGTCACATGTTTACTTGCAGTGTTCTTACATTCAATAAATTATTATTTTTTTTTACTAAAATGTATGTATGTATAGCCATGAAAGGAAATGTTAACCCCCATTGTTTTGGGAAGGGGGGGGGGGAATTACCTTCAGGAGATTGGACACTAGTAAAAAAAATCATAGCCACTCCTACTGTAGAAAGCAGTAATATGAGTGGACTAAAACGGCAGAGGGATGGGACCTGTGTTCCAGAATGAACCATGTCCCAGGATCTTACCGCAAGTCAAAAATCCTGTTTTCCTAATTGTTCATTTGGGGACACAGGATGATATTCAGAGACATAGGGATGTCTCAAAGCAACTCAACTCGGGGTGGGTGACAGTACACCAACTGATAACAAGCCTGAAATAACCAACATTGTGGATTGAGCAGCAGGAACATGACATTCTGCAAAAAAACAGAATCTGCTTAGCCTCTTTTAGAGTTTAAAAGACTTCTGGGGATGTAATAGCGTTCGGTATTGGCGCTCTTGGACCCCTGCTCTTTTTTTTTTTTTTCCCATTCTCTCTTTCTCTGTTTGTTTTTGGTGTGACAGTGGACAGCTGCCTTTAGTTGTTATAGTCAGAGTCACATTAATGTTATTGTAACTTATGTGCCATTGATAGCCCCTGCATGGGCGTACCTTTTCCCTTGTTGGCGTTAGAGCACTGTTTTTTTCTATTTTGCTTTTTTTATCGGTGCAATTGATAGCCCCTGCGTGGGCGTGTTTTGTTGCCTCTATTTTATACTGTTTAAAATTAATAAAAACCATTGAAATACAAAAAAAAAAAAAAAAAAAAAAGACTTCTGGTTCCTCACTGGTGACTGATGTAGACCACAGTCATGACTGTCTGAATCCTGATTGGGTGACCCCACAGTCAAAAGGTTCATTGCTGAAGAGACGAATAAATGGCCCATAGTTCCATAATGTTGGACTGGGAGACAACATTCCCCTGGTGACCTAGTCTCCTGTACAGTAAGGACCCCCAGGGTGGCATCTGTCGAGAGGACTTTCTCGAGAAAAGAGGAAAGAACGGATTTTACCCAACTCAAGGGCTGAACTAGAGAGCCATCAGGCTAGAGCCAATCTGGTCCTTAGCATCAAATAGGACAATCCAGAGAGTGCACCTACTTATCCCACACAGTCAGATGTTGAGTTACTGTCTGGAGTGTAATTGGACATAAGGAATCACCTCAAAACAGACTACCGTCAAGCCCAGAAACCAGGGAGGGTCTGCTTTTGGAAATTTGAGTGCAAATGAGTTGGGCATAGAATCTGAACTTTCTCTTGAAGAAAGAAGACCATGGACAAAGTCATATCTAAGCGGAGGCCCAGGCACTGCAACGGATGTGTTGGTTCCAGCACTGATTTCTGGAAGTTCACAATCCATCAAGTCCCTGCTCAATATTGGCCAATAAGGCCTGCATCAACTGCTCTTTCAGTAGGAGGTCATTCAAGTATAAGAGTATAACAGTGAGCGTAACACAGCTAGCACCTTGACAAAAACCTGAGGCGCAGGGGACAGTTCAAAGGAGAGGACAACAAGCTAGCAGGTTTGTGTGCCAACAGCAAAACACAGGAATCGTGGGTGCATTAAGAAGGTAGAGTCATGTAGGTAAGCATCCTTTTATGTCCACAGAGGACAGGAAAAACCTCCAGCTGTACTGACATGACTGACCTGTCGAATGCCCTGTGGAATCTTTGCACCATCATAAAGGATTTGATATCTTTTAAATCCAGAATGGGTCAGATGCTCCCTTTGGGTTTTGAACTGGTAAACAGTTTGGAGTGGAAGTCCTGAAACCATTCTGCTTCTGGGGATATTTTGTCCTGACTCACAGGCTTCACAAGTTAACCAAAAAGCAACCCATCCAAGAGATGAGGGGCATGTTCAATAGCCCATCTATGCAGTAAAGAAGGCCTTGTGGCATGAACTGGAGAACCACAGGATTTGAAAGGATAGCGCCTGGATCCCTTGCCATATCCTTAGTCTGATCTCCTAAAATGATATATTAAAGACAATTAAAATATCGAAGGATCAGTTAGTGTTATTTGCAATTATCTTACACTGTGTCAACTGCAAGAAGCTTTTCAGGCCTTACAGGGGCCAGTTTAGAAAGAATCTGCCCAATGCAGAGCACAGAATGCAGATGGGAGCTTATTCACTTTTCAGGAAGTGCCACTGCCCATGCTTTAGGAGGCGGGGATACACCCAATAGTTTCTCAGTCTCAAATGGTGTCCATGCATCAAATTTTAAGTGTTATGGTGCCAACTATTGACAAAATAGTATCACACTACACAAAAATATTATAGCGCCCCACATATGAACACAACAAACTTTTAAAGTGCTGAAGCACTGCGCAGGAACCTTGGCGAGGGTGCAGTACATGGAAGGGTGGCCAAATCCCAGGGCAGAACCCTTAAACTCACCAATGGTGGCCTGAAAATTCATAGATGCCCCTGCAGAGCAACTTTGCTCCTCTGCTGGGCATACTCCTGCTGTGAGTCTTCCACTAGATGGGTCTTACACAGAGCTGGACCTGTAAAGTGCACTGTGGGTGCACCAGGTGTTTGGAGTGTGCCTTAAACAAAACCCAACACCAAAAAAGTCATGTTACAGGGCATCTTCAGACAATCATTGACGCTCAGTTGAGTATACTCGCTAACAGGAAAGGAGACTTTAGAGAGTGGCTTTAACCAGATGGGTGCAACGTGTCCCTAAACCATTAAAGCACTCTGTGCCTGCAATTCTCAGTACACCAGGTACCAGGAGTTCCCAGTGCCGGAGGGTCAAATTACAGGCCATCCCTACGTTGTCAGGGTATGGCTTCCAAGCTCTAGCTGATTTAGAAATCTGCAATGGCAAGCAATAATCTCTGCAGATGTTAATTAAACTTGCCTGAGGAAAAGATGGACTTCCATTATGCTAGGACACTAGCAAAAAAAAAACTGAGCTATGCTAAAAGTAGGATGGGATATGGTATGGTGTTCCACAGCTCTGATTGGTTCCCACTGTGCAATCTCCTGAAGGTAGATGTGTCTTAGATAATAGAACCCATCAGAAGATTTTCCCTCAACTTCTGTTTAGGGGACTGTAAAATTTAGGATCACTTATTTTGTGATTCAGTGACAACAGCCAACAGGACAAAAAAAAAAAAGAAAGAGATGATTAATTTCCCCTGTGGGGACACAGAAAGCAATAAAAACTTCATACTCTACCCAAAACTAAAAATAAAGTTGTGGCTATACATACACTTTAAACGTAAAATGTTCCTTTGGACTTGCTAGATAATTTAAAGGATAAGTTCACTATTTTAGAAATAATAAATGCACATATTTCTGCATTAAAAAAAATGAATTCATTATTTTTTTCTGCAGGAGCCTTGAAAGCATCCAGGATGCAATGTCAGGCTTCTGCAGACAAACACTTCAGCTTGCAACCCGTATCTCCATACAGACTGTCAGTTTGAAAGCTGCAGGGCTTGTTGAAATTAATAGTCTGGCGAAAGGTTCCTTAACATACAGGGAGCCTATTACTGAGATCATAGAGGAGCTTTTAACAGCATTTAGCTATGAACAGAAGAGAGAAAGGCAAGAATCTCTGTCAAGGTTATTTTTTTTTGGCTCAAAACTAGGGGCACAGGCATCAAGAGGCAGGAAGACACTGTTGACAAAACATCCTGGGAAAGATTTTACCCCTTCCTGGTAGAAAAAGTAGTTTTCGTTACTGTCAGTCCCATCACTTCCAGAGCCACAGACACTATCTAAAAGAATAGCCTGAAGAAATCTCAAAAATAGAGAGCAATAAAAACTTGCCAGAGGTTCTAACCTTTCACAATACTCTACTCAAAAAACTTAAGGGAGTTAAGCCTTAAGCAATTACTCCAAAAACACACACAACAAAAAAAAAAAAAAAAACAATATGGTTCTACAGAGTTTAAGAGCAAAGCTTCCTTTAGTCTCTGGTGAAACAAACTTGGTGCCAAAAGGTGTGTAGCTGCTAAGGATGTGCTTTGAAAGGATTAACATGACACAAAAATATAACAGAATGCACTGCTACCTTTCTCAGGAGTCCGGCATGAACATTAATGAGCTCGTTGTGCTTTTCCTTTAATTTGTTGTAGCGTACTTCTGTTGCTTGAACCTTCTCTGTAAAACAAAATAGAGAGTAAATAAATAAGAGAAAAGCAAATACTGAAGACATGCATCTAAAAATGACATAGGGGAGGCGCCTATCTGGGCTTATTATCTGTCTAATAACATACATAACCACTACAAAAAAAAAGTTGCATAAACATTGCATAAATTGGTTGTAAAGTATAAGGTTTAAGAATGCATTAAGGCAGGCATGTCCAAAGTCCGGCCCGCGGGCCGTTTACGGCCCGGGGGTCGGTTTAATACGGCCCTCCAACAGCCCTCCCTGCTCTGTGTAATGTGGCCCTCCCACGGCCCTCCCTTCTATGGCAGACAGTCTTCTGCTTGAGAGCAGAGGGCAGTGCGCATGCCTGACTGCGTCGCGTTCTCCCTGGCCTGTGTAAATGCGGCTGTCGCACGGCCCTCCCTTCTGTGGCAGACAGTCTTCTGCTTGAGAGCAGTGCGCATGCGTGACTGCGCCGCGCTGGGAGCGACAGAGGGTGGTGACCGGGCTTCCAGCGTGAAGTGTGTTTCTCTTCCCCTCCCGGCTGCCGAGCAGAGACTTCAGCTCCAGCTACCTTTTTCACCCTTCACATTAGTGCAGGTAAGTTTTTTTAAATTTATTTTCAATACATTGTGAAAACTCAGCTGTCAGTTGATCTTAATGTTATGAAATGAAAAGTATGTCGTTTGCAATTAACTTGGCATAAAATAATTTATTTGCATTTAATTGTAATGGTTCAAATAATGTTCGGAAAAACGTTCGGCCCTCCACCATGTTCACTTCATCCAATCTGGCCCTTTTTGAAAAAAGTTTGGACACCCCTGCATTAAGGTAACCACCCCCCCCCCTTGTACTTACCTGAACTCTGTCGCAATCCAGTGCTGTGCATGTGCTTTAACAAAACAAGGCAATGACATTCTCACAAAGAAACCTCTAGGAATGGATACTCATGATATAAAAAAAAAAAACAAATGCGGTTTTGTGCTCACTGTAAAATCCTTTTCTCTGCTTTTATTGAAGGTTAAGAGAGGTTAAGATAAGTATGGCCAAAGCTTTTTTGGCCATACTTCTCTTTTGGGTCTCTTGTGCTCTCCTGGGACCCAGATGCTGACATCACAGATCCATTCCAGGCTTTGGAAGGATTATGGCAATAATGTCTGAATCCACTTACTGCGGTGCTGAGAGCCAAAGCCAACTGCTCCCGCCCACTCCCCAGCTCACAGCGGATCAAGCACTGACTGACCAGAGGTCATGTGATCACTTAGTTCTTGGGCTTCGAGTAAGCAGGGAGCAACTGCAGCATCAGACTGACACTGCAGCAAAAAGGGGCGTATAAAGGGTTTTTAGTATTCCCACACTTCTCTTTTAAGATTAGTAACTTTTGACCTCTGGGTTATAGTATCATCTGCAAGAGTAAAATGCTAGAAACAACACAAAAAGACAGCCTAGGAGCAGCCCCTGTAGGTGGACAACCACCATCTGCAAACACAGCCTAAGTTAGGAGCAAGCAGTAGAAGCCAAACACAGAACCTGCACTTTTGCTTGTTAGCTGCTGCAGTTACTTTGTGCATCCTTCAATGAATGTAGAAATAAGAATTTTATAAGGAAAGTACAAATTTCACTTCTGTTCCTCAATGGGCACAATGAAGAACTGGAAGATTTTGACCACTTGGACATCCCAAAGCAGCATTAAAAGAAGGACAGGCAAACAGAAGAACAACCCAGCAAAGATCACACCACTGCCTGCAAATCTTTGCACCCAAAAGTGGCAAAGGAAGCAAAAACATCAGCCTTATAACATTTGGTAAAGGTATGAACAGAGCACCAAGTGTCTCTTTGCAAACTTGAGATCTTAAAGCCAGGTGCTGAAAGGCACAGGATGCACGCCTTGCTCTAGTGGAATGGGCAGTGACAGAACCTGGGTGATGCATACCCAGAAAGTATAAGCCTAAACAAAAATCCATCAAATCAATCTGTAAATCAGCACTGAAGGTTGACCCATGCAAGCGTCACCTGGGAGGAAAAAAAAAAAGAGCAACTCTGTTTTACTAAAGGATGCCGTAGCATCCAGAATGTCTTAAAAGCCCAGACTAAATCTAGATTGCAGAGAGTCCACTCCTTGTGATGAACAAATTTGGGTTAGAGTTCAAAGGGCTGGGATAACCTTGGGAAGAAAATAAGGACTAGGATGGAGACCCTCAGCAAGACCAAAAAGGCACCTACAAGGCCATCAATTCCCAAACCCGCCAATCCAAGGTGATGGCCACAAAAAGTCCATCTCCTGAGATAGCATCAATGAAGGAAATTTGCAAATATGCTCACACGTTTTGTAAGCCTTTTGTAAGGCCTAAATACTAAGATGATATATTTTACAAAAAGCAGCCTTCTATGCCTTGAGCATAGTTGAAATCAAAGACCCTGATATACTTCTGTCCTTCAGTACTTCAAAAGCTAGGCTGTTAAAACCAGGTACCATAAAAGCTGGGCAGAAGAAAGGTTCTTGGGGCAGAGAAAGAAGCAGGCACCAGGGGCATCTGTGTCCAAACCATATCTGCGTACCAAGGCCAGTGGGGTTAAATCCAGGGCTACCATAAAGACTGATTATCACTTCTGCTTCGATCCTGCAAAGAAGTCAAGGTAGGAGCTTCAGGAGTAGAAATGCACAGATCAGACTGTACGTCATTATCAGGGAATCTGTTGCATCTTGACCACAAACTGATCAACCTTGCAAATGAATCGAGACACTAGAGGATCCACATCCAGCATCCCCCAAACGAAGACAGTGAAGATGAAAAACCTCTGGGTAAAGGGATCACTTGATAGATGACTTGTCCGCCTGCTGGTTGACCACCACCTGAAATGTAGATTACAGAAAGAGCCAGAACATACCTCTCTGCCCAATGTAGTATGCCAGAGATTGCCTTGGAGGACGCTGCTTTTTAGCACCACTATGACTGACATATGTCATGGCTACGGTGGTGTTGAAATTAATCCTGACAAGCGACCTGTCAAACAATTGGCTTAGTGCAGAAGAAACAGATGATTGCCCAGAGTTCTATCATATTAATCAGTATTAGCGACTCCAAAAAAAAGGCTGGCATTCGTTGTCTCCACTATCAGGCAAAGCAGAATGAATGATTTTTCAGAGAGAAGTATGGGGGATCTCAGCCACCATACTAACAAAGTCCTTGCCATTCAACTCAAATGAATCTCCTTGTCCAGAGACAATTGGGACATGTTTATGTATTTTGGAGAGAAGTTCCCATGGAAGGATTTGCATATGGCACTGTGCAAATGGAACCGTTTTGAAGGAAACCAACATCAGACTCAGGATTTGCATGCATGAGAGTGCAAAAGATGACATGAGAGTGGAGCGTCCAAGATTTCTCCAGCAGAAGAAACACCCAGGCAGGACAGATATCCAGAAAAAATAAGGAAGGGTTGTAACAGCGCAAACACTGCAAAGTCCTGGGAAATGGTAGTATGGGGTGATCGTGGTATTCGTGGCTACTGTATGAAGAGCGTAGGATTCCGTGTGGCACTGAGGGCAAGGCTTCCAAATAAGCTGTAGCAACTTCTGTAGATGAGAAAAGGAGAAAAGCGCCTCTAAGTGCAATAAGTCTTTTTATTCAAGTCTAAATGTAGAAACACTCACATGTGTGAAGTAATCATAAGCTTAAAAAACATGGTTAACAATAGTTAACGGTGGGATGGTAACCCAGGTGAAGAGCCGTCATCTTACTGCGATGTCGGGAGGTCAGCTCTCGGCTGGAACAGCGTGGTGGCTGGAGGGGAACAGCGGTGAGGCCGGCCGGCGTGCACGTCCTCCCACAGAGCCGGATGGAACGCACGCTGGAACGTAGCGGCGGCGTGGCCGTGATGACGTCAGATCCTAGGGTGCACTGCGACGCGGAGCATGCACTGGCCGTGGAAGGCGGAAGTGCGCTCCTTTTTCAAGCAGCTTTTCTCAGGACAGATATCCAGAACTAAACCCACATAGTCCAGGCAGAAGGGATCAGTGAGGACTTCTTCAAGTTCAGGATTTAGCTGAATTCCCAAATAGTGCTGAGTTATAGATAGGTTGGTCTCCAAATAGAGTGTGGACCCCACTCGCTGAAGCAGATCGTCAAAGTCCCACAAAGTCCTAATGACCCCCCTGCAGACACAAGATCTGAGCTGTGCCTTCTAAGTTATGCTATGTAAATTGGAGCATTTAACAAATATAAAGTAGGTGTTATCCAAGCTTGGCTGCAAAAGTGAAAATACACTAAGTTTTGTTCCTCATTCAAAATATAACCAAAGTAAGAAAACAGACTAGGAAAAAAAAACTGTGAAAAAAATATATTATGGAATCTACTAACAAAGATGACCAAGCATCAGTTTATCATGTTATAGTTTTCTTCTTCTTGGTGTTTATATAAATCACTAAAAAATATGGCATCCTCATGCCCTTTTATTGAAAGAAAAAAAAAATGAATATAAAAAGAAGCACATTAAAGATTAAAAAAGGAGGCAAACAATACAAAGAACATACACTATAGTTACTGCATACTCCTACAAGTCAAACAAGATATAAAATATTTAAATACAAAGGAAACCATCAAAAAAAGGAAAAAAAACTCTGTTGTAACTAAGGAGTGGTTACTCTGCAACAAGGGAAAAATATAACAGTGCTCTTTAAAATGATATGACATTAAAGTATATGTGAACCCTCACCTTGTAAAACAACCCATTCAGTTTAAAATAGAAATGCAAGGCAGGACGTTTGTGTGTATATATTTAAAAAAAAAAAAAAAAACATTTTAAATAACGTTTTTCTTTAAGTGATCACATGACCTCTGTTCTCAGCTGCATAAAGGGCCTAGAAAGGTGGAGACCACAGAGGGGCAAGTCAGCTGGAGGCAGAGGGACAACAGTACACTGCTTTTCTAAGCAAGTAGCTATGCAGGGGGGCCCGTCAGCACAAGTCCACTAGAACAAAGACAGGCTCTGCTCCCAAGTAGACAGCAAAGAAGAAGAAAACTGACCATGCTGAGATGGATGTGCTGCCATGCCCTGAAGTGGTCAGTCTGAAATAGGAAAGCAGGGGGACTAGCAGGAAAACCAGGTATTTCACACAAAGGAAGCAATGCAAAGAAAACAGGATACTAATTAATACAAGTACATGGTAGCACAGACCCACATCAAAAATATGAAATACTGGGGTAACATACACTTTAAAAAGTAAGCTTTATACAACTACAGTGGCTGGAAATTCTACCATACAATCAGAGATTCAATAAAGCTTTCTTGAAAAAGCAAATGTTAAGCATAAACTTTACTTCTTGGACAGAATGTGGAGAGGTTATATTGCCGTATGTGTCTTTATTTGAGAGAGTTGCCCTTACTAATGCTTCTTATGACAACGTTCTCTGGTATAGAAAGTGGGGGGCAGGGGCGGACTATTTGGAAACTTGGGCACTGCCCGAGGGCCCAGGGTCAGTAGGGGGTCCCATGAGATGCCTCTGGTACCTGTTTCATAGGCTTTTTTGAGTTTGGGAAAGGAAACAGGGGCCCCATGATCCCCTATTGCCCGGGAGCCCCATGAGTTGTCAGTCCGCCCCTGGTGGGGGGAAATAAAAAATCCGAGCAGTCACAAAAACAGAATGTGTTTCAATCATCCAATGGCTAAACCTATTCAGCTAAAAAACTGTCTAAGTGTTATCAGCTCACTTTGGAGAAGATCTCTCCTTACTTCCTGTTGTGTCTCTGGGACAAAACGTAAAAAGAAATATCTATGACAGAACACACACAGAAAAAAAGTCAATAGTGCAAACTAGTCCCTACATTATCATTTACATTCAATTTAATCTTCATAATTAAAACAAATCTTCAGTGCAAGTTAAAAAAAATTAATTAAAATGATGATCTACATACTGGCTAAGATGGTCTTTGTTTGCCCTTTTTGTTCACGATGTTTTGGACAAATAAAGAAATTACAGAAAAAAAAAAAATAATGGATGAGCGACTGAAAATATGCAAAACGTTAGCATGTTTGTCTATTTTGTTTTTATTTTTAATGAAAGTCTAAGACCTCTGACACCCTTGCATACTACATAATGTTCATGGCAGAGCTTATTCAGAATAAAGCTGGACATAGATAAGTAGTTTTTTTCTTCTTACAGCCATTGAACGAATAAAAAAAAAAAAACAGATTCCTTCATTCAGGCAAAGGAGGTGAATGGTGTAATTTCCCCGCCAGAGTATTGTGTTCTGAGGGCAGGATTCAGCACTGTCAGAACACACTAATCAGCAGCTGCAACCGCTGATCAACAACAGTTTTCCACACGGGGCCACACACACATCAAAATTTGGGCAGTCCCTTCTAACCTGGCTGAGTTTCGATCCATCTATGGCATCGTAAGCCAACAAAAAACACCATTTTTTTGGCATGGCCCAGCCAAAAAAAAATATTTTTTTTTCATTAGAAAAAATTGCTAAATGAGTGTGTGTATCTTTATTCTCAGTAACAGAAAATATGCACACTGTTGTAGACCATACAATTCTACTTCTATTTACACATAATGAAATGGCTACTTAATCTTGACAATTTGTTTTCCATGCCCAGGCATTAAGTAAAGTTTAATCATGTTGCTGATTTCAGCCTGCTGGCAGATGTTCGTGAAATCTCAATGGTATAATTAAGCCTCTGCATTTATAGAAGCTTTTCAGGAAATGGCTAAGGCAGGTCATAGGCAGCACACACTAAACAAATTGCCATGTATTGCACTGCATGGATTAAACACTCATCACTGTTTCTGATATACTGCTAATTTGTAAAGACCTACTTTCCATTTCTGCAGACAGTCCCTGAGCTTTATCGCTCTCTTGCTTCTGTTTCCGCAGCCTCTCCAGCTCATCCCGCAGCTGCTCATTGTCCACTAAGGCTTTCTGCTTTTGCTTCCGCTGCTCTTCCACCTCAGCTTCCAAAGTGTTTATCTGACCTTTCAGCTGCATAATGTATTTCTGGGCCTGTGACAGACAATTTATGGAAATTTAATTTATTGCCATCAATGTAAACAGCTAAATTATTGCTCCTTGACTCAAATACTGTCTTCTTGGAACATCAATTCCTGAAGTTAAATGGACTTCTCATGGAATTAATCTTACACTCCAATATCCAAATTAGACACCTTCAACAAAAACATCACTATTACAGAGTAACAGATTTCAGAATTCATAGTGGAAATCAAAGAGTAAGATAGAGACCCAAATATCTCTCATTGCTCTTACCCCGATATGATAACCCCGTCACTCCAAATTAATTTTGGCATTCTGCAGACACAAAAGGTGCATAGATAAGTTTTGAGATACAGTGGATATAAAAAGTCTACACACCCCTGTTAAAATGTCAGGTTTCTGTGATGTAAAAAAATGAGACAAAGATAAATAATTTCAGAAATGTTTCCACCTTTCGTGTAACCTATGAACTGTACAACAAACTGAAATCTTTTAGGTGGAGAGAAGTAAAAATAAAAAGCTAAAATAATATGGTTGCATAAGTGTGCACACCCTTAATCTAATACTTTGTTGAAGCAACTTTTGATATTATTCCAGGACTCAGTCTTTTTGGGTATGAGTCTATCAGCATGGCACATCTTGACTTGGCACTATTTGCCCACTCTTCCTTGCAAAAACACTCCAAATCTGTCAGATTGCGAGGGCATCTCCTGTACACAGCCTTCAGATCACCCCACAGATTTTCAATTGGATTCAGATCTGGATCTGGCTGGCCATTCCAAAACTTTAATCTTCAGGTGAAGCCATTCCTTTGTTGATTTGGATGTATGGTTTGGGTCGTTGTAATGCTGAAAGATGAAGTTCCTCTTCATGTTCAACTTTTTAGCAGAAGCCTGAAGTTTTTGTGCCAATATTGACTGGCATTTGTAACTGTTCATAATTCCCTCTACCTTGACTAAGGCCCCAGTTCCAGCTGAAGAAAAACAGCCCCTAAGCATGATGCTGCCACCACCATGCTTCACTGTGGGTATGGTGTTCTTTTGCTCATGTGCAGTGTTGTTTTTGCGCCAAACATATCTTTTGGAATTATGGCCAAAAAGTTCAACCTTTGTTTCATCAGACCAGAACACATTTTCATACATGCTTCTGGGAGACTTCAGATGTGTTTTTGTAAAATTTAGCCGGGCTTGGATGTTTTTCTTCATAAGAAAAGGCTTCCGTCTTTCCACTCTACCCCATAGCCCAGACATATGAAGAATATGGGCGATTGTTGTCACATGTACCACACAGCCAGTACTTGCCAGATATTCCTGCAGCTCGTTTAATGTTGCTGTAGGCCTCTTGGCAGCCTCCCAGACCAGTTTTCTTCTTGTCTTTTCACCAATTTTGGAGGGACGTTCCAGTTCTTGGTAATGTCACTCCTGTACCATATTTTCTCTCACTGTCTTTACTGTGTTCCATGGTATATCTAATGCCTTGGAAATTCTTTTGTACCCTTCTCTCGACTGATGCCTTTTAACAATGAGATCCCTCTGATGCACGTTAAATGATGCCAGGTGTGTACTGACTTCTATTTAACATGATTTTTAAAGTAATCGCTTAATTCTGAACACAGCTACATCCCAAGTTATAAGAGGGTGTGCACACTTATGCAATCACACTTTTAAGATTGTTTTTAAACTGAGTTGTACATTTTGTAGATCTCATTAAAAGGTGGAAAAAGTTCTGAAATTATTTAATCTTTGTCTAATTTTTTTTACATCACAGAAACCTGACATTTTAACAGGGGTGTGTAGACTTTTTATATCTACTGTAGAAACCCTCCAGTTGCTTTCTTGCTCTTATATTCCAGAACACAAACTTCAACCAGCCAACAGTAAAGCCAGGGACTGACTATGACCATGTTGCGAGGTCACAACTGATAAAACTACATTGGAGCACATAATCATACAGTTTTACATTTGCTTATTCTAACACTCTTCTTATATAATAAAACTTGAATCTTATATTATTGTATATAAATTATATCTATGTTTAATAAACACAAAGTAAAGGAAATGCTGACCTAAACACTAAGGCTGACTTCACACACAATCTTAAAAGAATAAGTAAACCTTTCAAAAAATAAAAATAATAAATGCACATTTTTTTGCAGGTAAAAAGTGCACTTTTTTTTTTTTTAGAAGCCTGCAAAGCATTGCACCAGCATTCAGCAGATCACTGTCAGGCAGTTCCACAATGACAGGAAGAATCAATGAACTACCACAGTGCTGTGGTAGTTCATTGGGAACTACAAGCTGACATCTACAAGCAACTCTGTGAATGAATGATGCAGCCGTGTGGGCAGAGCCCTGCACGGCCATGCTCTTTTCAAAAAGTGACAGCTGGTACAGAGAACTTCTCCCGGTACTGATGTCACAAAGAGGGCTTTGATCGCCAAGCCACTGCAGGAGGGTGCCCAAAGCATCATCATAATCTCTTAGATGGTAAAAGCACTTTATAGACTCTTCTGAAAATTAAGCATGAGTTTCTCTATTTTTTTTTTTTTTTTTTTTTAAATCATAAAGCAAAAACACTTAAGTTATCCCTTCATGTCAAATGACCACCACAGGAGGATAAACAACTTTAAGAGAATACAGTTTAAAGTAGAACTAAACTCTCAAGCAGCATTAACTATTTTAATCGCTATGTTACCAGCATTTATAAATAAATAGGAAGGTATATTATGTTTACCTGCACAAAAACCTTTTCTTTTTTTTTTTTATAGACAAATCTTCTGTTGCTTCCAGGTTTTGGTCTAGGCCAAAATTATGTTATACATCCAGGAATCTTCCTGGCATTTGTTTTTTTCTGTCAACTGTCGGAAGGATTTCCTCAGCTAAGCAAACCCAACTGCCTGCTTGCCTGAGCTAAGGAGAGACGGATTCAAGGAAGTAAGTGGTACAAGAATCATCTTCCCATTGATGGTCTCAATGCCCAGATGGCTGTGGCTAGAAATGGTATGGAGTGTTTTTCAAAGTGATTTCAAAACAGTGTAAACCAAAGAACATGGATGGATTGGTGAATTTCTTTTTAACTACTTAGCACCCAGGTCAATTCTGGCATTTCTCTTTTACATGCAAAAATCATAATTTGCTTAAAAAAAAAAAAAATTACTCAGAGCCTTATATATATATATATATATATATATATATATATATATATATATATATATATATATATATATATATATATATATATATATATATTAACCCCCCTGGCGGTATTCCCGAGTGTAGCTCGGGGTAAGGTTTCAGTACCACAAGCGGTAACCCCGAGCTACACTCGGGAATACCATGCGGCGCTGCTCCGGGATCCCTCGATCACTTACCTTGTTCTGCGCTCCCACGATGTCCCTCCTGCAGTGTCCCGAGCAATGTCCTCCTGCGGATGCCGGCATCTGTCTTCTGGTTTCCATCCCCTGCGAGTTTCGGGACGTACGGGGGACGGAACGGTGGGAAATTTGAAAATGTCAAAAAGTGACATTCACTAAATACACTAAAATCCCATAGTATAACATTACTGTATCAAACCATTTCACATACACTTTGTCTCTAGTGCTTTGTCCTGTGCCCTGCCTGCATTTTTACTGTTTTTTCTGCCTGGAAACTGAGAAATGTCCATGGCGTCCAAAAAAGCGTCCCTTTAGGTCAAAAGCGGTTTTATATCAGCTAGAGAACAGCGATAGTAAATCAGAACCACTTGCAGAATTGAGTGATGATTCGTGGGGAAATTCATCATCAGACACTGAAAACGATTTTGCGACTTTGCTCAGTGATGTGCGAACTTGGCGCTATATTTCAAATTTCAGTGTATTTGGTTTGATTATATTATTGAATTAAATTTCATATTAGATTATTTTTTGTGATTACTTATTAAATTATAATTTATGATTTCGTGTTTCAAATTGTAACATACCCGGGATGTTTACTAGACTCTTGTTCGGACAGACTTCAGTGAGTTATTCCTAAAAATTACAGGCCTTCAATAAAAAAAAATACATATTTCCATGCAAAAAAATTTACCGCTTTGAGCACAGAAATACTGACATAATCAGACCGCTGGGGAGGTTAATGAATAAGAAAAAAAACCCACAATATATAACCCAAACTACTACTTTTTTTGTACAGGGTTTAGGGTTACAGAGGAGGTCTAGCACCAGAATTATTGCTCTCGCTAGAACATTCGCGGCGATACCTCATGTGTGATTCGAACGCTGTTTACATATGCGAGCGCAACCTATGTATATGTGTTCGCTTCTGTGTGCAAGCACGAAAGGACATGGCGCTTTCAATTTTTTTTTATTATTATTTTATTTTTACACTATTTTTTATCACTTTTATTCCTATTAAAAGAAATTTAAATATCCCTTGTAATAGGAATAAAGCATGACAGGTCCTCTTTATGGAGAGATCTGGGGTCCCATACATCTCTCCTCTGCTAGAAAGCATGAGATAAAAAAAAAAAAAAAAAAATTATCTCAAACTTTGCAGCGGCAAAAAAAAATTGCAATGTTTACATCTGCCAGTGCCGAAAGTGATTACATGACGTCTCCTTCTGCCGCCTGTAAAAGCAATCCAGCAACTAAGGAGCCGTTAGGATGACTTTTACATTGCAGGGCATTGCCGTCTGGAAAAACAAAGAAAATGATATCTGGATGATGCTTGTAGCTGCAAGCATCATCCAGTTATCCACAAAGTTCACAACATCATATGACATCATGTGAGCAGGAAGTGGTTAATACTAAAACATTAATTAAATAGCATTTTCTGTTTGTGGTGCTCAGATACTCTTTAGTTCTGCTTTAAGAATGTTAAAATTACACAAAATGTTGCTATTCCAAAACATCTACTTAAAGACTGTGTGAACAACGGTATTTACCATTTGTACTCTACTTTAACCACTTGTCTGCAGGGCACTTATACCCCCTTCCTGCCCAGGCCAGTTTTCAGCAGCTCAGATGGGCACTGATATGTGGCACTGATGGGCACTGGCAGCTGGCATTGATGGGCACTGACAGGTGACATTGCTGGGGTTACACTGATCATCAGGGCACACTGGTCATCACACATGACGTACGTATCTCCTCTCAGGAACGCCGATTACCGGTTCTCCTCTCGAGCTGTCAGCGTGACAGGTTGTGAGGAGAGAACTGCCGATAACTGGCATTTCCCTATTTACATGCGATCAGCTGTGATTGGACACAGCTGATCACATGACCGAGCCGACTTCTTCGGCTCTTTTCGCTGATCCACTGTGTCCAAGGGACACAGCGCACCACCGATCGCCGCGCATGCGCGGTTAGAGTGGAAGGACGTCATATGACCCAGAACAAGAGAACCGCCTTACGCCCATCATTACTTTATGTGGCAGGCGGGAGGCGGCTAAACTATTACTAAACCCACAACAGTAAAATCAGTCTGCATATGCAGTAAAGCATGCTTGTTATGCGCACTGTGGACAATAAGGGATTACCCTCTGAACTGTGTAAAAATGAGGTTTGATCCTGACTTCTGTGATCCTCCCCTTCTTCCAGTATTTCCCTCATCTCCTGATAAGACTTATTGTGTTGAGACACTGCACATGCTCAATTTGGTGTATATTGCTAGAGAGTTTTTTTTTTTTTCTTAGGAGAGTGCATGTGATGTGCAAAGGGCCAATCAAGCACTGCCCAGACAGAGGTTAGAGGTTCTACATCCTTTAACCAGTGGCTCTGCTGAACACTGATAGAAGTCACAAGACTGCTCTAACTGCTGATGAGAAAAGGTATTTAGCAGTTTATATTTACTAAAATAATTTAAATTTCCATGTTCTGTGTACTGTGGGAGACCAGATATAGTAAATGCAGGGTCCAGGGTTTAATAACACGAACATCCTGAAGGCCAAGACTAGAAGTTATAGCTGTGGGCAGTAATCGAATGCTAAACATCCGACAGGCTTGGGTACAATCAGCCTACCCATAGATGGGTCGAACTTATGGTCCCTGCTGAACTGGCCTAGATTCGATCCATAAATGGCTGCTTTACAGAAAAGACATACAAATGCTCATGCAGTGTACTGCCAGCTTTGCCCGCAGCACACATGCACTTTGAAAACCTGTTCTGTTAGAGACTCAGAGAACACCTAAACAAGTTATACAATAAGGGTTTACTTGTTTGAGGTATCAATTTTTAACATTAACTTCAAGGCTGCGTGTTTTCATTTAAAAAAAAAAAGAAGGCATTATGGATCACTAATCTTGATACACTTGCCTATCGCCATCTTGATGAATAAAATACAAATTCTTTGCATGTTCATTGCTTTGTAGATACTAGGCACCCATCTTCTACAAATTGTTATTTAGCACTAAAGAAACATTATAAGAAATAACATCTAAAGTGTAAAGCTAGTGTAAAAACACTTCAGATATAACTGTTCTTACCTCCAGCTTCATTTTTTCCAACTCTGAACGAAGCAGTTCAATTTCTTTTTTAAGATTTTCTATCTGAAGATCCCTTAGACGGAAAGGCGAGCATAAGAAATTACACTGGTAAGCAGCAGACAAGCAACAATATAGGTCAATAAGCTCCAACAGACAAGAGGTTAACATATAATCAGTACCTGTCATCTATCACAAGACCATTTGGAGGCCCAAAAGTTTGTTGAAAGATGTCTTCTACGACCTAAAAATAAAACTAACATGGTCAAAAATACTTAATGAATCAATTTAAGGCAGTTATATTTAAGTGTCGGTTCACATATATGCGGATTGGATGCGGTTTGAACCGCATCCCATGGTGCTTGTTCACATATGTCCGGTGCACGGGTGGTGCAGATTTAGTGCGGTTTGAAAAAGAGTCATGTACGATTTCTGAGCAGTGCAGTCCGGTTCAGGTTACAGACTATTGACTTATTCGGGAAGCCACAGTCTAAGAATACAACTGCTGTGTCCTGTACGGTATGATTAGGAAAAGCATCATGTGCATTTTCTGGTCCATTGCAGTGTATTGCCAGACCATTCATAATTAATGGACCACCTTAATGCAACACACATTAAAACCACCAAAACAAGCCCCACGTAAGTCTAAATAGGCTCACTTCCAAATCTCTGCTGCCAATAAGGCATTCAACACACATTCTTATCTGTTCTTCAATCTCGCCACTGCTGCAGACTTTTCATCTGAATGATAGGACTGCCAACAAAGCCACCAATTTCTCTGGACTATCAACAATCTAGGGACATATAATCAAAATTGCAGAAGTACAAGTGGAAAACTCAAAATAAAAGTGTATTCACCTGCTGTTCCACTGGCTGGGCATTGCTGATCTCAATCAGAGATTCGGTTTGCGGCGGCTCTTCCTCCTCTGGAGCTTCATTGGCCATTACTACCACAGGCTTCACATGCTCTTCAAGTGCTGAGGCTCTCAAAAAGTTGGGTGGGTTCTATTACATATATAATTAACAACTTTTAAGTATCAAGGATATACTGGATATTACTGCAAGTGTAAAAGTAAGGTTCCATCCACACTAGGAGCTTAAAAAAAGCAACAGAAAAATGCTGCAAAAATACAACAAGCGATGACGCCTCAGCTGTCAGTGGGATTCCCTGCTGACAGCTGAATGCAAACAAAAGAATCCCAACATTCAAAAATAAAAAAAAAAGTCCTGAACGATACAAGGCCACATGCCAACATGGGGGAGGGGGTGTAATGGGGCAGGGGACATTGACAAGGCATGCTGAGTTGATGATGTGACAATGGGGCGGGTGGCCCCACCCTCAGTTTATTTATGGGCTGGTATGGATTGGGGGGGACCCCACGCAGTTTTTTATAAAAAAAATTAATGCTGACTTTCTTTTGTTTTGTTTTTTTTGTTTTAACCTCTTCCATGCTGCCCTACAGCCGAAATACTGCTACAGGGAAGCACAGGTGCGCAAAATCACGTATATATCTAATTTTGCAGTTCTGCGTAGGAGGCGGGCGTGCCCTACCCGTGCTTCCCTTGGCGGCCACGGCTGTCAATCACCAGGTGCTGGCCGGCGATTCCCCGCCGGCACCAGGCGATCTCCGAGTATTACCCGTATGTAAAAAAATATATAGATCTCTCCCATCAGCTCCTGCACACTGCTTTGTATGACTCTGCATAGCCATACAAAGCAGTGTGCTTACAGTGAAACACACGGACCACATAGTAAAACAACACAGTTAACCCTTGATCGCCCCACATGTTAACCCCTTCCTACCCAGTGCCATTAGTACAGCATCATTGCTTTTTATTAGCACTGATCACTGTATTGGTGTCACTGGGAATGTCAGTGACACTAAGTCAGTTCCCCCCAGTGTCAGAATGCCTGCCACAGTCCCGCTATAAGTCGCTGATTGCCACCATTACTAGTTAAAAAAAACCTGCCATTTGTAAACGCTATAACTTTCATGTAAACCAATTCAGTTACAAGTATTAGGTTTTGTTTTTTTTTTTTATTAGTAAAGACATGTAGCAGAATACATTTTGGCCTAAATTTATGACAAATTTGTATTTTTTACATTTTTTTTACTGGATATGTTTAATAGCAAAAAGTAAAAAATACAGGGTTTATATATGCTAAAAAGGTACACATTTTTACAGATTGCTTTGTAAAAAGTGCACTAGTAAATTCTTGTTATACATGTAATATAGAAAGTTTGGGTGCTTGCTTTAACTGCAGGGCAGAAGAATGAAATCAGGGATGTTGTTATGCTGCCTGGCAGGTTAAAGATGGTCAAAATCACAACGATGACCTGTAGCGACTCCGGAAGCAACATCATTTATGCCACTCTATTGCAGTGACAACACTGCAGCCTGCAGAACCAGTTCCCAGTTTGGTAATAAATTGTATTTCCCAATACATCAAGAATGCTATGACTAACAGCAGAGCAGTTCTATAAGGTATTGCATGTTTTCTAGGGGTAAAATTTCCTACAGATGATGTTGGCTTCGACTTCACCTTTGAGCCCTGGTTCACATTGATGCAGTGCGGAATTCGCAGCGTTTTCTGTGCGAAATCCGCACCGCATCAGAATCGCACCCCATTCATGCGAACCGATACGGGTGTGTATTTTAAGTTAACAACACTCTGAAATTGGTCCACAAAACAAGGTGCAATAGCAGAATCGGATCGCATAGGTGTGAATACCCATGCGATCCGATTATAGTGCGGACCCAAAAAAAAAAGGGTCCCGCTCCTTTTTGGTGCGGGTGCGGTGTGATTTGAGCCACCCATAATGTATGGCTCCGATCGCACCGCACACAAATCGCATGTGATTTGCACAGGAATGCGGTGCGGATCCTGTGCGAATCACATGCGATATACAGAGTTGCACAAGTGTGAACCCAGGCTAAAAGTAAAACCCAGCCATCTCGCTAACAACCTACAAGCAATAATGTGATCCTCACATGCTGAACAGGTTCACAGAAGTAAATTCTAGGTCAACCAGTCCAGCAAAAACCACAAATACAATTAATGTGAAACAGTTGCTCATTAGACTTACATCAGGAAGGCGTGGTATCTGAATAAGCCGTTTGAAGTATAACATGTCAGCTGCTCGTTTGAAGAAGTTTTTCAAGCTGTGGGAAAAGGAGAAATCGTAATATTGTGTAAATAATGCCTTTCCATATATTGAAGACATAGAAATGATTTCAACCAGTGAGCTGAAGAAAGTCATTTTAAACTGTCAGTCCAGCCAACAGTCATGGCAATGTTTTAGTATTATGTGGAGCCTAGCAGGCTAATTCAGCCACTGGCTTCTTACATGTCTTTGATGGTCACAGATTTCCATGCCATTATTTCTCTGTTCCTGTCCACCTGAGGGTTTTGGGTATGCCCACCCTCTCTGCATGATCCGCACCCTCCAGTAGCATTGTATCTTCACAAGTAAAAATTCCAAGAGTGAATACCCAGAATCTGAAGTACAGAGCTCTCTCTCTCTCTCTCACACAATAAAGCAAAAAGATAAACTGCTAGCTAGTTTAACTTGATGGCATCCACCAAAAACTCAAATATCTATAAGAACCCTATAGAAGGTGGAAGTGCGTAATAGTAATTATTTAAAGTGATACAAAAGACAAACTTTTGTTTTATTTAAAATAAAAGAGCGATTATTCCTTATGTTATGATATTGCACAGAGCGGTCTCTGTTTTGGAAGTCCCCTGCTGGTGCTATCCACCCCTACCTTATGAGTGCCCCCTCAGCAAGCCATGTGCTGAGGGGACATGCTCCTGAGCTGGGCTGTGTGCATCTATAGACACACCCAACATGGCTCGGCCATGCCCCCCCACTCCTACCTCACAGGATTTGACTGACAGCAGCAGCGGCCTCTGGCTCCCGCTGCTGACTGTAGCTCCTGTGAGACCAGGAAGTTAATGGAGCGGTGCTGCAGACAGGGACAGCACTGGATCATGAAAGGAGGCAGGTAAGTGTTTAGTGGTTAAGGTGGGGAGATTAAGGAGAGCTAGTGGAACGTGCATTACGGAAAAAACATAGTCCTTATTACAAATATCACCAGCTTAAGTATTAATGTAATAAAAGCATATTTACTATATTTATTAATATAGAACACTCGCAATAAACTTGGCCAATTATTATCAAATAGGTACTATCAGTAGAATGGGAACAGTCATACCCACCTGTGGAATTGCTCATGAAATCTGTCTCTATGCCCCTGTAATGTATCTGGAGGCAGACCTAGCATTGAATAAGAACAAAAAGTGCATATATAAGATGTTCTCTACAGCTCTGGCAAAACATGTCAAAATCAAAAGGTAACTGATTTAACCACTACCTGCCTGCCCAACCGCAATGTACTATGGCTGGGCAGCAGCTACAGGTAAAGCGACATACGCGTATGTGGCTCTGGCTATGCCAACACAAGGGGGCGCACAGCACTCCCCAACCACGACTGCTGTGTGTCTGGCAGACACAGCAGAATGAATATCCCAGTGAACGGGACCAGGTGATCATGTGATCGCTATGCGATCACATGATCATAATGTAAGCAGGGCTGTTATGAATCAATCTCATTCATAACAGCTTTGCTTCTCTTCCTAGTGAGCTGCGATTGGCCCACAGCTGTACCATGTGACCAGCTCCAGCCAATCACAGAACACTATCGAGCTGTCAAAAATGTAACTCATTGATCACCCTTCCTGAATGAGTTAGATGCAGGACAGCAAGCTTTGCATTGCAGGAGAAATGATCTTTATTTCTCCTGCAAAGTATAAAAAAAAAAAAAAAAAAAAAAAATCCCTGATCCCCCCCGATTCATCATATGCCAGTGTTCTCTGCTGCTACATATATGTCCAAAATGGACAAGCAATGTACTGGTATGCCGCTGGACTTTGAGGGGTTATACCGGGATGATGCCTGCAGCTACAGGCATCATCCTGGTATTGTTTTTTTTTTCTTCTGGCGGTCGGCTTTCATTTAAAAACAATCCTAGTGGCCAATTAGCTGCTGAATTGTTTTTACAAGCAGCAGGAAGGGACATTACCCCCTCCTGCTGCCTTCCACAGTTTGTAGACGCTATAACTTTTACACAAACCAATATACAAGTATTGAGATTTTTGTTACCAAAGACATGTAGCAGAATACATTTTGGCCTAAATTTACAGTGGGGCAAAAAAGTATTTAGTCAGCCACCAATTGTGCAAGTTCTCCCACTTAAAAAGATGAGAGAGGCCTGTAATTGGCATCATAGGTAGACCTCAACTCTGAGAAACAAAATGAGAAAAAAAATCCAGACAATCACATTGGCTGATTTGGAAAGAATTTATTTGCAAATTATGGTGGAAAATAAGTATTTGGTCACCTACAAACAAGCAAGATTTCTGGCTCTCACAGACCTGTACCTTCTTCTTTAAGAGGCTCCTCTGTCCTGCACTCATTACCTGTATCAATGGCACCTGTTTGAACTTGTTATCAGTATAAAAGACACCTGTCCACAACCTCAAACAGTCACACTCCAAGCTCCACTATGGTGAAGACCAAAGAGCTGTAGAAGGACACCAGAAACAAAATTGTAGACCTGCACCAGGCTGGGAAGACTGAATCTGCAATAGGCAAGCAGCTTGGTGTGAACAAATCAACTGTGGGAGCAATAATTAGAAAATGGAAGACATACAAGACCACTGATAATCCCCCTCGATCTGGGGCTCCACGCAAGATCTCACCCCGTGGGGTCAAAATGATCACAAGAACGGTGAGCAAAAATCCCAGGACCACACGGGGGGACCTAGTGAATGACGTGCAGAGAGCTGGGACCAACGTAACAAAGGCTACCATCAGTAACACACTACACCACCAGGGACTCAGATCCTGCAGCGCCAGACGTGTCACCCTGCTTAAGCCAGTACATGTCCGGGCCCGTCTGAAGTTTGCTAGAGAGCATTTGGATGATCCAGAAGAGGATTGGGAGAATGTCATATGGTCAGATGAAACCAAAATAGAACTGTTTGGTAGAAACACAACTCATCGTGTTTGAAGGAGAGAAAATGCTGAGTTGCATTCAAAGAACACCATACCTACTGTGAAGCATGGGGGTGGCAACATCATGCTTTTGGGGCTGTTTCTCCACAAAGGGACCAGGACGACTCATCCATGTACAGGACAGAATGAATGGGGCCATGTTTCGTGAGATTTTGAGTGCAAACCTCCTTCCATCAGCAAGGGCATTGAAGATGAAACGTGGCTGGGTCTTCCAACATGACAATGATCCCAAACATACCGCCCGGGCAATGAAGGAGTGGCTTCATAAGAAGCATTTCAAGGTCCTGGAGTGGCCTAGCCAGTCTCCAGATCTCAACCCCATGGAAAACCTTTGGAGTTGAAAGTCCATGTTGCCCAGCGACAGCCCCAAAACATCACTGCTCTAGAGGAGATCTGCATGGAGGAATGGGCCAACATACCAGCAACAGTGTGTGCCAACCTTGTGAAGACTTACAGGAAACTTGCAAATAAATTCTTTCCAAATCAGCCAATGTGATTGTCTGGATTTTTTTTTCTCATTTTGTCTCTCATAGTTGAGGTCTACCTATGATGCCAATTACAGGCCTCTCTCATCTTTTTAAGTGGGAGAACTTGCACAATTGGTGGCTGACTAAATACTTTTTTGCCCCACTGAATAACTGAGTTTATTGGATATTTTTTATAACCAAAAGTAAAAAAATATCAGGGTTTTTTCACAATTTTTTGTCTTTTTGTGTTTATAGCACAAAAAGTAAAAACCGCAGCGGTGATCAAATACCACCAAAAAAAAGCTCCATTTGTGTGAAAAAAAGGACATAAATTCTGTTTGGGTACAGCATTGCACAACCGCACAATTACCAGTTGAAATTGCGCAGTGCCGAACAGCAAAAAATGGCCTGGTCATGAAGGGGGGAAATTCTCAGGAGCACAAGTGATTAAGCTCCACAGCTGCAAATATTTGCTCAGTGTTATACACAAAACTCACTTGCACATATCAGGTGTCCTGATACCGGAGTTATACCGATTATCCTTCCTCAGTGACCCACCAAGTAGTGAAGGGCTCAAATATAGGTCCTGGAGCTTGCATCATCACGAGCGAGTGAAATCCCATTTACCTGTTCTGACTGGTTGCTTTTAAAAACCATGTATGAAATGTAAATGAATCAACATGCACCAAGTCATGCATCTGGTGAATGTAGCCTAAAATCCAGTACAATCTTTGGAAACATACCAGTATGGAGGGGGAATGGCTGATGTAATCTACCAGATCTTGCTGTAAATTTCTTTGTCAAACTCACAAGAGAAATGATAGGAACATTTATTACAGGGAGTAAAAGACATCAGATCCACTTACATGAGTGCAACTTGAACATCAACTTGACTGTGTAGTGATAGAGATGACTGCAATCCTGAATCACCTGTATAAGAGGGGCCAGCTTACATTGTCCGGCTGACATCTGAGAGACCGCTATGGCACTGTTCAGCTGCCTGATAACTGATCATGGAAGACTCTGTTACTTCATGCAGCATCAATTATATACAGTACTCACACTGGAATACACTAAGCCCATGCAGTAAAAATTCAGTCTCCTATACCCTGTTGAGCACCACATGATTATTACAGGTACTTCTATAGTGCTGTCAATTTGAACAGCAATTTACATATATATTGTACATTCACATCAGTCTCTGCTCTCAAACAGCTTACAATCTAAGGTCCCTAACTCACATTCATACATATACTAGGGCCAATTTTAGCCAGGTGCCAATTAACTTACCAGTATGTCTTTAGAGGGTGGGAGGAAACCAGAGTACCTGGAGGAAACCCACTCAGGCACAGGGAGAACACGCAAACCCAGTAGGTTGAACTGACGACCCTAGTGCTTCCAGGCGGAAGTGCTAACCACTTAGCCACTGGGCAGCCCTACACTGACAAGTGCGGCCTTCGCAAGCCTACTAGGCCACAATAAAAGCTAATCACATTTTAGAAAAACTTCAGACAAATAAAAATGTGCTCTGTAACAAAATAGTTATGTCTGATGAGGAGCTTTCGCTAAATGTGCTGCGGCTCTCAAACAAAAGCCATTCGGTTGTTTATCCTCCCCCTTCCTCACTCACAGAACATTTTTGTATTTTCAGAATGGTACAAGGGGACAGGAGGGTAAGCAAATCTACAGAACGGATTCTGTGTAGTGATAGCACCAGACGTTTAGCTAAAGCTATACTATTCAGAACAAGGGCAGCAATCCTGGCAGTAGAATACATCCTATCAGCCTATTTTTTACAGAACAAATTAAAGTAAAATCCTGGAGTTCTCCATTAGATAACATTTAAAGCAGTATTATACCCAAAAACAAAAACGTTTGTCAATCATTAGATGTGATAACCGCATTAGGTTTTTTTTCCCCGTTTTCACCTGGTGATCAGGCCAATAACACACCTCCTGTATTAGAGTGCCCCTGCTCTGGATGAAGGAGCACAGAGCAACTTTTGGACAGCAGCATTTTCAGTCTGGCGGGAGAGCAGTGTTAGTTGGACTAGCAAGTTTAGATACACTAACAAATGAAAGGCAAAGGTCAGCTAACACTGCAGGTACACAGGAAGTTAAAAATGAAAACAAATGCAGCCATCACATCTAAGAATAGGTAAGCTGCAATAGAAAATAAACATTTGCTTTTGGGTTTAATACCATTTTAATGAAATTAGCCAAAGCTACTAAAAAGCAAAGTACACATTTTAACTCAGTTGTAAAGTAGTATAAAACTGCACTGCTTTGTCTACAAAAATGTTAATTTCATTGCAAATGCTTCAAGGAAAGGAGACACAGCCAATATATTACTGTCAAAGGGAAAACATCAAAAAGGAGAATTTGAAAATAACACTTTACTGTGTTACGCCCAGTTCCTGACTCGAGTCATGATTCTTTTATCGTTTCCTCCAATATGTAACTACAGACAACTTGCAGTTTCTATCTTTCAATGCATTAAATAATGTTAGTGCTAATACTGCAATGTTCTGTATGGTGACCTATGTTTATTACAACATGTAGAACATATACATTCAATTCTTGCAGTAATTACATCTTTCTCAGGAAAGATTACAACAATGCAAAACATCTAAGTTATTTGATTAGCAGACCTGCAGATTTTATCTTGGGATTAAAGGATATACGTATGCCTGCTGTACCATGTACTTGTATGACAACGTCTCCTGTTCTCTTTGTATTGCTTTCTTTGTGGTAAATCCCTGGTGTTCCTGCTAGTCTATTTGCTTTCCTTTTAACAACTGGCCACACTAGATATGAGATCACAGCATGGTCCGTTATCTGGCTGTGCTGAGAAACTCTCCTCCCATGATCAGACTTATCCTGACACTGCACTGTCTTTCACTGGGAAGTTCAGTGTTCTGCCGTTTCTCCTCCCCCAACTCTATTGCAGCAGGGAACAGAGGGAATGAGATCACTTATTAAACAAAGGGGGAAAAGGTATTTATAGTTTTTTTTTTTATATGTATACACAAATATTTTGCCTTTCATTTCTATTTTAAACGGATGTGTTGTTTTACAAGGTGAAGGATTACAATGAAGTTACCAGGAGAGGGGGGGACAGACACAGGATACCCCGTGGGAGGAGGGGGGACAGACACGGGATACCCCGCGGGAGGAGGGGGGACGTGGGACACGGGATACCCCGCGGGAGGGGGGGGGGTGGTGGGACACGGGATACCCCGCGGGAGGGGGGGGGGGGTGGTGGGACACGGGATACCCCGCGGGAGGGGGGGGGTGGTGGGACACGGGATACCCCGCGGGGGGGGGGGGGGGGTGGTGGGGGACACGGGATACCCCGCGGGAGGGGGGGGGGGGTGGTGGTGGGACACGGGATACCCCGCGGGAGGGGGGGGGGTGGTGGGACACGGGATACCCCGCGGGAGGGGGGGGGGGTGGTGGGACACGGGATACCCCGCGGGAGGGGGGGGGGGGGGTGGTGGGACACGGGATACCCCGCGGGAGGGGGGGGGGGTGGTGGGACACGGGATACCCCGTGGGAGGGGGGGGGTGGTGGGACACGGGATACCCCGTGGGAGGGGGGGGGTGGTGGGACACGGGATACCCCGTGGGAGGGGGGGGGTGGTGGGACACGGGATACCCCGTGGGAGGGGGGGGACGACACGGGATACCCCGTGGGAGGGGGGACGACGACACGGGATACCCCGTGGGAGGGGGGACGACGACACGGGATACCCCGTGGGAGGGGGGACGACGACACGGGATACCCCGTGGGAGGGGGGACGACGACACGGGATACCCCGTGGGAGGGGGGACGACGACACGGGATACCCCGTGGGAGGGGGGACGACGACACGGGATACCCCGTGGGAGGGGGGGACGACGACACGGGATACCCCGACGGGGATACCCGTGGGAGGGGGACGACGACGCGGGATACCCCGTGGGAGGGGGGACGACGACGCGGGATACCCCGTGGGAGGGGGGGGGGGGGGCGACGACACCACGGGATACCCCGTGGGGGGGGGGGGCGACGACACCACGGGATACCCCGTGGGAGGGGGGGCGACGACACCACGGGATACCCCGTGGGAGGGGGGGCGACGACACCACGGGATACCCCGTGGGAGGGGGGGCGACGACACCACGGGATACCCCGTGGGAGGGGGGGGCGACGACACCACGGGATACCCCGTGGGAGGGGGGGCGACGACACCACGGGATACCCCGTGGGAGGGGGGGGGGGACGACACCACGGGATACCCCGTGGGAGGGGGGGCGACGACACCACGGGATACCCCGTGGGAGGGGGGGGGGGGGACGACACGGGACACCCCGTGGGGGGGGGGGGACACGGGATACCCCGTGGGAGGGGGGGGGACACGGAACACCCCGTGGGAGGGGGGGGGGGGACACGGAACACCCCGTGGAGGGGGGGGGACACGGAACACCCCGTGGGAGGGGGGGACACGGAACACCCCGTGGGAGGGGGGGACACGGAACACCCCGTGGGAGGGGGGGGGACGGGATACCCCGTGGGGGGGGCACGGGATAGCACGTGGGAGGGGGGGGGGGGGAACACAGGAGACACCATGGGAAGGGGGGGGGGGGGAAAACACAGGAGACACCATGGGAAGGGGGGGGGGAACACAGGAGACACCATGGGAAGGGGGGGGGGAACACAGGAGACACCATGGGAAGGGGGGGGGGGAACACAGGAGACACCATGGGAAGGGGGGGGGGAAACACAGGAGACACCATGGGAAGGGGGGGGGGGGGGGGGGGAAACACAGGAGACACCATGGGAAGGGGGGGGGGGGGGGGGGGAAACACAGGAGACACCATGGGAAGGGGGGGGGGGGGGGAAACACAGGAGACACCATGGGAAGGGGGGGGGGGGGGGGGGGGGGGGAAACACAGGAGACACCATGGGAACCCATGGGAAAGGGGGGGGGGCACAGGAGACACCATGGGAAAGGGGGGGGGGAAACACAGGAGACACCATGGGAAAGGGGGGGGGACACAGGAGACACCATGGGAAAAGGGGGGGGGACGACACAGGAGACACCATGGGAAAAGGGGGGGGGGGACACAGGAGACACCATGGGAAAGGGGGGGGGGGGACACAGGAGACACCACGGAGGGGGAGGGGACGAACACAGGAGACACCACGGAGGGGGGGGGGACAACACAGGAGACACCACGGAGGGGGAGGGACAACACAGGAGACACCACGGAGGGGGAGGGACAACACAGGAGACACCACGGAGGGGGAGGGACAACACAGGAGACACCACGGAGGGGGAGGGACAACACAGGAGACACCACGGAGGGGGAGGGACAACACAGGAGACACCACGGAGGGGGAGGGACAACACAGGAGACACCACGGAGGGGGAGGGACAACACAGGAGACACCACGGAGGGGGAGGGACAACACAGGAGACACCACGGAGGGGGAGGGACAACACAGGAGACACCACGGAGGGGGAGGGACAACACAGGAGACACCACGGAGGGGGAGGGACAACACAGGAGACACCACGGAGGGGGAGGGACAACACAGGAGACACCACGGAGGGGGAGGGACAACACAGGAGACACCACGGAGGGGGAGGGACAACACAGGAGACACCTCGGAGGGGGAGGGACAACACAGGAGACACCACGGAGGGGGGGAGGGACAACACAGGAGACACCACGGAGGGGGAGGGACAACACAGGAGACACCACGGAGGGGGAGGGACAACACAGGAGACACCACGGAGGGGGAGGGACAACACAGGAGACACCACGGAGGGGGAGGGACAACACAGGAGACACCACGGAGGGGGAGGGACAACACAGGAGACACCACGGAGGGGGAACACAGGAGACACCACGGAGGGGGAACACAGGAGACACCACGGAGGGGGAGGGACAACACAGGAGACACCACGGAGGGGGAGGGGACAACACAGGAGACACCACGGAGGGGGAGGGACAACACAGGAGACACCACGGAGGGGGAGGGACAACACAGGAGACACCACGGAGGGGGAGGGACAACACAGGAGACACCACGGAGGGGGAGGGACACAGGGAGACACCACGGAGGGGGAGGGACACAGGAGACACCACGGAGGGGGAGGGACACAGGAGACACCACGGAGGGGGAGGGACACAGGAGACACCACGGAGGGGGAGGGGGACACAGGAGACACCACGGAGGGGGAGGGACACAGGAGACACCACGGAGGGGGAGGGACACAGGAGACACCACGGAGGGGGAGGGACACAGGAGACACCGCGGGAGGGAGGGGGGGGAACACGAGAGACACCGTGGGGGGGGGAACACGAGAGACACCGTGGGGGGGAGGGGGGGGACACGAGAGACACCGTGGGGGGGAGGGGGGGGAACACGAGAGACACCGTGGGGGGGAGGGGGGGAACACGAGAGACACCGTGGGGGGGAGGGGGGGAACACGAGAGACACCGTGGGGGGGAGGGGGGGAACACGAGAGACACCGTGGGGGGGAGGGGGGCAGAGGACACTGGTTTGGGGGTACAGAAACTAATGGGGGGGGGAGGGGAATGTGGTGTGAAGCAGGGCAGAGGACACTATAGTGGGGGGGGGGGGGGGGGGGGTGATGTGAAGGGGGCAGAGGACACAGAATTTGGGGTACAGGACACTACAGTGGGGGGGGGTAATGTAAAGGGGGGCAGAGGACACTACTTTGGGGGGGGGGGTAATATATTTTTTTTCAATCCATTATGACTGACAACTTTTGCCCTGTGCAGTATTCCAAGAAATTGATTTTACAGGTACATAAGAAATCCAATTTGAAATGGTTGCCTCCTGCTCTCCTTCAGTTGTCTGTGCTGGCATAGCTGAGTTACAACACAGAAGGCAAAGAAAAGTAACTAACTGTAGCAGACCAAACCCGCTTCAACACAGCATGTACCAGCAATTTTTGGAGCAGATCTGCACCACTGTTAATATTTACGTCATATTTTGATTTAGTTTTGTCACAATCTTTTGACTAAAATGCCATTTTAGTTTTAGTCGTATTTTAGTCATCTGAATTGTAACTGAATTTTTATTTTATTTTCATCATAGTTTTCGTCAGCTGCATGTTTCCAATGACAAACTATTTTCGGTAACAAAATGAACAGCGCTTTGCACCAGAGCTGGGGTTTCTGGAGTTTCCTGGATCTTCAAGGTCCAGAGTTGTTGAGGCTCTGAAATAAGGCTCAATTGTTGAGTCACTCTGGAGTAAGAGATGGAAAACATGAACTCTGACAGTACCAATCTGCAAGTCCTCTCAATGAACAGGCTGATACATGTAGCATGAATGTGTTCAGTGTAAAGTTCTATTGCAGACTAGACCATAATAGATTTTGCGGTATTTGCTGAAAATCTACTTACCAGCCTCAGCAAGTTTAAGCTCACAGTCCATGTAATCAAACATTTCTACGGTTAGTTGGAATCTGTTAAAAACACAGCAATTGTTAAATGACAGACATAATTAACTTAAAGCGATTCTAAAATGTTATCTTTTTTTTAAATAACAAACATGTCTATATTTACCTGCTGTGTTGCAGTGCTTTTGCACAAAGCAGCCTGGATCCTCCCCTTCTCGGGTCCCCCGCAGGCTCTCCTAGCTACTCCTGTCTGTTGGGTGCCCCACAGCAAGCAGCTTGCTATGGGGGCACATGCTGCTCCATGTGTCCATTTACACACGAACCGGCAGCTTGTCCCAGCCCCCCCTCTCCTCACTGGCTGACTGGCTGTGGATTGACAGCAGTAGGAGCCAATGGCTCCCGCTTGCTGTCTCAGCCAATGAGGAGGCCCAGGACAGCCGAGGCTGTCATTCACATCAATGGATCGCGATGAAGCTCAGGTAAGTATGGAGGGGGCTGGGGGAGCTGCTGCACGCAGAAGGTTTTTTATCTTCTTGCATAGAATGCATGAAGGTAAAAAAAAAAACCTTCATCTTTTACAACCACTTTAACCTCCTCGGCGGTATGATTCTTTCCAATTTTTTGTGCTGAAAGCGCGGTACCATTTTTTTTTTTGCATGGAAATATGTAGTTTTTTTATTGTAGGCTGTAATTTTTAGGAATAACTCACTGAAATCTGTCTGAACAAGAGTCTATTAAAAATCCCGGGTATGATAAAATTTGAAACACGAAATCATAAATTATAATTTAATAAATAATCATAAAAAATAATATAATAAATTTAATTCAATAATATAATCAAACCAAAAACACTGAAATTTGAAATACAGAGGCAAATTCGCACATCGCTGAGCAAAGTCGCAAAATCGTTTTTAGTGTCTGATGCAAATTTCCCCACGAATCATTATCACTCAATTCTGCAAGTGGTTCTAATTTACTATCGCTGTTCTCTAGCTGGTCTAAAACCGCTTTTGACGTAAAGGGATGCTTTTTGGACGCCATGGACTTTTCTAAGTTTCCAGGCAGAAAGAACAGTCAAAATGCAGGCAGGGCACAGGACAAAGCACTAGGGACAAATGTATGTGAAATGCATTGAAACAGCAATGTTTTACTATGTAATAATCATTTAAAAAAAAAAAAATGACATTTTTAAAAAATTTCAGATTTGCCGCCGGATCCGGCGCCCGTACGTCCTGACGTCACAGGGACCGGAACACGGAAGCCAGAATCGGCCAGAGGAGATGGCCAGGGACGCTGCAGGGGACACATCGTGGGAGCGAAGGACAAGGTAAGTGCTGCAGGGACTCCCTATGCAACGCTGCATGGTAAGCCCGAGTGTAGCTCGGGGTTACCGCTTTTAGTACTGACATTTTACCCCGAGCTACACTCAGGAATACCGCTAAGGAGGTTAATGTAGAACTAAAAGGCAAAAGTTTATTTTCCCCCATTTTGGATACAGTAAAGGAGGGCTATATCCCGTCATCAGCGCTCCAAAGGTCACCCAATGCTCAATGTGACGGAACACAATCCTACTATATCTAATTTCTTTATTCTGCAATATCAGATTCCTTAACCTAGGATACTCACTCTAGTTATTTATATCAGGTAAAACATGAAAAGGATGGGCATATATAGAGCCTGTGTTGGTGGCATCAGTTTGAGATGTTTCTGAGATGATTCAGAATTGACAGGTGCAATTGACCTTCTTCAGGCAAATTTCCTATACTTATACACTTGTATTCAAACACAAAACCCACCTTTGATTTAAAAAAAAAAAAATGCTTTTTTAAAATACTTTTGCAGGTAAAAAAAAAAAAAAGTGTTTTTTTGTTTTTAAACACAGGAGCCTGCAAGGTATCACGATCAGTGAATGTCATGCTCTTTCAGACACTTTCTACAGCTTTCTTCCTGTACCTCTCATAGTCCACTCAGAACTACAAGTCTGTTTGCCATGGTGGCAGACAAGGCATGTAGTTTATTCATTCACAGATCATTGTGATCACTGTTAGTATGTTGTGAAAGGTGAATCTATCCTTTAAAGCAAACAAAAAGGTGGTCAACATAGGCCCATAAACTAATTTATGTAAAGCAAAGTAGCCATTTAACCACTTGCCCTGAAGAGGATTTACCCCCCTTCCTGACCAGGCCATTTTTTGCATTATGGCTCTGCGTTACTTTAACTGACAATTGTGTGGTCCTGCAACGCCACACACCCAGATGAAATTTGCGTTGGTATTTGATCGACTGTGCATTTTTAATTTTTTGCTCTAGGTGTCCATTTACACACAAAGCCGTGTCTTGGTCCTGCCCCCCTCTCTCTTTATTGGCTGACTGGCTGTGATTGACAGCAGTAGGAGCCAATGGCTCCTGCTTACTGTCTCAGCCAATGAGGAGGTAAAGACCCAGGACAGCGGAGACACATCGATGGATCGCGATGAGGCTCAAGTAAGTATTAAGGGGGCTGGGGGAGCTGCTGCATACAGGTTTTTTATCTTCATGCATAGAAAAAACCTTCATCTGTAGAACTGAAGGCAAAAGCTTTCCCCCCCCCCCCATTTTGGATACAGTAAAGGAGGGCTTTATCCCCTGTCATTTTTTCCACCTTAGTCTATTGAGGAGATTTCCCCCAATTTTCTGCTGCATAGCAGGAAGTGAGAAAAAAAAATCTATCCAAAGTGAGTGAAATCCCTGGAAGTCACCAGGATCACCATGATTGGTGTCCCCATTGGAAGATTCCCCTCCATTCCTGTTCTGGTGACCTTTCAAAATTTGTGAATTTCTTTCATTCTTGGTAATAATGGTCACCAAAACAAAAAGAGGATGAAACTTCCCTAACGGGGACACAGACAGTAGTAGAAACCTGACTGGTGTTATAATCCCTCTGCACTCCATCTAAAAACTACATTAAAAACAAAAAAAACAAATAACTGTTGATTTCAGTTATACTTTAACCATTCACATTGTACAAATGGCGGTATAGATACTGGGATTTTTTTTTTCTACTAGTAATGGCGGCGATCAGTGTCTTTTAGCGGGACTGCGGTGGGCATTCTGACACGGGGGGGGGGGGGGGGGGTGGGAACTAACTTGGTGTCACTGACATCCAGTGACTGTGTGTAGGGAGTGTTTTACTACGGGGCAGGGGCTGTGTGCTTCACTGTAAGCACACTGATCGGGATGGCTGTACATCCCGAGCAGTTTGCCCGAGCAGACAGGGAGGAAGACTGTTTATAAGCAAAAGAGTCTTCCTCCCCATCGGTGGTTGTCGGTAATTACTGGGCGCTGGAAACCGGTGTGACTGACATCTGCGGCCGCGAATGGCAGCACAGGTAGGGAGCACGCTATCTACCTGGAAATGCAAAATCACGTATATATACACACATGTGATTTTGCGCACCCATGCCACCATGTAGCAGTATATCTGCTATACAGTGGCGGGTAAGCGGTTAAACATACACAGGAAGATTAAGCACTACCTGAGAGTATAAGCAACCTACATGTTGTTGACATCTGTGCCAGCTGCTTTTTCAAGAACGTCATCTGTCACTTCCAGGTTTGGAGGGAACTCTGGATGCTGAAGAACGAAAAAAAAAAAATCCAGAATTCAAGCAGTCAGTTAATAAAAATTCAAAAGTATTACAAAAAAAAAAGTGCTGTTGTACCTTTGTGTGGAAGCTAATCTTATAAAGCAGCATTTTTGTATAAAGAATTACAAGTTGTCCATATCGATCGTGTAAAAATGTCCCTGGTGAAAAATGATAAAATTACTATAAAACCACAATTTCACAAAAGAAAAAAAAATTATATATCATTAGCATAAAAAAAACTGCATAGGATAGTGATAATAATATGGTCTGGAAGAGCTAGTATCAGCCAGCACTAATGTATACCCTTAAGCTGGGTATAGAAAAAAAAAAAAAAAAAAAAATGTCAACACAATGATGTGTGATGCATGGACTTCTCCCACTGAGCTGACTACTACAACCCCCCCCCCCCCCCCCCTTAAGAATACGCTTGCAGCCATTGGTTGCACACTTTGATCAGTGGTTTTGCAGACAGAAACTAGACGTTAGACCAGCTTCTGTTGAACAGACTGTGGCACACATGTACCAGAAGTCAGCCGGTTCCTGCTCTGTGTACCAGGCTTTAAAGGAAGACAATCAACTACATCCCCCATCATTCCCCTGATAGAACAAATTAAAGTTGGCCATACATGGTTAGCGTTTCTTTTCCTGCAGCCAGCAGAGTGACACACACCAAGCATAGGGATGAATCCCCTGCTAGGACATTGTATCTTGACAGTGGCACGTGCTGATTTGCTGAAGTCACTGGTCAATGGAAAATTTTCCAGTACGTCCCATGCCTTTTTCTCCCTAAATAAAGCACAACTCACCCATAACTCTCCAATCTCTCTGATATTACTGCGATATCGCTGACAGTCTGCTAGAACCTACAAAATAAAACATTTGGTAAAGTTACCATGTTAGTGAGGGCAGCCAAAACATAGGTCAAACACACAAAACAAAGTATATCTATCAAGCAATGGGCTGATTTGTTGTGTGGTTTCTATTCTTATTATGAAAGTCAAATATTTTCAAAGCAACAACTGTTGTAATGGCAAAGGCCCATATCTGCTACTGGAAACCTATTCTGCAGAGTTATTTATATCGACTCATCTGTAACCATATTTTAAACAAAGCAGAATTCAACCACGTCTTTAAAAATGACACCCCCCCCCCTGAGCTTGATGTCATAATGTGCTAATATGCACAGTGGATTAGAACATTATAGCAGACTTACCCACCAAATAATCCCTCCACTACAATGTCAGCACTCTTGGTTGTCACAGGTCTTCTTCCCCAGTTCAGACTTTTTGGCTGCTTGAGAGCCCAGGCTGCAATGTCACCAGCCACCAAAAATGTACATGACCAGCCACCAAAAATGTACGTGGCCTGCAAATGCATGACTCAGTGTACATTAATGTTGACAGAGAGGGAGAAGCGGTTATAACAGAAAAGACCAGTGCTATTCGTTTGTTCAGCAAAGTCAGCGGCACAGTCCTGCTATATGTCATTGGTCACTGAAGTGTTCAAGAGCTTATAGAAAGAGGAATGTCAGGTCCATATGATTACAGAGCTGGCCATCTGGAAGCAGTGCTGTAGGTTGTATGGACCTGGACCTGCAGCCAAAGGGTTAAAAGCTGACTGTCACAGAGCTGGTCCTTCCTTCCCCATCCTCCAGGTTTGCCGGCTGCCACCCTTCTGTCCCATCCATGCTGGGACTTCTAGTCCTCTTTGTCCCTGACACAGGCAGACCTCAGCAGCCCCTCACCCCCCTGGCTTTCAGCTTGGCCTCTTGCTGAAGGAATACACAAACAGGCCATCTCCTCCCTTCCCCCTCATGCATGAATTCCTGGGCAGGTCTGGAGACCTGAGAGACAGGGCCCGTTGCCATGGTAACCCGATAGGAAGTATCCGGTTACCAGCTCTATTCTTAAGGGTGAGCAGGAAAACCTCATTGTGTTCTTCTGGCTGTGTGTGTGTGAGGGAAGGCTGGCTGAGGGCCAGCTCCTCTCATCCCCCGTCCTCCTCCTCATCTCCTGGACTGTCTGTGCTGCCTCGAATCCCTACACTGTGGAGGGATCTTCTGCTGTCCCCGTGAACCTGCCTGGATCTATCACCTACCTGGACTTAACCCCTCGTTTTCCGTGAACCTACCTGGATTTAACCCTTTGTTCTCCGTGAACCTGCCTGGACTTAACCCATCCCTGCCTGGAGCCTCCTGTGTGGACTAACCCTGTGGATTACAATACCCCTGTTGTTCCATATTGCCTTCCAGAGAACTGTACTGTGTTGCTGTGTCTGGTGTGGATCTGTGGACTAAAGGAACTGTTGTCTGTGCCCCAAAAACCTCCCCAATAAAAGCACGTTGGGTTCCGTGCAATCTGTCTCTGTGTGCTCTCTGGTTCTCTTGACACTGACGTTCAGGTATGTATATTTTTGCACAGTTACCTTGGTCTAGTTTGGACCAATGTAACTCTGTGTGTCATACCTGGAAGATTTCAGAAGAAGCTGGAAATCACTGCAGTAGGCACTGCTACTACAGCAATCCCCGCTAGCTTCCTGTGCCTACTCTGATGCTTAGTGCACACTCTCGCTCGGCACGGGCGCAATTCACAGAACATTTTGCATTTTATCAATGAATGCAAATTGGACAAGGAGGAGATTGCGACTTCACTGCATTGCCTCACCATCTCATCCAAGCAGAGAATGCTTTGCATTCATTGATAAAATGCAAAGTAGTCTCTGAATGGTGCACATGCTGAGTGAGCTACCTCCTTCACTCACTAAGCAGCAAGGCAACTGCTCGTAGCGGGACCCAGAAGCTAGCGGTGGATTACTGTAGCAGTGGTGGTTACTACAGTGATTTCTAGCTTCCAAGATGGACCGATGTAACTATGCAAAAAAAAACCTAAACACAAGCTTTAAGCTAATGATCCTAATATGTACAGTATGCAAAAAAAGATCTGCTAGATATTGCAAAAGCAAATGGTATTCTTGACAAGGATATTTGTCATGCTATAGGAGTTTTTGGAAGCCTTGGTAGAAAAAGGAAAAGGAGGGAAGGGGTTCAGGCTGGGAAGGGAATATGCTTCTGACTATATATGGAGTACATTTAGATTTGCTATTGTACATAATAAGTTCTCATATATGTAAAGTTGTTTAAATAAAAGAATGTGAACAGCCTTGACTGCATGCCCAGGTTCAGGCAGGCGGCAAATCCCACGCCAGTTTTACTGACCCCTAGCCACACATGCAAACTAAGCTTTAAGGAATCCTAGAAGACACAGTCCAGTGATTATCATGCCATAAATGCCCCGGTCGCTGAAAAAAAAAACCTGTCTCAAGTCTTGCATTTGGGGCATCTCTCTGCAGATTTATTTCGTAAAGTATTGGATAGAGTAGGAGAAGTTAAACTTTGTCTTTTTTTTGCTGCCCATGTTCCACTGGGGAGATTTTTCTTCACATCCTGATTAAGAGTACAAAAGAAGACAGATCTCTCCAAAGTAAGGGAAATTCTCCTAGTTGTATCCCTATTGGAAGATTTCCCCTTTACTCAGGTTCCAATGACAACATAAAATTATAGATTCTGAATCACCTTCAGACTCAATGACAATGATCACCAGGACAAATCTCCAAAGTGGGAAAACAAACAGCAATACAAAGGAGACCTTTACCTTTTCTACTTCATTCAAAATTAAAAAGAAAAAATACTTCACATACAATTTAATGTACTATTGACCTGAGGCAAGCCCTGTGTAGAAAAGATTGATTAGTGGTATGTAAAGCTTCCTCCTAAACCCATCTCCTAGGTGAACATCAGGGTTCATCATTATCAATGAATTCAAACAAATCCTAACTCTAAAATCCCCCACACATTTATGCTTTTAAATATTGTCAAGTCAAATAGAAAGTTCACAGGAATAGCTCACATTTTGATGACCATCTCGAAGCACTTTATGAAGAACATGACAGAACTTCCAGCTCAGGATAGAGCTACTTGGCAATGGCAAGCCAATTGCATATGACCAGAAAGTGAAGGCCCCTTTCTCATGGTGGGTTCCCAGAATAATTCCTAAATTGTCGTTAAGAAAAACATCCTACGCGGAAAAAAAAACAATGGGAAATTCCTGAAAGTCCCTCAAGAAAATTTCTACTGAGTGACTATGCAGGCTGCCAATGCTTTCCAAAAATACCAGTTTTCTGGCTGTCGTACTGATCCATAGCCTCCCTATTTTCCGAGTCACTGATCAAATACAAGCATACACATCTGGAGATTTGACTTTTTTTGCTGCATGCTTATTCTGGGTCAATAACTCAGAAATCATTGAAGACCATGGTGGCAAGACAGATTCCACAGGTTTAAAAAAAACCTTAAAGGGTTAGTTCAGCTTTACAAAAAAAAAAACTGCCTATGTTTAAAATAACTTTAAAGGGTTAGCACAAGTCTGATCATTGGAGGGGAGCAGGCTGAGTTCTTTAGAGAGCTGGCCATGCTTTGCTCTCATGCTTAGTGTGGCCAGTTTTTAAAAGGAAAGCAGAGGGATTTCCAGGAATGCCAGGTATTTCACACAAAATAAGCAATACAAAGAGAACAGGTTACTTTCATACAGTACACAGTACAGCAGGTACATATCAGGAATATGAAATGTTGGGTTTCCATATTCTTTAGTAAACAGAAAAAACATATTACACAGATAAAATCAGTAAGCGCTCAATTGTAACAGTTTTTCTATACTGTAACACACCAATAACTTTGCAATAGTAAGCTTTACATATTTGGGAAAACTAACTATAAGGCTCCATGTACACTGGGATGTCTTTCTACTGGCAGCAGAAAAAACGGTAAACGCGGCAAAAACACATCTTAACGCGGTACCATGTTTAGTGCTTGGATGTTAATTCATTTCAACGGCAAGTACTCTGGCCAATGAAATGAATAAATGCCAAAGCGCTAAATGTGGTTAACGCTTAGGCATGTTTTTGATGCGTTTAGCATTTTTTGCCCAAATGTTCCTCTCATAAATACGATTATTCTGCTTTCAGGAGCTGGATGTTTAGCTGCCCCTAAACTCTGCTGCTGCTAAAGTCTGATAAAAGCCAATGTGTATGGAAAATCAGGCTTTTTTATTGAGTTGAGTTCAGGGGCTTTGGCAAAAAAAAAAAACACCAAAAGCTCCTGAACTCAGTCAAGAACTTTAGGAGCAGCCATGTGAATGAGGCTTAAATGTCAGTCCCTACTCATAGCTGCAAACTAACGCCAACGCTTGGTTCATTAGGTTTGCAGGAACAAACTACTGTATATGCGTTAAACTCGGTTTCATGGTAGCAGCACAATATATTTCTGTTTTTTATCAACAGGTATTTTTCTGTACTTGCAGCATGTTTAAAGGGGAACAACATAGGGAAATGTGCATGTATTCCAGAAATGTACTAAATGTTTTTTTTTTTTTTTCTTGACATACCCTTTTAAGAATTAAAATGGTTGCCAGATTCACTTTTTTTTAGTAAATCTACCTTTGCTTCAAATGGCACAACCATAAATACTAACTGCATAACTTCGAGGAGGAAAGAGACATGGGAGACAGAAAATTAATTTGGACAGACAGCCCAGTGCATGCAGTGTTTTCAATGGCTCTTGCTGATTTTCTAAATTGGGGAACTCCACTCACCAAACTTTTCTGGTCTTCTTCTCACTTAGGTATTGAACACACATGATCAAGGTTTCATAAACCATGGGAATTTTGAGGGGTAAAAAAGCCCATAAGCCATATGTATTCAGGTGTTCTTACCAAAAAGCATAGGTATTTCCCCACTGCCAATAAATCAGACTTTCAAGGAAAGTCCAATACCTAGCGGTGGCAGTAGAAAACTAACTCCAGTTCTTGGTAAGAACACACATGTAAGGGCTCAAAACTTCACACCCCTACTACTCGCTTCACAGAGGCACAGCAGTTTAGAACAATCCGCACACAGTAATTGTAGTGTCACTTGGAAAATGTGTGTGTGTTATAGTGCTATACATGCCAACTAAAAAAAACAACAAAAACGAATTCAACTTCAGTCAATTTCAAGTACGGAAGAAGGATAAAAACATTATATATAAAGGATACGCCGGGCATGTTTCTCTTTTACTGGAGCTTCCTGAGCATTGATAGCCTTGCTGATGCTGACAGCCTGTAAAAGGTGAAGGAAAGAAAACATGTTTATAAATTCTTTCAATAACAGGGGCTTTCAATATTAGGTAGAACTTTTTTCTGTAATAAAACAATGATTCCACATCAAAACCTTTATAGAGGAAGCAAATAAAAACTACACCAAATGGATGAAACTGCTATGGGCACAACTGCACAAAAGACCTATTCTTTAGGCTTTCTTCCATCCATAGAAAAACATACTATAAAGCAATGAGTGGCTTATTTAATGGAATACATGCTCACACATCAATACAGTGCAATAAAGGAGAAAACCCAAAACCGACATTCAGCAGCTAAAATCAGTGCTACTAAAAGGCAACTTTCATTAGTGTTTACAAAAATCAATTAAAATAAAAACTGAACATGAAACTTACCAGTCACCCACAGTCACAGACACTAAAGACATCAGGATCTCTACCATATACATAGGTTAAAATCATAGAGCCAAGGATAGAAAAATACAGAAGACGTTTTACAACATTGGGGCTTTGGTGCTTCCTATCTTTTGTGGATCTTGGCTTTATACTCAGCCCCTTCGGCTATGGCTTGCTATTCAGACTATTCTAGTTGTTGCAATGTTCAACGAGCCACACATCAGAGTAGTCCATTTTCTCCAATCCTTTTTATCTTAGCCATGGAATGAGTGGCAATTACAATTAGAGTCAACCCCGATATTACTGGACTCCAGAACGCAGGTCTCCATTACAAATTAGACCTCTTATGCTCTCCTTTTCCCTGACCCTCACATGACACTTCCGAACCCTCAACACACCCTCACCCAGTTTGCAGACCTCTCAGTCCTCCAGGAAAAACCCTACTGAGATGATCACCCTAAATATTTTGCTCCCTCCGGAGTCACACAAATACAGTCCAGTTTTCCTTACCACTGGGCATCCACGTCATTAGATAACTTGGAGGTAAACCGACCCCACATTACAATTCTCTATTCATGACTAATTATTATCCCCTGCTGTGTATTCTCATTTCCTGATAGGTTAAAACTTCTCATCTCTCTCCTGGATAGGCTTAATCAAGGCAATAAAAATGACTGTTCTTCCAAAGACCCTTAATTACTTGCGAACTCGCCAATCCACATACCAGCTATAGCTTTGCCTACTACAGAAATGAATCTTATCCTTAATTTGGGCACATAAATGCCCGAGAGTCCCTCACCACACTCTTTATACCCGTAGAGTTCAAGGGGATCTGGAAATCCCTAGCATTGAAAGTTACTACAAAGTTGTACAAGTATCGTTACATCCCCTTGCCACATCGAACTTCCCCTTGTGGATATTCCTTGAACTACCAAACTGTGACCAGATTCCAATTAAGGCCTTACTATGGCTTCCGTCTAAAGCTTGTCTGACCCACTTGATTCCTTTAGTAATGCATAACCTGAAAATCTGGGACTCAATTCATTGAATGAATGTCTCCTTTTCTGCACTTAATGTCCATCACCAAAATCCCCTTTTCCTTTCGGCTTACGCCTACCCAAATATTTTGACTAGTGGATCATCCAAGGCTTTACACATGTTCACCACTTCTTGACCTCCCAAGCCTTTCCATCCTGGGCCTTCTTTCAAGAATATCATAGCTTGCCTAACTTGGAACACTTTTGTTATTTGGAAGTGTGGCACTGGATTTCAGTCCTATGGGAGACTTAAAGTGTAAGTAAACGCCTTTTTTCATATTTTACCTACGGTAAGTCTTTGATAAGGCTTACCTGTAGGTACTGTAAATATCTCCTAAACGTGCACCATTTAGGAGTTATTTACTCTAGAAGCACCAGTGATGTCACCAGAGCATGCGCACTCATTGGATGGCATCACATCGAGAGAGCCATGCTGCGGCCGAAACTCCCTTCACACATGCGCGGGAGTGATGATATTGCGGCACGGCCAATCAGATGGCTGCAACTCACGAACCCGAAAGGAAGACTGGGTGAAGATGGAAGCCTTGGGGAGCCAGGACAACACTCCACTGGAGGGCTTCGTTTTCAGGAAAGTCATTCATAATGTACTAGTATGTGATGCATACTAACACATTATGCTCTTAGATCGCAGGGAAAGGAATTTTTAGAATTTTGTTTCGCGGTTTACTACCACTTTAACTTTCCATACACTAAAACATAATTTGAACACATCGGTCTACACTCCCCAGGGTCTCCCAAGCGTAGAATGATTCTATAGTCTACCTTGAATACTAGGGGCCCCCTAACACTCTCTCCTACATCACAGGTTGGGATCAAAATCTCACAGCCCCCATGGAGCTTGAACACTAGAGCAAATCATGGCTGAGTGTTGTCAGCATTTACCAGCTCCATCTTAGAAACAGCTTATAAAGTCCTCTTTTGGTGGTATTGGGTCCCTGTCCGGATACCCCGAGCCAAACCCAACTACTCTGATATATGCTTCAGGGACTGTGGTTTACATAGAGACGCAATCCACGTATGGCAGTCTTGCCCTAGATTCTCAGCCTTCTGGTCCAGAATTTTTAAGCTTCTCCACACTCTGTTCCACCTAACTGTTCCCAGGGATGCACGGACAGCCCATCTCCAAAGACCAACGCTGTGTCTTTTCTCTTGCCAATAGAAACCAGCTACTTACCTGTTCCTTTCAGCAAAACAAACAATAGCCATGGCATGGAAAAAGCTCTCAGTCCCTTTCCAGGAGGTTAAATCTCACAAGAACTTGATGCTGGCGAACTAAAAGATGTCCAGTATACAGTGAGGAACAGAAGTATTTGAACACTCTGCGATTTTGCAAGTTCTCCCACTTAGAAATCATGGAGGGGTCTGAAATTCACATTGTAGGTGCATTCCCACTCAGAGACAGAATTTAAAAAAAAATTCAGGAAATCACATTGTATGATTTTTAAAGAATTTATTTGTCTTGCACTGCTGAACATAAGTATTTGAACACCTGAGAAAATCAGTGTAAATATTTGGTACAGAAGCCTTTGTTTGCAATTATAGAAGTCAAACGTTTCCTGTAGTTCTTGACCAGGTTTGCCTACTCCTTCACACAGATCGGTCTTGCCCATGGTAGTAGTTGGCGTCTGATTGACTGTGGGGTGGACAGGTGTCTTTAAAGAGCTCAGACAGGTGCTACTAAGTTAGATTAATGAGTGGAGTAGAGGTGGACTTTTTAAAGACACAGTAACAGGTCTTTGAGAGCCAGAATTCTTGCTGTTTCTTAGGTGTTCAAATACTTATGTTCAGCAGTGCAAGACAAATACATTCTTTAAAAATCATACAATGTGATTTTCTGAATTTTTTTTTTAAATTCTGTCTCTCAGAGTGGGAATGCACCTACAATGTGAATTTCAGACCCCTCCATGATTTCTAAGTGGGAGAACTTGCAAAATCGCAGGGTGTTCATTGGATGTGGTAGCTGCATAAGTTTTCATTTCTTCAGCTTTCTTCCCTCATTTTCACCTGGTAAGCTGGCCAGTAACACACCTCCTGTATTAGCAAGACACAGCTTTGGATGAAGGAGCTCAGAAGGCAAAGCAGACAGCAGCATTGCCAGTCCGGGGAGGAGGGGAGTGTTAAATGTAGTAGCAGATTTATATACACTAAACAAATTGAAGCCAGCTCATACTTTATAAGCAGTTACAGCAAACATGTTTTTCCTTTTGGGATAAGGTTTTGCATGAATAAATTAAAACTGATCATTTTAAATCACCCCTGCCAGTGATAAGTGGTTTGTCACAACCATGTTAACTGACATTCTGCTGGAGAGCTTGAGTTTTTGAAAAATATCTGGATCACCAGATGAAAATAGAGAAAGTAGAACAAAGCCTAAAAAAGGAAACGTATGCAGCCATCATATGTAGTAATCGGTAAGCTGCAACATAATAAATTATTTTGTGTTTAATATCGCTTTAACAACTCTAAATTTCTCCTTGTCCTTCCCTCTCCTCTAATTTGTTAATTCTTGATTGTTTTCTTCCCAACACTTTCACCGTTTTGCATCGCTGAGTCTCCTCTATAAACTAGCCTTAAAAGAAGAACAGCCAAAGCTCATTTGGCTGTACTTCTCCTGTGGATCACAGGAGTGCAGCTTGTTGTGCACTGCTGTGACCCGTTTTCAGCTGACAGTGGGCTGAAATCCACTGTGGGCCGAAATCCACTGTTGGCTGATGTCACTCAGCTGACCCAGGCTGGGGAAAGATCCTGACTTTAAAGTTGGGATCCACCCAAGAGTTTGAAGTGGCACCTGGCTCAACCTCTCAGCAAGCCCCTGAGAGTCTGGACAGAGCAGACAGCGCTCTCTGCTCACAGCGGCAGTGAAATCTCAGCAATCAGCAGTCATGTGATCACTGAATTCTCACACTTAGAGCTAGCGGGGCACAGATGCAGCATCGGACTATAATTTGGGAATAAAACCGAAAGCCATAAGTCTCTTTTAAAATGGTTGTAAGCCCCAGACATGAAAATATGAACAAAGCATATCCCTCTATAGTGTGTACTTGTCTCAATTAGGAGCATTAAGAGGGTTATTTACTAAAACTGGAGTGTGCAAAATCTGGTGCAGCTCTGCACAGAAACCAATCAGCTTCCAGGTTTTACTGGCAAAGCTTAATTGAACAAGCTGAAGTTAGAAGTGGTTTGGCTACCATGCACACCTACACCAGACTGAGTGCTCCAGTATTCGTCATTTTACCCCTAAGTGTCATTTCTGTCTGCTGCTTCTGTTCAACAGGAATGCTGGAAATAAGAATCCAACCAAAAGCGGCAGCCAATAGCTAGTACTTTTTTTTTTTTTTAACTTTATTCCTGTAATTTAACAGAATGGTAGGGGAGCAAAGAAAAAGGTATGTTTCGCTGAGGGGGTGGGATTAAAATAAATCCGCCGCTTTGCTCTGCATGGCACCCCAATCCACAAGTACAGTAGGCAATAACAGATTCAAAGCATATTCTGTGGGTTGTGATATGCTGGCTTAGGTTAAACAGTGCTGGTCTGGTTATTGCTCCATTGC